TGCTTGTCAGTAGGGCCTAGAAATAAGGATTGGGTGGTTACAATGGGTGACAGCATGACTGACCCACTCAGATTATTGACAGGCTGCCTTGATAAAACTGGAATATAGCTGACTTGGTGTAAAACAACATTCACTCAGTCACTTTCAGCCTTGTTTTGAATATTCTTTGAAGCAACGTTATTTAGTTATTATTAATATCTATGTTCTAACAAATCAAACAAGTCAGGGGTTTTTCATCAGTAACATTTTACAAATGTCACAGCAAGTTACTGTGTGGATCAAATTACTTGTATGTCGAAAGAAGAATTAATATGATTGTTGAACTAATAAGCCTGTTCAAATCAGTACCTTGGTCATGTTGGTAATAAAATATATATCGCACCTCTCAATGCTTGTCTCTGTTTGAGCCATGCTAGCCAGTCCCATGGCTGTAACTTGACTGCAACACCTAGGGCGCTAATTAACTCAGTTTCCCACGAGGCCCTGATAGACTTATAATTTCACCTGTGAGCTAAATGATTAGATCAACTTAGTAAGCATGATAAGAAGCATGATTGTGCCAAAGAATGTTACCTGAAACAGTTTTATGAATGCGAGAAACAGTTTTGTTACAGTTTATCTACCTGAGGCACAGTTTAGTTGCCTGAAGCACTATTATCTTGGTTGTGTCGCCTACATTTTGTCCAGCAATAGTTGCTGTAATAGCTGTAATATGCACCCGGGGCACTTAGAAAATTGTCGAAGGGGGCCCTACCGAGACTGCACGTTTTTACTTTAAGCCCCCTCGTTATTTAGCCCATGGGTTTACAAACGGAAAAATAAAATGCTTTTAAAGCCCATAGGCTTAAATTAAATTGGAAAACTGATTGATCTCCCTTACTGAATGTTCTTCAACAAGTGATACAGCATGTTTTTATGTGACCAGTTGCACCAATATTGCACCTTAAGCACTGTTAGAGGTTTCCACATTTACAAGACACATTGGACCCCTAACATAGGTGATATTCTGCAGACTCATTTTAAACGCATATGACAGACACTCATTGCCATGTTGGTTTGTTGTTACTTTCTTTAAAGTTTGTTTGTGTTGATTTTCAAGTTGAAAAAAAAAGATGATGCCTTATGTTGAAGTGTTGCTCTCTCATTCCATTTTTGATTATTGTTAAACTTGGGATATTCATTCTACCTATCAGGGTTTTGTCCTTCTTTTTTCGTTTTTAAGCCCTGGGCTTAAATTTGGATACAATTTTACTCAAATTAAATTGGCAAAATCTGTAATTAAGCCCAGGGCTTTAAAACCGCAGTCTTAGTATTACAGCCATTCACATTTCCATGCCAGCAATAGTGTGTTCACTTGAGGGCCAAAATCAAACCTCAGTGTATGAAATACACCCCCTCTGCACAGCTGTATTTTCTGTAAAAACTGTGTACTTTACACTTGAAAATATAATGTATAGCCCGAGTGTGTATTTCATGAGACTGATAATCAGAATTGATTGATGCTGAAGCTGAACACTGCTAGCTAACAGACAATGTTATGCTTGTCAATCCCTGTTTTGAAAAACAACACAATGTCATCCCAGATATTAAAAGACATTCAGATTGTTGTGGAAGGTTTATTGTAACTCTATTGTATCTATGTCTGGTTTTGAAGATGTAGATGAAAATATAGCTAGTCTCCATACAAAATCTCTCTCTCTCTCTCTCTCTCTCTCTCTCTGTCTCTCTCTCTGTCTCTCTCTCTCTCTCTCTCTCTCTTGGGATATGATCATCACCTGGTCTGTCTGTCTGTATTTCGTTTCCTGAACATATCTTGAAAACACTGAAAGATTTTTCACCCAAATTTGTACATGTATTAATCATGGGCTGAAGTGGTGACTTTTGCTGTTGTGGGAGCCGGGGGATAACTGATAACTCTTGTATTTATAAGAAGAAAAAATGTCATGATTATTAAGTTCATTAAGTGATGGTTATGGTTTCATTTGATAATTAGCTTGTTGGGGCATATTTATGGTAAAACTGAAAACATGAAAACATGTTCGTGTCACATAATAAGTTGATGCTTCAAGCACATCCAGCGTTTCCCACCCTGTGCAATATTCACACATATGAAACAAATTGCAAGATTGAAGATCCGTCGATTTATGGATTTTACATTGTGAAGCTATCAATTGCCTTCTAAGCATTCTCCCCAAAGACTGGGTATTAGTTGCGCAGAAGTAGTTCACAAGTACTGCAGCTGTAATGATACACTTAGTCACAAAGTGATGTCTATAGGACATTAGAACAGACAATGTGTTATGTTAGGGACGCAACAATATTGCATGCTACAGTTATACATACAACACATTTTGTCCAATATGATACGCCTCCTGATCCATATAAATCTTGTTGAGTAGTTTAAAAAAATATCTTTTTGACAAAATGCACATCTAAGTGTTGAAATCATAGGATGTACAATACTTTGTACCAAAAGGAGTATATTTTGCAAATGAATACTTTTTTCAATCTATACATCTTGCAATATTGGGTAAAGATTGGTATAGTTTGGCCTAAAATCTACACAGAAATTCGTTCACAAATGGTGTGTCCCTTTGAAATTGATTGACAAAACATAGGAAATGCAGTGGTGATTTTGCTTTCACAGCGGCAACTCACCATGCTGTCGTTGAAATTGTAATATTGGATCTGCATGTGCAATCACTGTCAAGCACTTTATCTCCCAGAGTATCGCAATACAGATACCTGTATCGGATATATATTGCAAAACCATTGTAAAGCCAATACACATCCCTTTTTTCAGGAAGCTAAAATAGGTAACCATAGCCTTTTTCGCCATCTCAGAATTGTCCCTATTTTATATAAGCATATAAATTTGACTCTTTTGCTACAGATAAACAGGTCGTTATCTTCATTTGATAGCCACCACGCCATGCCATGCCACGCCACGCCACGCCACGCCACGATACACCATGCCACACCATGTTCCTAATACAGCCTGACTCACTCTCTATGATAATATTTCAAATAATTTGAACTGCCTGTACTCATCCTCATACAGTCCCCACTCCGGAACAAATTCATATTCAACAAACCAGTGTGGTTGAACTGAAGGCTACACTGAAGAAAACGTATATTTGTTAAAATTAAGTACTGCAGCACACACACTCACATATGTGTATAATATTGTGATTAAAGTACATGTATCAGAATGCACTGGCATTGATTTCCAATCTCGACTCGTGACTCCAACATGTAAGATAAATTGCAGGATTGAAGACATGTCAATTTATGGATTTGAGATAGTGAAGCTGTCAATTGCCTTGCATGTTCTCCACAAAATTTTACCTATGACTCAGTATTGGTTGTCTTTGTGCATTGGTGCCATGTTCTGCTTGTTATGTACCCGGGTATAGCAATGTGATATGTAGCACGGATTGAAAGTAGGGGCAGCATGCTGTAGACATGGTAGATATTGTTTTTTAACCTCAAATTTAACCTGTATATAACACTGACTTGTCATCAGTGTTCATGGTCACTTGAGTGGCAGAACTTTGAATTAGCTGATATTTCCAAGAGCGTCACAATATCAATGCAATATGGCCAAAGTAATGCAAATAATTGTAAAGTTTGATAATTTCAAACTTGTCATCACCATTGATCATATTATACTGAGGATATGCTGTTTTGTTAGTAGTACAGGGTTAGAAATTCATTTTTATTTTCACTAGTCCTCGGAAAGTAATCAAATCCAAAGTTGCCATCTACCTAATGGTAAAAGTGGTAGTCCACAAGGAGATGTCACTTGACCTTCCGGTATTTAACTTGTCTCAAACCCCTGAAGATCCGGGGTAGAATAGGTCTTCAGCAACCCATGCTTGCTGTAAAAGGTGACTATGCTTGTTGAAAGATGCGACTAACGGAAAGGGTCGTCAGGCTTGCTGATTTGGTTAATGCATGTCATATCTTAATTGCGTGGATAAATGCTCATCTCAATCACTGGATTGTCTGGTCCAGACTCAATTATGCTAAGTGGCACCAAACCCAAACTAATTCAATCATTTACTTCATCAAACTTGATCTATTGTCTATTGACAGGTGTACATGAAAATATATACAAATAATTTGGTTATACATTTTTAGCAAACCCCCCTGGATTTGGATCTTGAACAGAGCTTGAGATAAGCAACGTATTTGCATAAAATATGCATGAAATAAACTGAAATACACAGACAAATCAAATCCTAGCATATCAAATACGCAACAAAAACTATAAATAGCCTATTGAAATAAAATTAATGTATATATTATAACTATTAGATAAAATGACTGTTTATCAGCCAATCACCAAATTCACTTACCAACGTTCAGAAAAGATTCTGTGACAAACATACTGATGGATGCCAATTGAATAGTCTATGTACATATTGTATCTTAACGGTCTCTGATTGGTGATTTAAAAAAAACGCCTTTCTTACAATGCTAGGTTTTGCAAACAAAAATGGTTTCCCAGAGAGGGACGCAGACGGGTATACTACTATTCATATAGTTTTAAATGATATACAGGGATTGTTACAAAACATGTTTTAAGTTAAAATACACAAATGTCAAGAAACAGGTGGGTAAAAAATTTGGAATACCCTCTAAACAATGCTAAAAGTTGTGGATTCCCAATCAAAATCAAACCCCTGGGTAAAATACCCAAATCACCAAAAACGTATCCAGAGCTCTGTTTAAAAACTCAACCTACATCCAATAATATAAGGTGTATGTTTGTATTTTGTCATGTTTGTACAGTGTTATATACCTTTCTCAATTGCTACAATAACATGCAGATTTACAGGGTTTTGCAGTGACTCGCCCAAGAGCCCACAGTTGTCTGCATGGTCAGGAAAGATGTATTGACAGTATGTTTCTGTTGAGAAATGAAGGATGTGAAACCTATGGTGATTACAAACACACCTGTCAGATATTTTAATCCAAGTGATTTTCTGTTGTAGCCAATATTCCTGCACCGGTCTCTCTGGTACATGAAGCAACGGCGCTCTGTGAATAATGCTAGCAGGTAGGTGGAGAAACAGCACATTTCATCTTACCTCCTTGACAGATTGTTGAGATCTGATTGGTTCACTTGATCTTGATAAATTACCCTTTATCCCGCCTGGGAAGGAAGGAACCTTGTGAGTGGAAGAATAAATCTCTCATACCCTACCACGAAGAAAACAGGCTGCATGTGGAGTTCTGAGCTGGAGGATAAATTCTTTATACACCACCACGAAGCAAAAGGCTGCATGTTTTTTTATGAGTCGGTGAAAGTCACGTGACACAAGTTAACCCCAGCTCAAATGAACAGGTGTATTTTTATAAATTTTCAATTTGTTTTACAATGGCAGATTGAAACATGTCAGCAAGATGTATTTGTTGTAGCAGTATGATGAGAGGTATGTGGTTTTTACGTACCGCGTTTGGTTTTATACCACGAGCACTTAACAAAGATGAAACAGGGATATCGTCCCCATCGCTTCAATTGAGAGGTAAATGACTTCCGATGTATACCGTGTTTGAAATTAAGCATGACAGTCATGGAGTCTTTGTCATAACATGAGATTTCGGGGAACTTAAGATTCATATACAACTGCAGCAAATCTCAAGGACCCTAGGACCCCAATAATTTCAAACACTATACATTCCTGCAAGAGGAACATGTTGATGGATGTAGAAGACTGTAGGAGGCCACACAACCTGATGACAACGCAATTCGATATGGCCACTTGGCCTTTATTCCAAGACAAGTGAAAATCAGGAGTGACAAATGTTTTCTCCCATAATCTTGTTACGATGTAGATTTTTTGCTGCTGACAAATGATAGCATGACATTTCCATGATTTCATCAAAAGTGATATTCCTCTATAACATTACCAAACTTGAAAATATAATTATAGCACATTTTGATTGACAATCAGTGTCCTAGAAAAGGAACCAATCCTGAATGTGTATGACCATGGTATAGCTGGTAATTTAACAGGTCAGCATTTTGTAGGTAACCTTGGAAATTGAGTTTGCATTTATTACCACATACAGCATGGTCACACATGTACCAAGGAGAAAAACAAAGAGAAAGTACTTGTGACACAATGATGAAGTGATGATAAAAAAGTTAAGCTGATTCAGAAAGTAAGTCATCCTCGCTAAGACTATTTGCTTAGTGATAAATATATCCTTAGGCGAGTGGAAATTTATTGTTGCCTATATGTCATCATTATTCCACCGAGTAGTGAGCAAATAACACCTTCTTTTTTTCCCCTGACAGATGTTCTTTGATAAATGTTTACATCCAGAATAAACCAACCCTGAAACAGTTCCTGTGAAGAATGCTAAAATTTGAGAAGTGTAAAGAAATCATCCAAATTCAATTATCACTGCTGTAACTGAATCACAGCTCAAAAGGTACTTGAGGGACACACCATTTAATATTCTAGGTGGGCCTGGGATTTCTGTTGGAGACGGAATATTTTTTTCGGTCACAGCCTCATAACAGATTTTATCTGACAAAGGAGGAACCCAATGATTGACTCTCTCTTTTTTTCCCACAACACATTTTGTTTCAGGACATTCAGTAATTGGGTTCAGCAAAACAGATTTTTACCAACAAATAACTTTCAAAGCAAATTCCAGTCCCTCCATGTTTCCCACTCTTGGTCCCTAGCAACCAGGGTGGTGGTTCGCTCGTAACACAAAAGACCCTGTCTGATTCCCCACATGGGTGAAATGTATTGATCACATTTCTGGTGTTTCCCCCGTGATATTACTAGACTATTGCTGAAAGCGGAGTGAAACCTCACCTCACCTCACCTCACCTCACCTCACCTCACCTCACCTCACCTCACCACACCCCACCTCACCTCACCTCACCTCACTCTTTGCAGGTACCTATCATGACTTTGTTTCACTGGTGATACTTCCTGTCCAAGAACAACTGTTTTAGATTTTTCAAATCCATCGATGGGATTTTTCTCACTGATTTCAAAGGGCTGAGTAAAATGCAACAATCAGGAATATTCCAGCTTTGACAGAGTAGCCTGTATGTAATCCACCTGGAGAAGAAAACAAGTGATTGACAGCTTGAGCAACAATCAGCCAACCATCTACGAGTTCACATATTGTAGACAGCTTTTATGACAAGAATTTGGTACTGGGACTTACAATCCTGAAAATCCACCCGCAGATGCCAAAGGAAACTTCAACAAATGACAACATTTTGGCCCAAGGACTGACACTAGAGCACTGACAAATAGGGATATTGTGATGGAACAAGTTTTCAGAGGTTGGGACTTACCAGAGTGAGCATGTCCGCAATATTGAAAACTTGCAAAAAATAATAGTGTCGCATTAGGTCAACAATAGTCAGCTGTATCATTGATAACTGTGTAGGTTAGCATTTAGAGATATACCATAGAGGTATGGTTATTTCAAATGTATGGTAACAAAAATGTATTTCTCAATATGTTTCAGCAACATTTAAAGGGTAATTTCCAACCAATTTGGCACAGTGATCTACTTGCAAGTTCCAAAATGTCCTTTTATGCTTAAAGTTTCTGTAAATTGTGAAAACTGTTTGAACCACCTTTGAAAGCAAATGCAAAATTGCTCTTTCTCGTTTTCTTTTAAGTTGCCATGACCTGGAAATTGAGCGTGGGCGTCACTTCAATATACCTAGGAATTTAAGAAAATGTAAACTTTGTAACTTAAACTGCATTGAAAATGAATTCTGTTTTCTCTTAGTGTGTCCAGTGTTCATACAGTTAAGAGAAGTATACATTAACACAAAGTTTTAACTTCATCCTAACATCCATAAATGTAACATTTCAATGTCATCGCCAAACTCTAACATCATTACAAATCTAGCAGAATATTTGTACTATGCACATATGGCAAAATGTATGGTTGACAGCAAATCCACCTGTAGCATAATGTTTGTACACAAAATGCCTGAGGCCTAAAATTACTGAAATAAAGTGATTGAACTTCATAACACATCAGCAATTGGATTATGTTATGCATCACAGCAACATTGTGAGTTTGTTGCACATCACATCAACAGTGTCATTACACATCTTTTGATATGACAGGCCAGACGCTCTATCCACTGCACCCGCTAGGTGGTTCATGATATGTAATACATTGCTTTGTTGATGTGATGTGTGTTATCAAATATTATGACATCAACACATCACATCAACAAAATAAGATATTTCATATCACGAACCGACTCACTGGTGCAGTGGATAGAGCGTCTGCCAAAAACAGTAGGGTCCGTGGTTGATCCCCAGGTCGTTTCATACCCTAGCACGTTAACAGATGGCACTTGCTTCTACCCTGTCCAAAATTATGGCCACAAGGCAAGACAAGCCGTCACCACAGAAGTGAAACAGTGTTAAACCCTCTTTTACTTCACTTCTCATTTCACAAAGCTAATGTTTATGTCACACGGATTCAACCTTTTCTCAGGAATACGAGTTTTGTATAACTAATTAATCCGTTCGGGGAAACAAAGCAGGATGTCATTTTATTCTATTTTTTATCATGTCGTGCCCATAGACAAGAGAATAATATACATTTCAAATATACATAGAAAAATATGCTTTGAAATAACGACTTTGATACAAGGTTTGACAGATTCAATGAAAAAGACATTTCAACGTATTTCAACAGGGAAGGTCATTATTGGAACTATGAATATTGTTTGTCTGCACCAGTCCGTGTTTGTCGTCGTCAGTTGTTCCAAACACATATGTTTGCCTATTGCTTATTGCAAGAAACCTGCATGAAGGCAGTCCGCCACGGCTGGCCTCGACAAAAGAAACGTTGTAGGTGTGGAAAATTGCCGTTAATGCTTACAAGTCGAGCTGATACAATCAAAATCTGAGAGTACTCTTATCCGCTTGAAAAGTATTTTGTTGTGGGCAAATCGGTTGTATACTCTAGATAAAATAGCATTACGTGCTTTGTGGTATTTGTCTTTACAGTCCAGTCGATTTTCAAATACGGAGATTGTATTTCCATTTTATCATTTTATCATTTTTAAGAAGAATAAAACCAAGTATATTCCAAGCCATTTGAAAATGGAATGGCGTTGATGTTCGAGCTTTCTATGAAATCAAAACTCAAGGTCATCCCACAATATTTGATCTTTGCAATTCATTTTGTTGAAAGCCTTGTTCTATTTCAGTGCGTGTTGTCATATAGTCTGTAATATGTACATAAGTCTGCGCTCTGGCTTTGGCTTAACAGTTGTCCTTGTTTGCAGACCTACAACTTCTGCGACATATTAGTCCGTGTGATGAAGAGACGTGTGGATGGAAAATGTATCTTTAATGTCGTAGACAATGCATTCTTCTACAACAGGACGTTGAAATGACGTCAGTCTGTTCAAGGTTTTCAGTAGTTGCAAAGTGGTTTACTGAATAGGACCGGTGACGTTTTCAGATTACATTTTTAAAACAGCTCAAAGAACCACCGAACTATTTTGGTAATCGCAATTACCTTGTAAGAGAACGAAGTGATTCTTGTTAGGCGGACAAAATGTTGCTGTATTGGCGATACGGAACTTATTATATCATCATGATTACTAGGACAAAAGGGGGTTTTGCTCGACTTATCATGTTGTAGATCTTTGATACGATTAGGCATAATAGCTACCTGGAGACGCGATCCTCTGTTAATCTGCCAATATTTCAGGGTGATTTGAGAGAAGGTTTGCACCAGAATAATAACGAGTCTATCGACATGGTAGAGAGTATCAGCCCTCACCATTTTTATTTTAATCTTTTCTCAAAGTGAAGTAATTTCACGTACACGTAGATGCTGTTCATGAACCTCATGTCGATATAAAAGCTATCCAGCCACATGAAATGTCTGAATTCAAGCATCCTACGTTTGGTGTCTGTGTGTAACAGTTTCAGATTGAAGTGAATGCCTTGTAGGAATTTATGAGTTTTGTCGCCACGCTGCCCTCAAATGCTCTGTTTTTAGCTTGGCTGTCATGTCATTTTATCGGAAAATTACATGATGTGATAGACTGTCAGTTAGTTACAGGTTTGTATTTGATGGTCGTAGCCTATTGTGCAGCATTCCATCCATCAGTAAATTGATGTACATAAGACTGAATAGTCTAGCCTAGACACCATCTAGTTCTTACATTTCGCCCTAGGAATTGCTGAGTGTTTCATGTGAAGTACGAGCTAGATTCGATTCCTGGCATGAACGTTCGGTGCCTAAAGTCAAGTGATTTACACCACTGTTCGCGTTATTATACTTTATTTTATACCATTCTAATTTCCCACCAATGTGTTACTAGGAATATTAATGTAGGTTCAAACTGGTTCATTGCCATATCCACATGTATGCATCTATATAAGGACAAGCAAAGGTGACTATGCTTGTCGTAAGAGGCGACTAACGAGATCGGGTGGTCAGGCTCACTGACTTGGTTGATGCATGTCATCGTATCCCAATTGTGTGGATCGATGCTCGTGATATTAATCACTGGATTATCTGGTCCAGACTCGATTATTTACAGACCTCCGTCATATAGCTGGAATATTGCTGAGTGCGGCGCTAAACAACAAACCAGCCAACAACCAATCATTGCCATATCTACATGTATGCATCTATATAAGGACCTACCTCGTTAGATAATGATTAGTCAGATTTAAGAAACCCATCCTCGTGAACATGAGTCCACGTCTATGACATCTTTGAAAGTTGGATCCAGTTTTAAAAAACTGTATTGAAATGAGTTAATGTCGTGTCATTATGACATAAATGAGATTATGACTATAGGTAAAAACACCCTCTCTAGGAAAAATATAATTCTGTGTAGACTCCCTGTCGAGTATGTTTCGTTGAGTACGGTCAATGACGGAGATATTTCTTTTGTTTCTATTCATTCCTGCTGCGAATTATGGAAAATGTCCGCGATATGAAACCGGCTCTAGAATGAGTTACGGATGCTAATAGATCGTATTAGGCTGCACAAGAGCAAGATAGGAGGTCTTTAAGAAATCTGAAGTGACGATACTGCACAAGCGGGCTGCTCCTTGTTGATCAATACATCTCTTAGCATTGTAACAATTGTATTCCTATATGCGGTCTCTTGTAATTGAATGGACAGTCGTGAAACGTGTTACTCATCTTTGTACTGTGTGTTTATTAGATGATGGTTGTCTTGATGTCATGTTTAACGAATTTGTTATCAGTTTAGAACGACTTATCAAATGAGTTTTGTTTGTTTGTTTGTTGTTTAACGTCGCACTCAGCAGTATTCCAGCTATATGACGGAGGTCTAAATAATCGAGTCCGGGCCAGACAATCCAGTGATTGACATCATGAGCATCGATCCACGCAATTGGGATACGATGACATGCATCAACCAAGTCAGCGAGCCTGACCACCCGATACCGTTAGTCGCCTCTTACGACAAGCATAGTCGCCTTTCACGGCAAGTATTGGTTGCTGAAGAGATCACATGAGTAACTCCTTACGATCAGATTCACGTTTGCGTTGCATGAACACCACGAGCGTCAGATGTTTGGTATTGGGTTAGTGTTCGCGTTCTCAGTAAAACGTTAGTTCCAGTTCCGTAGCATACTGTTGTTATCTGTGTGTAATGTCAATGTTAAAAAACTTGGCGACGGACTTCAGACCTTTATTTGGATGCACCAAAACGGGAGTCTCGGATATGATGCTGTTACCTCAGAAGACGAGAGCCTGAATAATAATTTGAAGGTTTTGATTGCCTACTTTAGCCGATTTGTTAACGACGTTACTGTGGTGTTTTAACAGTTCTTGTGCAGACAGTATCGTGTTGAACCAGAGCTTCAGCATTTCTGAATTCATGAGGAGCATGTCAACTACGGCCGACTCTTGTGAGAAGTACAACGCACATTGAAGCCATCTTTGTCAATACCTCAAAATAACGTGTCTATTCGAACGCTGCACAAAATGTCAGGGGCGACACCAGACAAGAAAAAAAATTATCGGGTCTCTTAATTAACTCCATAGTCAACAGTACGGCCGCTTTTCATGTTCGAAATTAAGTCAAATGCTTAGGCGGCAGTTGTTAGAACATTAATAGACATAGACACGGAGGATACGTGATTGCAGTGGTAATATCTGTTTGATATTAAAGTGTTAAATACATATTTAAAACCGTGTCAACGCAGACGAGAATAGCACGTGGTTGGCGGTGTGATACAGGGAAACCTTTCAGTTATATTCTGGCAGCGCTCTGGAACCTGAATGGCCTGGGCTCTTGGCGTATCGTCTATACCAATTCCCATACTTCAACATAAAACATACGACGGTCGTAGTGCTCGAAACAGTTTGTGAAATGGCTTCTTGCTGCAGACAAACCAGTGGTTGTGTATGAGTGGCAGTCCATATAGCTGCGGTACTGTGACGAACAACTTTATACCAATTTGAGAGTCGGCCATCAAGGGGATCACCTATCCAAATACTGACAGTATCAATTTGTGCTGATCAGTTTGGCCATCCAGTGACCATTTAAGCTGATCTTTTTGGCATGATTATAAAGTACTATTGACATTCGGAAAATGATGGGAAAACCTTGCGGTTAGTGCATTCCCTTGTCACACCAAAGTCCAAACATGGATATAACAGTTGAAGGTAACACGTACCTGGTGTCTGTTGTGATATATCTGGAAACTTACTTTTTACTCATACTGACCAAGGCCATGATTGCATTTTGAGGGAAATATCAAATACGCTCTTTTAATGTGTTTGTTCTTTTTTGTCTCATATCACCAAAGCAGAAATAACATGCAGCCTTTACGTTTTCGTTACATAACTCTTAGATGCAGAAAACTGTTCTTTCAGAAAGATAACAAGGTACTTATCTTGTATACGTCAGTACATTGCTTCACAGAAGGAAAGATCGAAACGAGTGGTGGCTGAAGGAACGTACAGCTTGTTTTCATTTAATCCCGTCCTATATATCGTAACATGCGTGACTCGGATGTATTGTCGGGATTTGTTTCATCTCTGTATGGATTTGCCAACGTAAGGCGATGTGAGTGTATAATGTCTCGGTCCAGACTATAGATGCCTTCATTTGAATAGATCCTGTAGGGGTTTTCCGACCAATTTTTGCGCATGCTTTTGGTTTTAACGTCTTGCCAAATGTAGCTTTAGTTTCATATGACACTGAAACAAAGATTCAGCTGCAAGAAGGAACATCAGTTCATGATGGTCAGGGCGTGTTATTGTATGGTATTCGTAGTTTATTCTATTAAAAACTTAAATCTCGTTTTTAGAAATTCTCTATTGCTTGTATTCAAGTTGAGTTTCCCGTATGTATGTATGTATGTATGTATGTATGTATGTATGTATGTATGTATCCTGGCATACTATAGGCTCGTGAAGATCTGGCTTAGAATTGGTATTCAGCAACCCATGCTTGTAACCGGCGACTATGCTTTGAAGAAGCGACTAAGTGCATGCATGTAATCGTATCCCAATTGCGTGCATCGATGCTCATGATATCAATTACTGGGTTGTCTGGTCCAGGCTCGATTATTTACAGATCGCTATCACATAACTGGAATATTGCTATGTGCGGCGTTAAACAACAAACAAAACCTGAGTTGATAACAGCACCAATGTAAATTTCGTTTCTGGTACCTGATCATTACTTCAGAATATGACGTGTGACTAACGTTGCTGTCACATTTTTATATGAAACGGAGGATCCCCAGATTCCTACCGCTCTCTGCAGCAACCCTGACAATCGCCGACTATTTGAGAGGTTGTTTATTTATTTACATTCAATCAGTCATCAGGTACAACGAAAGCAACACTCGGTCATATTACACGCACGCCTTTTTGCGTCTCTAGTCTACAGCCTTATTTAGCCCAGTCAGTGGACATGTGTCAATATTGGATTTTTTTCTACAAACTGTCACCGACCTTGAAATCCTCGCCTTTACAGTCATAGCAATGTTATCGGATAACGTTCGTCTTTGAGATGGTCCTGTCATCTCAGCGCATTAGGGTTATGTGTGCGGACTGCTTAATGGTGCACCGCAATTAGATCTGTCGTGAACTTAAATTAAGACCGAAATCCTTATTCACCGTGTTTCATGCAACACCCTGAAAATACTACGTTTTCGAAAAAGCTTTATTTATAATGGCTGCACAAAAGTACGTACATTGTCATTTGGTTTATAATCACTTTCCGTATTTAATATGTACACGCTTTTCTTAGCATGGTGTAGACGACTCGTTTTTCGTTTTCAGTTTATTAAGTCTATGGACGACTTGTATTATATATCCATTATCCAGTATGGTTTCATTAAGTAAATAATGTCAGATACAATTTGAAATGTCGACGTTTTTATATAACCTTTAAATCGTATCGTTTGTATAATATACTGTGGCATCAGGGGGAAACATTCATGCTATCTTATTAGATATTTTGATATTTTGAGAAACGTACTTCGCCTCATGTTCATACATATTGCCACTATAGTTTGAAACTATACAGCCGTTTCAGGTTTACAAATGCGTGAAATATCTTTATCGCGTAGTATTGCCTTTCGACGCCATGTTTGGGGAGGGCTCGTCGTTAAAGAAATCATGGCAAATACAGCATACCTTCAAAGAGTCAACAATGTCAACGATGAATTTAAAACAAATTATATTGGATATACAAATAATTTATCTGGATGGAGTTACCTTATCGACAATGGAAGTTCAAATGAGATGAAAACTGACAACCCGTAACGATCTGAGCATGCAGTGGTCCCTCTTACGTGGTGCTAAAAATAGAAAACGCATGGCCACTTTCAACGCTAAAAGTATTCACTTCCGCATTTTTGTTTTGATATGTTGCATGCGATCGTTTTGCTTTCAGAGTCTTATATTGATCGATATATTGACTTAAATTTTAAACAAGGTTTATTCAAAGTGAAAAAGACGTTAATAAATTAAGTTTCTTGTTTACAGGAAAGCGTTTAAGATAGACTCATTATTGCCCCAAGTTGAAGCAAAACGCCGGCGAGAAGCACAAATAACAAAGTAAGTTTTTGGGGGGTCTGTTTGGGTAATTTGATGTTAATGTGATGCGTTAATTTGTCCCACCGAAATAGTGATAATACCCACAAACAAAATACGAATGACAAACAATACCTCGTTACTGAGGTATCAGTTTGCTTTGAGCTTCGCTTCGTAGGCATGGATGGCGCACGTGTTGTTGAATCAAATATTGGTTGACCTCAATTCCAAAATAATTATACATGTTCTCCAAAGGCTTTTAGTCATTGGTGTGTTTTTTAAAAAAAAAAGAAGGATATACGTGTATCATACTATTTGTTTTGCAAAACCGTTCGTCCATTTTCTATCTGTAGACACACAAGGCTCAGGATGTGTATGAGTTAATTGTTTGAGCTCAATTAGTCATGTTAGTAGATTGCCATTAGTGATAGGTATGAAATTACCTACATGCTTTTCATGACATCAACATTTCATAATGCACAATTTTATTATATATATGTAATATTTGTTTGGTGTCATCAAATGTATTTTGTTAAACTTTCAGCTACAAGTCAGAGTTTATGAATTTAACCTTTAAAGGATTTGCAGACCCTGGGAGTAAGTTCAATTTTATATTTCTTTGCTACATGATTTAGACTGGATACTAGTGACAAATGCGTTTGCTGATATTTATTTACAGTGAATCTACACATGCATTAGCCCAACATCTCTTCCTATTTATTTCTGATAAGTTCAGATGTGGTACATATCATCTGTAAGCCAACAGTTGTTCAATATTTCTTCCAGTTCCAAGTGACAATGACACTGCTGATGTTGAAATACTATTGCTGAAAATATGTCACAAGAAGAGGAAGGTTTGTACACCATATTGTGTTTTTGATAATGTCCACTTATGTATTGGTAAACAAATTTTAGACATACAAGTAAATTTAACTCCTATTGTCTTTTTTTATGATCTTTGTAAAGATTGTCACAGTAGAATTTCAGGCCATAGGATCTATTAAAATCTATTTGATAAAAGAATTTACTAGTCTATTTGATAAAAGAATTTACTAGTGGTTATGCTAACTCTTTTGTTTCATATCTAAAAGTATTAAATTGTTTCGCTTGTAAAAAATAGCACTTATTTGTTACAAAAGACCCTACCCTAAAAATGATTGACCATTCATTTCGTATCTGGTTGAAAAGAAATTAGGGTTCCTTTCTCCTGTTTGCTCAAATATGTTGTGGATGTTTACCATATGTCCTTTTTTATGATGAATGAACAAATTTCTATTTTAGGATGTGTCGTCTCCTGTAATGCAAACAGTCCTGGGCAAGGTGAAGGTCAGCCTCAACCCTGATGTTGACATCTCTCCTGCCAACACGCTGACAATAGGTCATGACAATTTTCATCACAATAATGGTCATGCCGTCCGCTCCTATGTACTGGTCATCAAAGTAGTCTGCCCGGTCCGTCGCCATCTCCCCAATGGTGTCTGTAACGGAGATTTGTATGATTCAGGTAAGCTTCGTATATGTAATAGTGGTTGTAGAATATTACATGTTGGTGTCTCATTTCTGGGACTAATCAGATGTTAACCAGCCCAAAGTTGGTTGAAATTGCCAAATTGGATTCAGGCATGTGATTTTGAAAGTCAGACTTTCATGGACCATTGTTGGCTGTTTGCAACCCCAAACTCTGACTTTTCGATCACCTGCCTGGGTATTTTTTAATTATTCCAGTTCCTGATATCCTGGTGATAATTAAAGTTGTAGATTTCTCTGATGGCAGCACCAATGAAGAGTAAGATCGGAAATGTTCAAGCATATATTATTGTATTTAATGCAATTAGAAATACCTTTAACTTTATTAAAAACTTTATAAATTTTTAAAAGAAATCCCAATTTTACACATAATGACTGTTTTTTCCAACGTGTCTTGTTTGGAATTCTAACTAAATCCCAGCATATTAAGTCACCTGACCAGATTGGATTGTTCTTGTGTGTGCCCTGGTTGACGGTGCCCCAACAACATGGATCATTGCTCATGCTCTAAGCCACTGGTTTACCTGACTCTGGCCTGGTAGTTATTGGGTAAAAGGTGCCAACCAGTTAGCAAACCTAGTGCCATCAGGTCATAAACCAAGTCCGTCATGGTGACAGTAGTGTTCCTCCCTCCTCTCGTAGCTGCGTGTTTGGCAAAGTCCAGCATAGTTTGTGTGCTTTTGTTCATTAGCGTTAGAGAATTTCTTGTCCTTAAATTTATTCTCCAGCAGTTTAATCGCATATTTTTGTCATGTATTGATTTGAAACATGTTATGTTATATTGAAAGTGTTTTAGTAACTTAAACTATCTAGTACTATGTAGATATTTCTCATGTATTTGTGGTCATTTGTGCCACCTCACTAATTGTCCATATCTGGTAGTAAATGTTTAATGGAACCTTTGGATAGCTTATGTTCAGCCCTTTATTTTGGTATCTTTTTCTCACATATTTCTTTAGTACTTAGTTTGCTATTCGGGTTGTCCCTATTTTAAGAAACGGGGGCACGGGTGGCCCAGTAGTCTAAGGCACCGCGATTCGCTGTGCAGAGTTGCGTCCCCTGGACACGCCAGAAACCTAGGATTGTGGGTTCGAATCCCGGTTCACCCCGATTATGTTTCTAGGTTTGTCAGCACCATACCCGTGCTTGTGGGTTTCACCGAAGTGGTAAACGTCTGAGACCTGCATCACTTCAGGCTTTCCTCCAACATTAAGCTGACGCGCTGTGATATGACTGGAATAATGTTAAAAGCGGTATTAAACCCAACTCACTCACTCACTCACTATTTTAAGAAACACATTCTGTTAGCTGCCCCAGGCTTTATCGTTCTCCAGGCTAGCAAGGGGAGGTTGCTGTCTCCTGTCTCCGACGTTTATAACCCTTGGCGATATCATGTTTATCTACCGCCAGGTTTCGCTGGACCGTATACGGGTTGTCTTGTTACTGGGTGGTCAGGTTGAAACTTTGTTTCACTTGTAAGTAATTATGGGGCAGTTTTCAATCTAGTACTGACTTACTTCTGGTGTTACTGAGCTAAACTTGTTAGCTAGGAAGTTTCATTTTTAGTATTCTGTGAATAAGCAATTACCCCGGAATTGTCTAGATTAGGTCAAGTACCTTTTTATAATTGGGAATCAAATTACTCTTTTTGTCAAATACCTTTTTATTGTTATGAGTCTAGATACTCTGTAGGTCAAGGACCTGTGTTTTCGGGAAGTCTAGAATTTCCTTGCTCAGTATAACTTACTTCAGTCTATAAAGTTATATTGTTATTCAGGCATTTTCATCTATCTTAATTGTCCAAGAGACTTATTTTAGGGGTAGGCCCTCAGTGCTCATTTCTTCCTATCTAACCAATTTGAGGGGATTCGCTCATTAGAGTGAGTTAATTAACTCAAAGGTGTAAACAGGTCACAGCCGACTTAGTTGACTGTCTATGCATCTTGTTGATTGCCTTGCCGAGTGTTGATTTAGCTATCTTTCATAATAACTGATATACAGTTGCTTAGCTAATCAGCTTGTAGATTTGTTTTGGTTTAATTAATCAGTGATCATTGTCAGTGTCAATTGGTCAGTGCCTCTTCAGTTATGGTTAGCTGATAATAATAAAACTGAACTTTTACCATGGTTTTCTGTTATCATTCTTTACTTATTGAATGACATCCTGGTCTCTGGAGCACAGCACCTTGACACCTAGTAATTGGGATTCAGGTTATTCAATCAGAACCATGCATGTTGATGTAAAATATGGCAGCCAAATTAGATTGCTACTATTGGTTAGGATTTTATTGGACTAATGGCTTGTTATGCAGTGTTGCAATGTATATAACATGACAGCAAAATATTCCATTTTCTAATGAAACATTTTTTTAAATTCCTTATCGACTATGTACAAGTGTAGTTTTATAATTTGCCAAAAATTGTTAAGTTTTTTGTCATTGTCTCAATCAGATCTAAAAGATGATGAATCATTAGCTTACTGGCCAGCCAAGTACACCAAGGGAACAAGTTTTCATGTTTGTTGAGAAAACTGGAAATGGAAAAAAAATATTAAAAGGTGAGGAAAATACTTCCAAATATTGTCTATGTAGTTGACGACTAACTCCTTATTTGCAGATGAACCACCTCATAAACGTAGGAAAAATGGCAAAACATTCTCCCATGATGAAGATTCCCTCCATTATGGGGCCGAACTAGTCATATATGATAAGCACAGGCGCTGTCTGCTCACTGATGGAGACTACGAGGTGGCCCTACAGGACCTGGGCTCCCAACCTCTTCCTAAAGGACAGGCAGCATGGGAGACCGTCATGGATGGAAAGGTAAAGTTGCTCTTGCCAGTCTCCGTTATCCAGTGTGTTATCACTCCATTCCATAATGACATAGTGCATACTCTGGACTGTATACCACCAACTCGACACAACACTTCCTAACGAGAGTTCAGAATAGATCTACATTCAAAATACCATCCCCTTTTGAGTAAGCCCTCAATATTTTTCCAATGTCGGATTTTTCGATGACTTTGAATGAATATCTAGCTGGAAAATATTTCTCTTTCGTATTAAGATGGGGAGGGAAGTTCTCACGCTAGAGGTTTTTCGCTAGAGGTTTTTCGCAGTACTATTTGAGAGGTATGCTTGTGGTGGCAAGTGGCCCTGTGCATAGCACACAGGTCACAAATCAGGTGAAGTTAAGGAACGGTGGTTGCAGGGAGCCCTTGGATGGGTGACTGCATTTCAGCAGCTTGGCTCCTGAGTTTCCTAGGGCTTTGGTCTTGCCCCACACTGAAGCTCATGTAACACATGTGGTGTCTCTTTGGGCAAGTCCCCTACGAGGGTATGTAAGACCACATCATTCTAAGTACATTTATTCTTACATCGGTTTTAAACGTAGTATATTTGTTTATTTTAATTGTTGGCTTAATTGCATCCCATCACCAGCAGCTGAAGTGTTGGTGTAAATCCTGCTGGGGAGCCTTGTAGGTAGCAAAAGTAATGTAAGTCCCCACGGTCCCTAGTGAGGTGGCATCACTTTGGCTGCTGGTGATCTTTAGCCCTTTTTTATATTGTATTGTTGAATGAAAATGTATTCTTTAAACTGTTCTCAACTAGTTTTAAAATCGAAACTGTGATACTCTAGTTATCTTACTGTCCATCGTTGACAGCTTTTTAATTAAATCAAAATATAATTATTATAACTGTTTCGTCACGATATGGCTGAAATATTGCCGATGTGACGTTAAATTTCACTCACTCACTCACTCACTCACTCACTCACTTTGGGCAAGTGACTTTGTTCGAAATGTGTCTGTTCACCCAGCAGTGAGTGGGTACCCGGTAGGATGAGACGGTAATGTGGCTGTTAACCTTCCAGTGCCTAACAGGCAGCTTCTGTTGTATACTCACTAGGGAGCTGAGAATGATTCTTGAGTGCACATTGATCTAGTGACTGGTGTAATAATAGCGCTTTCAGCAAGACTGGTGGGGAAATATGTGCAAACTAAATAGCCTATGCTGGAATTATCCTGGAAACCTCCCCTGGTCCAAAAGCAATGAGATTTTTTGGCATGTGATGAGATTTTGCTAATTTTCAGAGATATTTCATCTTCACACGGTGGGGAAACTGTATTTGATTTTTGGTCCTTGTGACTCAAGTAATATTGCAAGTAATATTACTAGATTATATAGATATATCATCGGATATATCATCGGATATCCTATTTTCAGGCATTAATTATTCCACTGCGAATACATGTATTTAAAAATATTTGCATTAGTATTAACAAAAAAATACATTCGACTTATATTTCTGTTCATTGTCTACTTTAGGAAAAATTACACTAATATTTATGTGTTTCTGTTCATTGTTGACTTGATGGGGAATTATTCGCGAGGACAATTATAGATTGTTTAGGAGGCATGTTTACCACCATCAGCTGTACATTTTGTTGGCATGCTGAGACAACAATCTGCAGTTATCAAATTTCAACAGTGTGTGTTTAGATCGTAATTCAATATATTTAGAGTGATGACATGAAATAGCGACTGTTGTAAAAGGTAATACAGTTTGTTGGCAAATAATATATGATTTACATATAGGAATTGGTTATGCACAGTAAGAGATAGCATGCAATGTTGCGAGTATGCAAATTGCTGTTATGATTGACAACTTTTGATGATCGAATAAACTAGCGTGTAAGTTTTTTTATTGACATTTTTAGGTACCGTAGATAAATTTATTCAAGCAATACAGCATTTTCTATTTTTGTAGGTGAAAATGAGAGTTAATGCAGATAAAACTATTGAAAGATCTATGCGATTTTCAATCACGCTGATTGAATGTTGATGCGATATCTACGACAACTATGCGAGAATATCGAGGAATCACGGCCTAAGTCATTCCCTGCGGTAGAAGTTGACACTTGTCCTGTAGTCCTTGCAAAACTGCCCAATAGTTAAGGTATCATAATGACTAGTAGAAATTTGCCATTTGTAAGTGTTTTCGTATATGTTATCATTATAAGGACTAGTGGACTAAAACTATTGGAGATCTATATTTTGTGTTGTCATCCGACCTGGACTGAACACGGAGATATGATATAACTTCAATACTATAACTCACTCATCTAAATTTGGGGCACAGTTGGCATAAGGTCCCTCATGCTGCTCTGCAGACTTGCGTTCCACAGACATGCATCAATCCTATGATTATGGGTGAGGATCTCAGCTTTTTTCTGAGTATGTTTCTTGGTTTGTCAGCTGCATACCTGTGCTCGTGGGTCCATCAAAGTGGGGAGCGAATAAGACCTGCCTCGCCTGTAGCTTTCCTGAAGCACTGATCAAAGAGGCTTAAACCAAACCCACGCTATCATCATTGTAACAATCTCATAGTGATATTCATATTTTCATGCACAGGCAGTGGGACCATTTGAAGTTTTTAACAAATGTCCAACACTCAAGTTGAGCCTGCGCTGGACGGAGACTGCTGAGGGCTCCGGGGACCATGCAAGTGTGAAGGCAGCTCAGGAAGAGTTCATCAACAACAATCAGCTCGCTAACCATATCCTGGATAACGATAACTCAGGTAGGCAAACAGGACTCCCATGGTCAACCGTCAGTCATGTTGGCAAACATAACTTGGCTGGCAACTGTTACTCAAGTAGTTAACCATAAAAGGTAATTAACTAGATACAGGTAATTAACTAGAACTCAAATGGGCAACCCTGAGTCCAAGGGCAACAATGAATCAGTGAGCAACCATCATGAAACATGACAGATGGGCAACCATGACCCAGATGGGCAACCATCATGAACTATGACTCAGATGGGCAACCATCATGGATCATGACTTAGATGGGCAACCATCATGGATCATGACTCAGTGGGCAACCATCATGGATCATGACTCAGTGGGCAACAATCATGGATCATGACTCAAATGGGCAACCAGGACTCAGATGGGCAACCATCATGAACTATGACTCAGATGGGCAACCATCATGAACTATGACTCAGATGGGCAACCATCATGGATCATGACTTAGATGGGCAACCATCATGGATCATGACTCAGTGGGCAACCATCATGGATCATGACTCAGATGGGCATCCATGACTCAGATGGGCAACCATCATGAACCATGACTCAGATGGGCAACCATCATGGATCATGACTCAGATGGGCAACCATCATGAACCATGACTCAGATGGGCAACCATGACTCAGTGGGCAACCATCATGAACCATGACTCAGATGGGCAACCATGACCCACTGGGCAACCATCATGGACCATGACTCAAATGCAACCATGACGCGGTCGGGAAACATTATCTCTTTGTCTTAGCATAAATGTCTGCCAAATTAATTTTGGGCATGTAGATCAGTATCTTGGTGTGTCCACCATGTTGGGCAATACATGCACGACACCTTGGTATAACCAGCCATTCCACCTGATGAGCTACCACAAGCTGGGCCACGATGGTGGGTACTGGGTACGCTCTCCGCCCGAGAACATCCCATAGATGTCCTATTGGGCATAAACACCAGTCCCATGGTGTTGACGAGCACACCCCACCTGTGGTAAGCTGTTAGGGTCACACCCTTCACAGGATGCCTTAGTTTGGGGCAAACTGCATAGAGCCTTATTTTAACGGTACAGGGTCACGGGTGGCCCAGTCATCTAAGGCGCCGCAATTCACTGTGCAGAGTTAAAAGCAGCGTTAAGCCCGACTCACTCACTCACTTAAAGGTAGATGTTGAAATTTGGCTTCCTGTTATCGTATGGAATTTTCTTTTGAGAACAGCAGCAGATCTGAATCGGTTGCAAAGTGCAATTTATGTAACGAGGATATCTTGTGTTGGTTTTTGCCACGCTCATGTCTCATAGCAACCCCACATGTTTTACGATACTTGTCACTCTGTCGAGTAAATTACACTTGTGGATTTGCCAAACATTCGGGCAACGTTGATGTCTTTCCCTCCCCCCCCATCTATCATGCCCACAATTCACCACTTTGTCTGTTCATTAAGATACTGTTTGTTTGTTGTTTAACGCCGCACTCAGCAATATTCCAGCTTTATGACGGCGGTCTGTAAATAATTGAGTCTGGACCAGACTATCTAGTGTTTGGTATCATGAGCATCGATCCCTGAAATTGGGACACGATGACATGCATCAACCAAGTCAGCGGGTTTGACCACCTGATCACGATAGTCACCTCTTACGACAAGCATGTTGAGATCTGTCTCAGGGGCATTTTTAAGTGTCTGCTAAGCTCAATTGCCTTACTATTTGTGCATTCTCTTACAGGTGCACCCACTTTAGCTTTTGTGTGCACGTGCATCACATGCTATTCATGCATGATGTTAAACTACAATGTGATTAGATGTTGCATACACCTCAATGACAACCTACATTCAAATTATTAGTTCCCTTACTTTTTGTCGTTAGTATATATTGTACGATTGGAGGATCTTGAAGTGAGATTACTTGAATTTTTTTTTATGGCTGCAGGCCTAAATCACCCTCACTGGACTGGACAAAGGTGAAAACCTGCCAGCACAATGCTTAAACAATATTTGCTACATCCATATACGTCTGCTGTTCAGGGAAACACAAGGACACTCCAGTCCACAGGTTGAAAGATTCCAATCAAACAACCCCCCGGAAGCGAAGTCGTATATTTTACCAGTTTCTGTACAATAACAACACAAGGCAGCAGACGGAGGCGAGGGAAGACCTCCGATGTCCATGGTGCTCAATAAACTGCATGCAACTCTACAGTCTCCTCAAACACCTCCGCCTTGACCACGCCCGCTTCGACTTCCTCTATGTGGTGAGTTCCTGGATATATCTCAGATTCCAAACTAAGTGTCCTTGTCAGGCAAATTATGTGTTTTCAAAAACAAGGATTTCTTTTAGTTTTTAATTTCCGAAATTCAGAGGTATTAATGTGAAACGAAGCATTAAGGTGTCATCTTCTTTATTGGATGTGTTGTCAGTGCAATACAGCTTCACCTCTGCAAAGCCATAAGATAAGTTGTGACTGATAAAAATGGGAAGGTTTTTATTCCAATTTGGGAAATTTTACTGACAATTGCTGAAGACTTTGGACCAAATATATCAGTCTTTGGACAGGTCTCCATAAACCTCAGGTGTTCGAAGATGTAACACTACATTTCTGTACTAACTGATGTCATGACACATTGAGCAGGGTAATTGTTGGAAAAGAGTCAAGTGCCAAAATGTGATGGATGTACTTTCTACTCATGAAAAAATAAGATGCCCTGGCTAGACTGAGTACTGACTGCACTGAAATATCCTTTGGTTATTGCTTTTACTTCAAGTATTTTTTCATCAAAGCATGGGGGTGGTCGGGGAGCCTAGTGGTTAAAGCGTTCGCTCGTCACGCCGAAGACCCGGGTTCGAATCCCAACATGGGTTCAATGTGTGAAGCCCATTTCTGGTGTCCCCCGCCATGATATTGCTGGAATATTGCTAAAAGCGGCATAAAACCAAAATCACTCACTCACTCATCAAAGCATGAAATGACAATGGTCGTTTTCTTTTTCAGCCTCATTCCAAAGATGCCAGAATTGATGTGTCAATAAATGAACGTTACGATGGATCGTATGTGGGCAACCCGCAGGATCTTCATTCCCACATTGGGTATGCATTCAGCCGCAATGGCCCAGTCAGGAGAACGCCAGTCACACATGTGATCGTGTACCGGTGAGTGCAGTGAAAGGATTGACCTTGAGATCAGATCTGTTTCTCTGATACAATACAATTCCATATGACCATGTGAGTAACCCTGCATATGTGGTTGGGTCAGGTGGACCTGAGTGAATTTAGACCTCATTTTCAATGACATATTGGTGGGTTCTTGAGCCAGGAAGATGTCAGTTTTGTAAAAAAAATCCGCCTTTTTTTTTTTTTTTTTATTCAGAAATTTTGATTTTTACAAAAGAATACCCACACAGAATACAAATATTCCTTTAATGATTCTCCCTTGGGGTGGATGCCATTGGACTCAGCGATGTCAGGATGTATAAAAAAATCCACATACAATAGACATGCCATTATTATTTTTATTCAGAACTGATAATTTTTGTAACTTTTAAGATACAGAAACCTGTGAAGATCTTGGTTAGAATAGGTCTTCAGCAACCATGCTATTGTGAAGGGCGACCATACTTGCTGTATGACCGAGTGGTCAGGCTTGCCGACTTAGTTGATGCATGTCATTGTATCCCAATTGTGTGGATCGATGCTCATGGTGTCAGTCACTGGATTGTCTGGTCCAGACTCGATTATTTACAGACCGCTATTATATAGCTGGAATATTGCTGAGTGTGGTGTCAAACAACAAACAAACAAGATACAGAAATGAGATTTGCTGCTGAATACTTCGCTCACTCGTACCGAGAATTTAGAAGCTTCAGCACTGATTGCATATTTATAAAGTCCCCCTGATGTGACCTCATGTGGAGGGTTTGTCCTGACCTCATGTGGAGGGTTTGTCCTGACCTCATGTGGAGGGTTTGTCCTGACCTCATGTGGAGGGTTTGTCCTGACCTCATGTGGAGGGTTTGTCCTAACCTCATGTGGAGGGTTTGTCCGATCTTCATACAGAGAGGTATTTGTGAAAGTATCTGATCTTGGTGAGATTGCCTCCAAAGTGATCTAGATGATGTAATCAAAGCATAGCAGTAATTACTTGGGTGGGGGTAGTTTGAAAGTCAACACGCTCTCAGGATACGAGATATCACAATGGAAAATGGTTGGGGCAGATGGAAATTTCAGACTTAAAAGTGTTAAAAGAAAATTGTAAATCTTGAAACTACAGGCATAAATGAGCACTCTGAAAGTGACACTTGCATGATTATTTTAAACAGGAGGAACTGGAAAACAACGGAGTCAGTGATGACCCTATTGGGAGTCAAGGGCATAGTTGTACAATTGTTACTTGTGCTGGAATTAGATTCGCCCTGTACAAGGCTTAATATTGATACCAGGAGACACCACTAAATATCTAAATCTGAACCCTAAACATTGTCGAAGATCTGTATCATTTCACCTTTATAAATTCATTCTTAGAAGATCTTTGATAGCAATACATACCAAATATATAATTAAACTTTGACTCCAACAATTTATTTGTGTTGTAGCACTACAGAGTGTTGAGATTTATAATCTGTCACATTATATTCAGGTATTTCTTCTAGAACAGAAAGTTCTTGAATGAAACATGACTGTGTAACTGATACTACACTGTATTGTAAGCACTTCATGTGGCCTGTACGCCGAAGACCCGGGTTCGATTCCCGACATGGGTACAATGTGTGAAGCCCATTTCTGGTGTCCCCCGCCGTGATATTGCTGGAATATTGCTAAAAGCGGCGTAAAACCATACTCACTCACTCACTCATGTGGCCTGTGACCTTTCATACAATACACATTCAAATAATTTCTATAGCTCATACAAGAAGTAATTTTTCAACTGTTTTCTCCTTTAATGTCGTAAGATAATGGAATGTCTGCTAGGTATGACAGTGATGGAGAAGGTATACTGGACAACTGATGAACCCACCACTGACAGACTTTGTTGATCATGTATTGTGTTTAGACCCAAGCGCCCAGAGGCATCACTTACAGAGTTCATGGAACCAGAAAATGACATCCAGATCAACCGTCAGTTTGTTCAGGGACATAATAGGTGAGAAAAGATATTTACTTGCACATTGTTAGTAGTACTAGTAGTGGGACGTTACACCGATGCATCGGTGGATCGTGATTTTTACTTCTCGAATCAAGTATCGATCACAATCGCACACAAGTAAAAAGTATAGATTCCTACCTTAAATGTATTTTTAATAAATGTTACACCAAACACGAATTACTAGTGAAAATGAAATGAGTAGTGAAAACGTAAATAATTTCATCCATTGTGCCACACTTGACACTGCAAACTGTCACTAAATCGTTAGTGTGCCAGGTATTTGGCCATCCTGTCTATGAAAAAGATGGCTTACGCACCACAGTTATACAGATAAGACCACGTGCAAGTATCGTGATACGTATCGGATTGTGAGCAAAACTTGTGATACATATCGGATCGCACAGTTGGTGTATCATCCCAGCCCTAATTGTTAGTGTGGGAACATTTGTCTTTTTGACCCTGACAGGGCTCTCACAAGCTTGGAAGACTTCAGTTTATTAGGGTACTTGAATTTGTTAGTTACACTTTTAAAATGTGAACATTCACACTAACCAAATTCGTTAACTTGGGAGGTGATTCAGAATGTGGTAGAACAATGTCTGTTTTTAAGTTGTGGTTGCACATTTACACAGACATCTTACAACTTGAACAAAATGAAATTTGTACTTTGTAAGTACTTAAAAGTTTCGCACGGGTGAGATGCACCATGGCTTTGATCTCTAGGGAATGTAGTGGGGCTTAATTATGGGCCAGTATTGAGTGATTTTATGTGTGTTTCAACTGCTCCTGGTGTCGCTGTTCCAGACTGTATTATCACCTGGTAACTTGTGCACCAATCCGACCTCAGGAGATAGACTTCGACAACGAAGCAGAGAACGATCCTCTGTGGCTGAGACAGAAGACAATAAACGTAAGTTTTCCAGAGCTTTCCTTCTACACAGATATCTTTATTACGCACAGTGATGGGGTCACAGATGGCCCAGTTGTCTAACATGCCACACTTTGCTGTGCTGTGTTGCCTCCCTTGGTCGTGCAAGAATCCGATGATTGTTGGTTTGAGTATCAGATTTGCCCTGATTATCATTCCATACCCATGCTCATGGGTGGTAAATATGAAAGATCTCTCTTCCTTTCGGGCTGTCCTCCCGTATTAAGCTGAAGTAACTGAGACTGTTTAAGTATCTTTAAACCAAACTTAACTCGCTCGCCCCTGCGGGTCAGTCGGGTAGCCTAGTGGTTAAAGTGTTCGCTCGTCACGCTGGAGACCCTTGGTTCGATACCCGACATGGATACAATGTGTGAATCCCATTTCTGGTGTCCCCCGCCCTGATATTGCTGGAATATTGCTAAAAGTGGCATAAAACCACTCACTCACTCACTCACTCACTCACTCACTCACTCACTCACTCTAAGGGGCAGTCGGGTAGCCTAGAGGTTAAAGCGTTCGCTCATCACGCCGAAGACCCGGGTTCTGTTCCCGCCATGGGTACAATGTGTGAAGCCCATTTCTGGTGTCCCCCGCCGTGATATTGCTGGAATATTGCTAAAAGCGGCGTAAAACCATACTCACTCACTCACTCACTCACTCACTCACTCACTCACTCACTCACTCAGCACACTTGTAGTCTTAATGCTTATAAGAACACATCTCAGCACACTTGTAGTCTTAATACTTATAAGAACACATCTATGATTTGTTCAAATGTGTGCAATACGTCAGTTCACTTGCCGGTTTGGACACTCCCTGTCCCTTGGATTTTTATGACAGTTGGGTTGCAGTAACCACACTGTTTGGTTGTGTTGCAGATGATCGATGAGTTCACTGATGTCAATGAGGGGGAGAAGGAGCTGATGAAGCTGTGGAACCTCCACATCATCAAACATGAGTATGCTGCTTCACATATACACTGCTTCTTTCTTTCCTCTTTTTGCTGGTGTCCCCTGTCTTGATATTGCTAGAATATTGCTAGAATATTGTTAGAATATTGCTAGGATATTGCTAGAATATTGCTAGAATATTGTTAGAATATTGCTAGAATATTGCTAGAATATTGCTAAAAGTGGTGTAAAACCACGCTTGCTCACTCTTTCTTGGCCCTGTGGGAGCAGAATCAGATGCCCAGTACCCAATTTCATAAGAGACAACTTTATGAGGACCTTAGTAACTGTGTTGCCAAGACAACAAGGAACATGATATGAAATTTGAAAAAAATATTGGTGGGCAATTGCTTGACTAACATACATGATTTTAAGTAGTGCGTTTATACGTAAGAAACATTTCTTTCCTCTCTTTTTGGTTAAAAAAAAAAATTGTTTTGCTTCCAAAAGAGGCCTAAAGCCATACTGTCTTTCAAGCAATGTTTCTATGGAAACTCCTTTTGTATGCAAAAACCTGTAATGTTTGTGTCTTCCCAGGTACATCGCAGACTGCCAGCTCGGCACAGCGTGCAAGACATTCATTGAGGAGAATGGGGAGATTGTTATAGAGAAGGATCTGTGTAGGAACTTCATGCTGCACATGGTCAACCTATTTGACTTCAGCCTCATCAAGCCAGACCTCGTCCACAACATCATGGGACAGCTGGAGTGCATGAAACACCGGATCAAGGTTGAAAGTACTTCTTGAGGAGAATCCGTTGTGCTTTGTGTTGGATTATTGCTGTTTGAAGTGGACCAAGGGCTCTAGCTTAACAGGGTTAAGATTCACAGAAAGGACAACATGTTCAAGTTCCTTCTGAAAATCTAGGAAATGCCCTAGAGCTAACAATGAAGAAATCCCAGTGAGTGGCTGAAGATTTTGCGAGTGTTCACAGCTATAATGGATATAGTTTCGAATGAATCTTTGGAATATCCTTTTGTATGGTTTATATGCAGAAGAGGCAACATGAAGGGATATTGCAAGATGGTGTTTGAAGCAAGCAAGCAGGATTTGAAGCTGCAGGCCCTAACAGTCAGATGAACTAATGGGAGAAGTGCTCCTAGCGCGAGGTGTATATATTGTATGAAGCATTGCATCCTTCAAGATGTGGTGCTGGAGTTAGATGGATTAAAGGCTGTCTGGGCCCTAAGTGGTCCATTTGCATGACATGATTGGAGCAATACCCCTGTTACAAAAATATATAGTGAGGTTCAGATTATCGTGATTATTATGATAAGTAATCCTTTGATGCACTCATCTGTGGACTGAGTTAAGATGTTGATTGTGGATTTTAGCTCTCCAGGATCAAAGGTCCTTGTAAGCACTGGTCATGGCTCATTCTAGGGATTATTTAATGTTTTTGACCGTTGCATAGAACTTGGAATTTGCAGATAGTGAGGTTCGTTTTTGAGGCTGAAGCTTTGTCAAGTTAATCAGTGACATAGTCGTGGGATTCGGTATTGGATCATTTTTATTGGGAAGAAATAATCTCCTGGTTGTCAAAGTGCTTTCGAGGTGTTTGTGAAACATTAACAATGGCTGACGTGCTTTGTAACATACTCAATGACAAAGTTATAAATAATCACAGTTGCAAGCTTTGGACATAGAGAATCAATAAATTCAATTTTAAGGCTGTAATAGTTACAAGATAAATGTTAATTATTTGTACAATTGGTTTGAAAAGCCCCAGTCTTTTGATAATCAAGATGAATTTTCTTGTTGCTTCACAGATCCGCCAACATGAACAATATCTGTCCGCTCTTCTCCTCTATGTTAACATGAAATATTCCTCGAATTATTTTGTGTTGAAAAAAAAGGATTCCTTTTGAAATACGAAATACATAGCAAAGTGTCAGCCGCAATTTGAGCCAATTTCAAACAGTTTTCTGATCTCTAGCGATACAATTTCATGGACTGTGATCGTGGTTTTGCTTCAATTATTTATTGCAAATGGTTCCATATGGAAGAATGTTTTTCCCCCAAGTGTTACTAAGTCAACAATGCATTGAATTGACATGGGACTGATCAGCTTTCTCTGAGCATTGTCCAGTTATCAGTGGTATATAGAAGAACACCAGATCAAAAATTGACTCTTTTAATTCTTGATCCGATTTATTCTGGTATAACATTTAGTAAATATATCTGGTGTTGAAGTGGAAGAATTTGCCCGATCTCGTGACTACCGTGATACAGCCATCTTACTTTCAGAGTCCTGGACAGAAAATGTTGCTACGAGGTCCGACTTTGCATGTGTCTATTGAAGTAGGATAGCCTACTGGTTACAACATTAGCTTCCCACACCAAAGACCTGGGTTGGATTCCATTAGGGTACAATGTGTGGAGTCTGTTCTTGGTGTCCCCTGTGGGGACATTGTTTGATAAACCCATACTCACGCACTAGAACAATTTTTGTATGAGGTGAAAGAAAACCGATATACCCTTGACACATGGATGTTAGCTTGGGTGCTTGAGTAAGCTATGATAGGCTGTAGGTAAGACATGTACTCACTTGTAGTAGAATGTTGCTAGTTTTTGTTGTTTTGGGATGTGGAAAGAAAATCTGGCTGCATTTGTATATTAACTTTGCTCAGGACGTACATACCATCAAAGCATGTTCCAGTACCTGTTTACATGGGGAGAACAAACTTGAAGTCAGTAGCCCAAAATAGTTTGTGGAGAAATGTGTTGAAAGAACCTTCATAGCAGTGTCTGAAGTACTAGTAACCCCCAACAAGGCAGCCATGCTGGCGGTTCATAAATGTAACTGGCCTGCCTTATAGGTGCAGGCAGCATTTGGAACTACATGCTGGGGTAGATAATCACTATTATTTTTATCAGACTTTCTGCACTCTTTGTCTTTATCCTTTACAGCTATGTAATCAGAGATAGCGGTTGCTCTCAGGTTAGTGAGGGATATATCCGATTCAAAATTTTCACTGTCACTGAAATGTTTTCTGCAAGACGTTTGGGCAAGTAGGTATAAGTTTCACCTATCCCAACAGAAATGGTAGCATCCACGAGACAGTGGGCAGGCAGCTATTTCAGACACTGCTTCATTGTCGCATGTGTATTTGCTCAGAGAGGGAAGATAATTCTGAAACAGCATTAAGTTTTTGGCTCCTACTTGAATGATTTTCAGTTGTTGAAAATGCTGTCTTCAAGAGATAATTTGGATCTCGCAGATGGGCGTTCTTCCCTGAGATGATATCAGGTAGAACTCCCAGCTGGTCTTGTCACTATTTGGGCTAATAGTCTTTACAAGTTCAGTTCTATCTTTGTCATACAGCATTCATACTTGTACAGCTGCTCCTTACCTGTCACATGAAATGGCAGCTGTGTCACCATCGACCTACCTTGTCACAATACTGCCTCTTGGATTGGCGGGATTGCCTAACTGTGAGGTGAGAGACTGCCTAACTGTGAGGTGAGAGATTGCCTAACTGTAGACAGGGTTTAAAAAAGCGGAATAGGTGGACTTTGATTGGCATCTGGAGATTTCTGTATGCTCTGGGTGTTTTTTACATCACATAGGGCTAATGTCAATAAGTGACTACTCTGAGATGAACTAAGAGATTGTATTTAGGCTTTGTTGTTATAGAATTTCCTGAATTGATATGGTTAGTCTGAAGAGCATGGAGAAGAAAATGTGTCTCAACCTAACGTACTGCGTACCTAACATAATGGCTGTAACCGATGCTATGGGTTCAAGATGGTCTGTGTTTAAGGTTGCAATGTGAAACAGAGTTCAATGCATCCACCTTGAAGTGTTGATGCAGATGCAAGAGGTAAAGCTGTATTATTCAGTGTTAAATGTGACGGGAGTTTTTGGTCAGAAATTGCTGATACAACATCTGTTTATTTACAACATGAGAACCAGATGCCTAAACACAACTTTTCTGTTTCTTGTCCATCCTTACATGAAATGTTATTTGGTTCAGTGTATTAGGCTCAATAAAATAAGTCTTGGTTCTCAGCAACGGCCGCATCATCATAAAGTTTGCCGCACGTTTCGGTTTTATTTCCATTTTCAAAAAATCAAAAAATCCTAAGACTTGAAAACAGTGAGATCCAACATAGCACACAGTTACTTTCCTTTACATGCACTCTTTATTACTGCACATCTCGTATTATTGTAATGGTGGCAATCCGAATTTGTATGCTGCTTGTTTATCTAGGGAGGCCCTTTCCCAGTTTGATAGTACACAACTGTTTCTTTGGTTACAAGGCCCCCCCAAAAAACAAAAAAAACAACAACATAACAACGCCCCCCCGCACTATATTTTCAAAAGTCATTGCCTGAGAACCAATTCTTTTATTTTCTTTAAGCCTCAGAAAGTACAGGTCATTTATTTGAGCAGGATGAAAGGGTTACAACAGGACATGCTCAGGTAATCACCTACCCTAAATATGCAATTTGGTGGAGTATCATTAAACATTAAGATAATATTTTGCTCAAAATGTATCAATGAAAACAAAACATTTTTTTTTTTTTTTAAGGCATGTTACATGAAGTAGTCGTATGTCAGAAAAATATTTTTCTTCTTTGGGATACTCTTGTATGTAAAACAGTTTTACTTTCCTGCACAAGCCCAAACCACCCTTTCCCTCATACTAAATGATCTGTTTGAAATTAAGAGCTGCACCCATTCAAATCCATCTGTGTTATTTTCAGAAGAAAACAAACCCTTTCAACTTCTTTGGACAGGTATTTATTTATTTAACTTCACACCTGATACCTTCACACAGTAAGTCATTCATTTGTACCATACCCATAGAAGTGCCATATTTTCTAGAAGTGTCAGTGTTAGAGCGATTGTTACCATGATATCATTGTAATTATGTCTTCTGTGAAAATGTTCCCGACCCCACTGCCACAGTGATGATTTATTCCTTATCAGTTTGACCTTGTTCCTCATGTCCATACCAGAAGATCCTGATGCACAACAGCTGCTGAAAAACATGACAACTTCTATAAGGCTTGGCTAATAATCTACCCCGATAACAGGATTTAGGGCTGTGAAAATTACAGTTGGGTTTTGCGGTTGAAAATCCTCTTATTTTTGCTATTTTCATTGAAATCAGTTCATAAAGATCAGCTTTGGATGATGTCATGATGGTGAACATTTGAACCATTGACTATGTTATAGTGGCTGCCCCTTCAAGTATATTTCAAGCGTTTAAGAAATGAGGAAGACCATCTTCAAACTGAAATGTCATGATATATTGATCACCATCTTTTCACAGGGAAAGGCATTTCACACATGCCACAATAACATGTATTCTTTTACTGAAAATGGATGCTAGACAGTTGAGATTAGTTTCCCTTAAATTCACTTAAGGAGTGGATGGATAGCCAAGTGGGTAGTGTGGTCACTCGCCTTTGTAGCCACTGCTGTTTGGGCTCCATTATGCTTATGTGGGTTTAAACCCCATTCACTCACTGAAGATCTTTCAGTGCATTTTGATAAAACAGGGTGAAGTGGTTGACATATTTTTCAGCAATGGTTGATCTAGTTACTGTCCATCCAACATTGATGTATTTATATGAACATGCATCACTTTGTTCCTGTTTCCAGGCAATACTCCTATTTGTATAACCCTGTAATGTAATCCTACGATAACAGACCCAGTTATACCCAGGACCCCGTTTCACAAAGTGATCTTAGTGCTGAGACGTAACTCTCCTACTGGAACATTGACTTACTGCTGTCATAGCGCTAATATTGCTTTGTGGATTGGACCCAGTTTAAAGCACAAGACAACTGTAATTTTGAGATTATTCTGTCATGCTATTAAGCACATGTCACAGATACACCTTAGGTTTAACAAGGTACATCCATTTTATTAAATGTTCATTGATTATTTGGTTTTGAAGACCAGTGAATGTTAATTTGAGAAGTTCTCAATCGAGTGTGTATTGATGCTCCACCCAAGTCAGTTGCGTGTTTGTCCCAAAACAGATGATATGACAAGGAATGGAGGCATTTCATGCTTGTTTATTCAAAGATGTACAGATGCATACCATCAGAATTCACCGACAGTAAGGTAAACTTGGTCAGAAGTGTGTGGACTGCCTGTTCCTTCATACCCATGGACACCAACATATTCCTTCAAGAAGGATGTCATGCAGAGTTGGTCCTAAACAATCCTCATCACCATGGATACCATGCAAAGCCAGTCCTTCCTTCAGCACCAGGGACACCTAGCCGAGTCAGACCTTCCTCTATCACTTTGGATACCAAGTCATGCTGGTCCTTCTTCATCAACCATGGAAACCAAGTCGAGCTGGTCCTTCCTTTATCACCATGGATACCATGCATTCATGTTGTGACAAGCATGTACACCCGATACCTCAATACTATCAATGTGCCACAGATCAGAACCATTCCACACATTCAGGGCAGAAATGGGATTATTTTATTGAGATTGTCTATTTTAGACATCCATTGCTACTACCATGTGCCACCTATACTGTGACGCAAGCAGCAGGGAATCATTGTATCATCCTCCATGACTGTAACCCTTGTCTTGTCATACTCCATCCCATTACCCCTTCTGTTGTGGTGAAGGTGAGCTTGAAACAAGATAGTCAGGATAGGACACCAGATGGGGATCTTGTCAAAGCATCGCTGAAGTTGAACAAGTTTAGATCCACTGCTATGAAACTCTGCCTTGTGTCCAGTTGCTGCAGTTTCCATTCACTAATCACTGCCTTTGATAAGTATAATTAGCTGGAGTGAGAAATATTAAAATGACATGTGGAATGTAGCAGGAAAATCTTTCATAACCCTAGTGTTAAAAATTGAAGATGCAGGGGTCCAAAGATTCAAATATGGTAGTGGATCCACAGGACCTCCTTAAGTTGGAAATCATCCCCATGTGCTTTTCTCCACTAAGCTATGTTATGACTGTTGATAGGTACCGGCTGCTGACTGACCTTCCAATCCAGTGCACTTATGTTAATGTGATAGTTAGGACATGATACAAAATGTTCAGTGTCGTCTTAGCTAGTTTTGAAATCTCTTTAGAAGACTGGTTTGTCAAAACTGCACCTTGACATGAATTATCATGATACAACAATTACAAACCAAATTAAGAAGTTGGCGTAATACTTAAAAGCGAAACTACTCAGCAAGTAGGTTTTGATACAAGATTCAAATAAAAAAAGTTGTCTGATCCAGACTCGATTATTTGCAGGCTGTCGTCATCTGGCTGTAATATTAGTGAGTTTAGCAACAAACGAAAGTTAATAAACAAACAGATAGATATTAGATATGAGGTACCTGGCACATGTTGTATTAGGCCGTAAGATAAGTCTAAGCATGCTTAGGACACTGCCCTACTCGCAGTGAATAAACAGTCAACCATGAAACTCTGAAGTAAATCCTAATGCAGCACAGTGGTAAGTTCCTGATGTTGAAGTATCTGCAGCATGAGCCGTGGAAGTAAAGACATAGCAGCTTCCTCTGTGAAAATAGAAGCTTGGTGGTTTAAGTGTTCACCCATAACACTTAGACCTTCGTTCTACTCCCCACAGGCACATCTTGACCAGACTCCATTATTTACAGACCGCCGACATATGGCTGGAATATCGCCGAGATTGGTGTTAAACAACAAACAAACATCTGGACATCAGTTCTTGGTGTCCTCCACCTGATACTGCTGCAGGTTTCACAAGACCTTTCCATTGGGTAATGGTGATGCAACATCCCTGTCTGATGCTATCTTGTTCCCAGCCGCCCGAGCATCCATTAACCAGTCTGTATATCCTGTTTATTATGTTAAATGTGTGTGCCATACAAACATGCTAATCATAATGGCATTGTCACGTATCATCTTGACTTGTGGCAGCAGATTTTCTTGCAAACTGTTATTTGTTCCGTATTGTTAACAAAGAAATCAATCTAAAGAGCATCTAAATGGCACAGTTTATATGCAGCTAGTGTTGTCATTTTGGAAGCAATTTGTATGGATACGTGTTTCCAGTGTGTAAGCTGTGTGTCCTGAACACTCAATTGCCACACATTTGTCCACAGGTCATAAAATTCATGATTTTTATGTTATTTCACTGAAGCAAAGGTAACCATCACGTGTCCATCATACCTGAGTTGATAAAAATGGTATGTGAAATCACCGTTTAGGAAGATCCACAAGGACCGGTACTGCACTGGCGGACCATTTCCGTCCTGAATAATATATATTGTGCAGATAACCAAATGGATTGGTTGGTCTGGCTCCGTGACTTGGTTCGCTGCACGCCATCATACCCTGAAGGAGTGGATCATTGCTCACAATGTCACCGGACTGTCTGATCCACCCCTTGATTACCGGTATTTGCAGACCACCATCAGCTGGAATAGTGCCAAGTGAGGTGTTAGGCAACCACCGCTGCTCAACCTTAATGAAAAGATTACTTCAGTAAACTTGAAATGTGGGAAATGACTACCAAACTTGAGGTATTTGAGGTCCATGCACTAAAAATGCTGATTTGAAATGTTTCATTTTATTTGCAGTGAAATAACCTTGAATATGTGTTTGTTGCTTGTGGACAAGCTGTTGGCACCTGAGTATTGGTTTTAAGTCTTCTAGGTTACTATGAGTGGGATGTTGGATTCATATCAGTCAACCTCTTTAACACTCTTCTGATTCATTGTGCATTCGTCAGTGGTAGACATGTGAATTACAGTTGAAAGAGCAAGTATTGTCCACCACATAGCATATATTTATTGTATGTTTCCATGGATACATCATAAACAAAACAGACTCAATGAAACAAGAAGCAGTCTTATTCCAATAATCTGAAAAAATTGTTGCATTTGTCTGTTGTAATCGATGGAAATTGTGAAACTTATGAGGTGTTGAATTCTTGTTATTTTGGTTAGTTTGAATTTAATAATTGTTAGTAAGTCCACTGATATATGAATGGCAAATATTTTGAGCATGTGGAAATTGCATATCCGTTGACTTTGCTTGTTGTGAAAACCGAACAAATGTTTGAAAATGTAAATTTTTCTATCTATATATCCCCTTGTAAAAGTTGGGTGAGTCATTATGCATGAAGATGTTATACCTCCATTGAACATTCAAAGCATTGATCATATGACACATTCATAACATTGATCATGTGATCAAGTCATGTGACTGCTGCAGAATGCCCTGTGTTCATTTTGCACATTTCAAGAGAATGTACAGAGTTTTTGGACCATTGTTTAAATTTTTATCATTAAACTTTTCATATGAAATCCAAATGTGTTATTTATTTGCTTCAGAAACTGATGTTAATGCATCACAATGTGTTACTGTCCCATAACCTATGAGAAAATCCAGTTCTTTGTTGAACAAGTAATAAAATGGAATTCAATCCGCAACAAATAAAACAAGAAAATAATCAACAGAGCTCTGTAGCTCACCTGTATTGGTGTAGAATCTTTGCAACAATAGATTATGATGGTCTTGTTTCAAGAAACAAAAAGACAACAGACATCCAAACTAATAGATTGCATGTTGATACTGTAAATATGTTTCTATATAGAGGAACACACTTAGGTTTTCAACAAGACCAAAAACATTAAGGAAGATCAAAGTACACAAAATATATGCTTTCTATCAGAATTCTGAATCAATTCATTTACTTATTTCGGGACCCGTGAAGATTCCGGGGTAGAATTTGTCTTCAGCAACCCATGCGACTATGCTTATCGTAAGAGGCGACTAACAGGATTGGGTGGTCAGGCTCGCTGACTTGGTTGATACATGTCATCAATCCCAATTGCTTGGATCGATGATCATGATGTCAGTCACTGGATTGTCTGGTCCAGACTTGATTATTTACAGATCACCGTCATACAGCTGGAATATTGCTGAGTGCGGCATTAAACAACAAACAAACAAACAATACTTATTTTGGGGATTATCCAGGTAAACATTTTATATCCAAAAGCCTTTGAGAGGCACTGAAATACAGCAAACTATGTAGACTGGAAAATGTGAAGGTCTTAAGAGGCGTGAGAAAACATGTATTGTGCCTTCAGCTTAATTAGAAAGTTTTCATGCTTCCATTCTCATGACATCACTTCAGGTTTGGAAAACATGCTCAATACTGTACAAGACACGTCTTCCCCAAGCAAGCATATCCACCAGTTCTCGTTTTCACCTTTGCCATTTCAAGCCAACTTAAGACGTATATCACAAGGGAAACAACTTGTTACCCACAGGGTGGCACCATGATCAAGCCAAGAAAAGTTGGCTTGAAATGGCAAGGATGAAAACTAGACTTTGACTTAGGCAAGTGGACACACTTGCCTTGGGAAGATGTACAAGAAAAGTCCATGTCACTGGCCAGGTTAATAATACATTTATTTACCTTCTGTTATGTCACAGTATAGTGAAACACAGGTTAAATCAACCTCAACTCCATCATATTCAAACAATGAAGATAGTATCTACACCAGTACATTGCATATCCATAGAACCACCTCTGTTATCAAACAAGTTATCCATCATATTCCTTTGGTCACTTAATTAGTAAGCTTTATACACTTCAGATTGATGTCACTTTGTGTTTTGGAAGACCAACTCATAACATTACCCAGTATTGGACTGGTTGTCAAGAGTTGTCGCCAACACAAAAATATCCAAATCAAAGACCAGTATCATCATTTTATTTACTCCATTATGCCTGACCTTGAATCGACGCCTGAAGATGCAACAACTACCAAGTTTCAGAACTGTTCATGTAAAGGTGCAACAGTAACTCTGTGATCACCTCGTAGCATTAACCATGTTGACATATTCATAAGGTTGAATTTAAAATGCATGCAATTGTTAAGTTTTTGGCAGTGAGGGTAACTGAAAGAGAAAACCTGACGTGACCTCTAATTGATCTTGACCCATTCTGCATATACTAGTACACACAAACTTGATCCTGGAAGGATGTAATCTAATGTCAATCGTTTGCGTAGTGACCTATGGAAAAAGCACAGGAGAGGCTGTGTAACACACAGTAATAAAAATACACAAAGATATGTAAGATGTTTACTACACATTTGCATTTACAGTGTACATAACTGCTGAGTACAGTGGGCAGTCCTGACCATCACTCTTGATACATCACAAAAGTTTGACAATTTGTATTGAAACTGATCAAAACATTGGTTCATTAATGAATATGTGCACTGCATCATGCCCCCCTGCAGACCTCTGTTCAATACAAATGGCTTCTGTTACACAGGACACCCGCCTACTATTCCACTGTTCCAATGTCCACCTTGTGTTCACCCTGATTTTGCTAAAATTGTTTAGCAGTAGCTCCTGGATCAGATATGGTAGTCTAAAAATACTGAACATTCCTCGTTCCTTCAGTTAATCCCAGAACACTTTCTCTGCATCCTTGAGGTGAGCTGGTACTAACATCCTGGCTACATGTCTCCTGGCCAGAAAATCCCAGAACACTTTCCCTGCTTCCTTGAGGTGAGCTGGTACTAACATCCTGGCTATATGTCTCCTGGCCAGTGAATCACAGAACACTTTCCCTGCTTCCTTGAGGTGAGCTGGTACTAACATCCTGGCTATATGTCTCCTGGCCAATTCATCCCAGAACACTTTCCCTGCATCCTTGAGGTGAGCTGGTACTAACATCCTGGCTGCATGTCTCCTGGCCAGTGAATCCCAGAACACTTTCCCTGCATCCTTGAGGTGAGCTGGTCCTAACATCCTGGCTATATGTCTCCTGGCCAGTGAATCCCAGAACACTTTCCCTGCTTCCTTGAGGTGAGCTGGTACTAACATCCTGGCTATATGTCTCCTGGCCAGTGAATCACAGAACACTTTCCCTGCTTCCTTGAGGTGAGCTGGTACTAACATCCTGGCTATATGTCTCCTGGCCAATTCATCCCAGAACACTTTCCCTGCATCCTTGAGGTGAGCTGGTACTAACATCCTGGCTGCATGTCTCCTGGCCAGTGAATCCCAGAACACTTTCCCTGCATCCTTGAGGTGAGCTGGTACTAACATCCTGGCTATATGTCTCCTGGCCAGTGAATCCCAGAACACTTTCCCTGCATCCTTGAGGTGAGCTGGTCCTAACATCCTGGCTATATGTCTCCTGGCCAGTGAATCCCAGAACACTTTCCCTGCATCCTTGAGGTGAGCTGGTACTAACATCCTGGCTATATGTCTCCTGGCCAGTGAATCCCAGAACACTTTCCCTGCATCCTTGAGGTGAGCTGGTCCTAACATCCTGGCTATATGTCTCCTGGCCAGTGAATCCCAGAACACATTCCCTGTATCCTTGAGGTGAGCTGGTCCTAACATCCTGGCTGCATGTCTCCTGGCCAGTGAATCACAGAACACTTTCCCTGCATCCTTGAGGTGAGCTGGTACTAACATCCTGGCTGCATGTCTCCTGGCCAGTGAATCCCAGAACACATTCCCTGCATCCTTGAGGTGAGCTGGTCCTAACATCCTGGCTATATGTCTCCTGGCCAGTGAATCACAGAACACTTTCCCTGCATCCTTGAGGTGAGCTGGTCCTAACATCCTGGCTATATGTCTCCTGGCCAGTGAATCCCAGAACACATTCCCTGTATCCTTGAGGTGAGCTGGTCCTAACATCCTGGCTGCATGTCTCCTGGCCAGTGAATCACAGAACACTTTCCCTGCATCCTTGAGGTGAGCTGGTACTAACATCCTGGCTGCATGTCTCCTGGCCAGTGAATCCCAGAACACATTCCCTGCATCCTTGAGGTGAGCTGGTACTAACATCCTGGCTATATGTCTCCTGGCCAGTGAATCCCAGAACACTTTCCCTGCATCCTTGAGGTGAGCTGGTACTAACATCCTGGCTGCATGTCTCCTGGCCAGTGAATCCCAGAACACATTCCCTGCATCCTTGAGGTGAGCTGGTCCTAACATCCTGGCTATATGTCTCCTGGCCAGTGAATCACAGAACACTTTCCCTGCATCCTTGAGGTGAGCTGGTCCTAACATCCTGGCTGCATGTCTCCTGGCCAGTGAATCACAGAACACTTTCGCTGCATCCTTGAGGTGAGCTGGTACTAACATCCTGGCTACATGTTTCCTGGCCAGTGAATCACAGAACACTTTCCCTGCATCCTTGAGGTGAGCTGGTACTAACATCCTGGCTGCATGTCTCCTGGCCAGAAAATCCCAGAACACTTTCCCTGCTTCCTTGAGGTGAGCTGGTACTAACATCCTGGCTATATGTCTCCTGGCCAGTGAATCCCAGAACACTTTCCCTGCTTCCTTGAGGTGAGCTAGTACTAACATCCTGGCTATATGTCTCCTGGCCAGTGAATCCCAGAACACTTTCCCTGCTTCCTTGAGGTGAGCTGGTACTAACATCCTGGCTGCATGTCTCCTGGCCAGTGAATCCCAGAACACATTCCCTGCATCCTTGAGGTGAGCTGGTACTAACATCCTGGCTACATGTCTCCTGGCCAGTGAATCACAGAACACTTTCGCTGCATCCTTGAGGTGAGCTGGTCCTAACATCCTGGCTTCATGTCTGCTGAAACCAGCAGTATGAGTCGTTGTGCTCCCATTGATGATAGTGAGTCAGCAAGCTGGGCTGAATAGTAATTTAATTTTAAAAAAGTAACAGAGAAAAGCTCCAAAAGCCCATAGAGAACATTAGTACCTTTGTCACCTTTGTGAGACCATCAACACCTTTTGAAATCATGGGTATGGTTCTGACAGGGCCATTCTTGGATGCGAACCTATTAGTGGATCCTGACGTGGAGACATCTCTGCACAGTGACTTGCCCCACACTGCTGTAAGATTCAGTCAGACAAACTGGATGTTATTTGCCATAGCTCCTGAAAATCAGGGAGGGTCACATATATACAATGTATCATGAGCAGCTTCATATTCAACTGGAAAACAAAGTAATTATCCCACACCCTTTTAATTACGCTTGTTAATTAACACCACACTAATATAACAGCAGCCTGATGAGAGTCTGGACCAGACAATCCAACGATTGATATTACAAGCAAGGTCCTACTCTGTCAGGGTACAATGTCACAGAAACAAGTCACTGAGTCTGGACACAGAAACCATTAGTTGCCCTTTACAACAAGGTCACTCGGAACTCTCACAGGGTTGTATGTCAGGGATAGCTTATGTCTTATACTCCAGAAACAAATCCTACCTTCATATGACTAAATTGATGCCTTGCTTTGCTAATAGAAGCAAAATAATTTCTGACCAGCAAAAGGTACCAGTTCAGAAAATGCTAGGTGCATATACAAAGTTTCAATATTTAGAAATATTTAAAAACACTGGAAAGCAAAAAAGTGACAGTAAGTATGGTTTTACGCCGCTTTTAGCAATATTCCAGCAATATCATGGCGGGGGACACCAAAAATGGGATTCACACATTGTACCCATGTGGAATAGGAAATAAAACCAGTGAAGCACATTCCTATTGTGTATACAAAGTTTCCAGAAGAAATACATCTTCCCGAGGCAAAGGAGTTAAATGACTATAAAAGTCCAGTTTCCACCCTTGCCGAACTAGGCTGGTATTATGGAGTTATGTTTGTCTGGACTAACGAGTCTATGCATAGTCCAATTAAAATCGCGCACCGAAATCAAAATCCGGTTCGTAAACTGTCGTGCAGATTTCGATCGATTGCAGGGTTTGCAAAGCATGTGCATCCCCAATTCGTAGTCAGCAGATATTTTCCAAATCCTTTCATGTTTTTAATCAAGGTGCTCACATGATTTGATGCATTTCGCGATGTAAGACCCGTTTTATCACAAAATAGATCTTGATTATCGATCAGATCGTCCTGACTGGGCGCCACCATTTTGTGTGAAGCAAACGCAAGTGAAACGAGAGGTGGAATCTGATTGGTCCATAGGAGAGGCTTAGAAGGGACATAATTGGTAATAGTCACTGGTGGCACTACGATCGAGCCCAGTAATTCCAGCCTAGTTCAGCAAGGATGGAAACTGGACATTTAAAGTCAGATAACTCCCTTGCCTTTGGAAGATGGAAGAAATATTGAACAGTTTATGAGTTATGCTCCAGAAACGAAATGTTTGGGCAGGCATCAATAATGATATTGATTATTGACTAAACGTTGGGGTTAGGGTTGGGACAAGTCCAAATTCCAGTCCAGTACCCACCCCTACCCAAGTACCCGCTGTAGGTTTCCATAGATAGGTACAAAATGTCTGATTGGGAATAGTTTGACCTTAACCCTTGAAAAAATGTATTCAGATGTACACTTGTAAATGATCTGGTCATGCTTACACTAGTTGACAGAAGTTTTATCTTTATTCAAACATGTAAAAGTCAGAAAGAAATGTGAACATTAGTGATTTGTAGCGTAACCATAGAGTTCTAGATAGTTTTTGTCATTAAACAATATATCACGTGACTAACCACGGGTCCGGGTAGTCCTGTGGGTACCTGGGTCCTACTCAGTACCCACCCGACCCGGGTACCCATGTACCCAAGTACCCGAGTTACCCGTCCCAGCCCTAGTTGGGGTGATAGTTGATACTGTTAATTTGAATGCTCACTAGATGTTTGTGTCGGTCATATGTGAAGTACTGGGGAAAGTCACAAGGGACCTGACAGCAATGGAATGTGACACCATCAAGAGACAGAGCCAACAGTTCCTCCATCTTCTCCTGGAAATGTTCGTACGCAGGACTGACAACATCCAGGTCCGCTAGACTGAACACCAGTCTGCAATCAGGTGGAACAGTAATTCATGATAACCCAATTACTAAAACATACAACTGTTTGATGCATAAGTATGAAAACTTGTGCCATGGATATATAGTCAACAGCTTCAAATGTCAACAAAAACAGCAAAAGCACTGACAATCAAACATGTTTGCACAAATACTGAGGAATATATCAAAACTAACATTAAGGCTAAAGAAATACTAGTCTTGGTTCTCACGCACTGCCCGCATCATCATAAAGTTCCCCGCATGTTTCGTTTTTATTTCCATTTTAAAAAATCAAAATAAAAAAAAATCCTTAAATATTCCAAGTCAAATGGTAGTCAAACACTGTATTTCCAGTATTTTACTCATCAAGGAATACATTTATGTAGGGAGGCCCTTTCCCAGGTTGCTTGCGCTGGCCCGCAGTATATTTTCAAAAACCATTGCCTGAGAACCAATTCTTTTATTTTTTTAAAGCCTAAATTAAGATCTCTTCCAGGGATGAGAATTTTCCATGAATTTCGTCCTTCAAGAGTCACTTTTGTGATGCATGTCATTACAATATACACATAAACTAAGTATTTAGTGCACCAAACCACGGCTAACCTTAAATTACAACAAAAAACATCCTCATCCCAGATCATCAAAAGAAGAAACATACATGCAAAATTCTGTTTTGTCAGATTTTTACAGACCCCAAAATGTATTTTTTAGTGATGGACAGACTTTAAAAAATGAAACAAACATGACATATGCCTTTCTTCATCTAGGGCTACAGCATTGCAGTAGGGGCTGGGCAGTCTACACAAACAATACCATACCTCTTCTCCAGGGTCATGTAGAGAGTCTTTGCCGGTGGTCTGGACATCAGTTGTTTTACCGTAGAAAAGAAAGCGTCAGTCAAGTCTGGATCATAGATTACTGAAGAAGAAAAAGAGTGATTAATAACAGAAAAATGTTAATTCTTTACATGATCATAAAAGAACATTACATTAGTACTATAGATATTTAGATCATGTTAAAACAGAGATAATCTATGGATAACAATGTCTTTATTTACTATAAAGGTGACGTTTCGGTATAGATCCTTATGCCGTTGTCAAGCATGTTGTATGCAATTGTTGTTGCTGTTAATCCTCCACCTAACATATATCTTCTGTACCATGTTCATTACTCAGCCTTGCTGGACAGCGCTATAAAGATCTATAACGAAACGTCGCCTTTACAATAAATAAAGAAGTGGTTGTCCATAAATTATTTCTACCTTGTCATCTGTGAACTTCTAAGTACAGGCCTCAAAGTCTAAATTTTTACCAAGTAACCATATGGCTACAAGTATTTTTTTTCAGGTAGCCAGTGGTAAAATCAAGAAGTCAAGCCAATATTGTAGGTAGCCAAAAGCATTTGAAATTATCTTTTATCAAATAACTATTATATGTACAAGTCATACCACTGGTCTTGGAATTGTATATTAGTGGAAACTGTACTTGAGTTTTGTTATTTGTGACTCGAACAATGATGCAATTTATGTTACTAGATTATACAGGTATATCCTTGCTTATCCAATAAACTATCAACTAAAATAAAATACTAATTACATTGATATTTATGTATTTCAGTTCATTGTTGACTTTAGGAGGAATTATTTGCAAGTACAATCAGTAGCAGACATGTGTATTTTTGTGTCTAAGTTCTATTGCTACACATATGTAGTTGCCACAAGATATTTTTGAAGGTAGACATTTGGCTACCTCTGAATTTTAGACAGTAGGCAAATTGAAATTTAGGTCTCATTGGCCACCGTTTTAGTCACAACTTTGAGGCCTGAAGTAAGCCTATCAAACAATTTAAGATCATGTGATCTGAAAACAGAACATAGAAGGCAGGCGTTGTTCCTGCAACTTGTGAAGTTCATTTGTTGATGAAAATTCTTCCCCCTGAGATGAACATTCATGCGCCTTTATGACACCTTTCCACAACAAGAAACACCAGCCATCAACCAGCATAAGTGTATTAAAGCTTACATCTATCACTCCATGGTGAGTAATGGCCTCTTGTACTCATCCGATTTACAAGTATTTTGCAAGATGTCTAGTTTATATCAGAGGAACACCACCGAAGTCATGAGTGAGTGAGTAAGTGAGTATGGTTTTAAGCCACTTTTAGCAATATTCCATCAATATCACTCCGGGGGACACCACAAATGGGCTTCACACATTGTACCCATGTCAGGAATCGAACCAAGTCTTCGGCATGACGAACGAACACTTTAACCACTGGGCCACCTGACCGCCCGTCTAAATACAAACATGTGATATGACTTACACTGGTTATATGTAAGGTGTTTGGAAAACAAGGCACACCCACACCCAGTGTTATAAGGCAAAACTAATCCCAGAGACACTTAGGCTAAAAAAAATAATAGTCTGCTGCTTCTTGCATCTGTCAAACATATAATGTAATACCTCCCACATGAAATGTGCTGCTTCTTGCATCTGTCAAACATATAATGTAATACCTCCCACATGAAATCTGCTGCCAATCAGTGTAAACAACCATTTTAAAACAATCTCATTAAAATCAGATCTGAGTTCTCGCTAACGCTAAACAAAGATCTGAGGACATCCCATTATGGGTCACGTCAGACCGACCTTTTGATAGTCTTGGTCCCAAGGCACTGCCCACATCATCATAAATTCCGCCGTATGTTTTGTTTTTATTTCCATTTAATTTTTTTTTTTTTAAATCCTTAATTATTCCAAGTCCAATGGTAGTCAAATACTGTATTCCAGTATTTTACTCATCAAAGAATACATGTATGTATGGAGGCCCTCTCCCAGGTTGATTGCTCACAATTGTATATTTGGTTACACAACTGTACCAATTGCGGACACTAAGCACTGAGCAAGCACGTAACAAGGGCCATAACTCCGTGAAAAATTAATTTTAGACACCAAATTTTGAGCACATTTTGACCATCACCAGTAATATCAGTGTCTTAAGTTTCCTTTCTCTAACTTAAATAGTTCTTGAGAAAATTTGTCCCATTTGAGAAGCGGCCAGCCAGACAAATGGACGAACAACTCTTATCCCCTATATCCCCCGCTACAAATCATGGCAGGGGACAAAAATCCTACATCATGTACACCGTGTCAGTATAATGGTGATGAACAAGAAGCAAACCTTGAAAATTCCTAACATTTGCTTGTTTGTCATTTTACACCGTGCACATCAATATTCTGCATATATGACTAAAGCCTGTAAACTGTCTTCCCCAGACAAACCAGTGATTGATATTATGAGCAACGTTGTAACAGTAAGAATAATGACTAGCCCCCTGTGCCTGACAAGATCATCCTATATGTAAATTCTCAGGCTATTACAGCATGAAATTAAGACTAAGAGACGCGGAAAACTGAGAAAAGGTTCTGCACTTCCATGAGAACAATGTGCCAGAGAACAAATACAATCCATGAATGTGGCTTTGAACTCGTTCAGCACCCATGTTTTTCTCCTGTCTCTCCCAGACTTCCATCTGTTTTCAAACAAAAGATAGCTGAATCCCAAACCCATCTTGACTTCAACAATGACGTCATAGCAACTGTGGGGAACATATTGGACAGCCAAGAGAAGGACTTCTATGAAACTGGGTAAATATACCTCCGACATCATTGGCCAAAGTGTATCAATGTGGAAGAGGATTATGGTGGCTATAAATCATTCAGTTGTCTTTCGAGACTGGCCATTTATTACAGAGGTTTATTTTGAAGTGCTAATGTACGGAAAATAATGATCATCCCCTTATGCTTGTCATATTGTTGGCTGACCTTCATCATGTCCTTTTACACACACACGCACGCACGCACGCACGCACGCACGCACGCACGCACGCACGCACGCACGCACGCACGCACACACACACACACAAACAAAGACAGGCACACAGGCACACACGCACACACACACACATTAAATATGTCCATGTTAGATTCAGAACTTATCAATCAACCCTTGTACCTTGGATTCCTAATTAAGCGACCTCGGCAGGCAAATTAGAAAAAAACAGAATCTTTATTATGTTCAAAATTGGAATTTATTCAAGTTTAGCACAGTATTTTAACATTGTTTCAATGCAGTAACGTAAAACTTAGCGTTGAAGTCTCTTGCTCTGTATTGATCCTTTTAGACATGACATACAAGACTCCTTTACAAAGCCATATTAACGTTAGTTATTACCCACAGGGTTACAAGTAAATGAGTTAATCATTATCGTATGTGCACTCGTGGACACCAGTGTATTTTTGTCATGTCATCAGGATAACATTGTCGTTACCATTCACATCTTACTGTGACCTAAGGCTGGAATGCCGTCACACTAGAAACAACTTCATAACTGAAGATTGTTGATGTCATTTGACAATTGTAGTTTTCCAAGATGGCGGTCATTATCAGTGCATGTATCTAAGGAAGCTCAAAAGGATTAAGAAATATTGCATGCTCTTGCTCGGGAAATACAATAATGGTGAGGCTTGTTTCGGAAAATCAGTATGATACACATGATGTATTATAATCTCTATTTATGACTACATTACTATAAAACAGGGAATATTTAATGACATTTGCTGCAGATTTGGGGCCCATTATCTGAGCAGGTCCCTGTGAGCCAAAATTAACCAGACACCATACATTAGTACATGGCCTCTGAATAGACAGACCCCTTGAAGATCAGGGCCCCGTTCCACAAAGTGATCTTAGCGCTAAGTCGATCGTAACTCCCATTCTTTAACACTGACTTACTACAGTCGCAGCGCTAAGATCGCTTTGTGGAACGGGGCCCTGGGTAAGAACTGGTCTTCAGCAACCCATTCTTGTCATAAGAGGGCGACTCATGGGATCGGGGAGTCAGACATGCTGACTTGTTTGATGGATATCATAGTATCTCAGTTGTGTAGATCAATGCTCATGATGTCAATCACTGGATTGTCTGGTCCAGACTCAATTATTTACAGACTGCCATCATTATAGCGGGAATATTGCTGGGTGTTGCGTTAAACACCACACAAACAAACGAATACACGAAGACAATGACTCAATTTCAACACATGACACTAGTTACAGTTACATAGAGGTCTGGAATTTGTCATCATTCTGTGGAGTATGGTTGGTCCATCATGGTGCAAGTTGGCACCGGCAATCATGTGGTGTGGAAGCATATATCAATATATATTTCATTTGCACTTATTTTTAAGGCATTATTATGACCAGTAATTATATTCGATTGAACACTAAACATTTTTATTTCAATCATCAACACCACAATGATGTCGCTAGTTTGTGCCAAATAGATTTAGACCAAGCTCCATTGTTTATGTGTTGTTTGTTGTTCAACGCCGCACTCAGCAATATTCCAGCTATATGACGGCGTTCTGTAAATAATTGAGTCTTGACCTGACAATCCAGTGATGGACATGAGCACCGATCCACGCAATTTGGATACGATGACAAGCATCAAACAAGTCAGCGAGCCTGACCTCCTGAACCCGTTAGTCACCTCTTACGACAAGCATAGTCACCATTTACAACAAGTATGAGTTGCTGAAGACCTATTCTACCCCGGATCTTCATGGGTGGGAATATTGGTAAATGTGTTGTAAAACCATACTCACTCACTTTAAGACATGAGTGAATGTACACGCTGGACCTCACTCACCTTCAGCTGCCAGGATGAGGCTGACACCGTCCAGCAATGTGTGGTCATCTTCTGTCATCTGAAATCTGCTGCTTCTTGCATCTGTCAAACATATAATGTAATACCTCCCACATGAAATCTGCTGCTTCTTGCATCTGTCAAACATATAATGTAATACCTCCCACATGAAATCTGCTGCCAATCAGTGTAAACAACCATTTTAAAACAATCTCATTAAAATCAGATCTGAGTTCTCGCTGACGCTAAACAAAGATCTGAGGACATCCCATTACGGGTCACGTCAGACCGACCTTTTGCGAAATTTGACCGACCAGTGGAATGACTGACATGAAGTTGACATTAGCCAATCAGAAGGCTGCTTTCTCGTGCTTTACGGCACTAATTTCAAATTGGCAACTATGCTTCGAAACATATTTTGACAAATACTCGATTAATAATTTGAAACCTGAACAAAAGAACATTCAGCAAATCAATGGTAATATTTGTTTAGTACCAGTAATTACATTACTGATGAACGTTCTGCAAATATTGAGTGAGTTTGGTTTTACGCTGATTTTAGCAGTATTTCACTTACATGTCGGTGTGTCAGCTTGATGTGGGAGGAAAGCCTAAAGTGAAGCAGTCTTAAACGTGTACACTTTGGTTTAACCCATGAGAGAGTGAGTGAGTTAAGATTTAATGCCACATCGGCAATATTTCAGCCATATCATGACGAGATAAAGTTAAACATTGATAACATTGTATTGTACAAAACCTATCTCCGAAGGACAGTACAGTAACTAGACTATCACAGATTTTAGGTAAAACTAGTTGGAGAACATGTAAAATAATAAACTATCATTCAACAACACAATATAAAAATGGGCTATAGATCACCAGCAACCACGGGGACCATGGGGACTTACGATACTTCTGCTACCTAAACGCTACACGGTTCCCCAGCAGGATTTACACCATCCCTTCTGCTGCTAGCGATTATATGCAAATTTAGCCATTATTAATGATGACAAAATTGCTGCAATTAAAACTGGGTAGGTATAACATTCTTTGAAAAACATGGTCTTACAATACCCTCTCAGGGGGACAATAATTTTACACAACTTCAACCCCTTTCAGGGGCACAACCATAAACAATCTCAGTTAATAATAATATCCAGATGAGCCCAGGTGCATCGGTTTGGTTCTGACTAATCCCTAAACATAACCAGGGTGGATCTGTAGTTCAGACCCATGATCATAGGATTCTGGTATGAATAAGGGACTTAACTCTGCAGAGATAATTGGCAATTTTGATAATTTGGTTACCTGTGCCCCCCATATTTGCCAATAAGAAAAGCTCAGATGAGCAAGGAAGTCCTTTAAATATTAGAAGTAAGGTTTTCTTTGTGAAGCCTTATAATATTAATCATGTCCATTAAGTGTCATCTTTGCGAGGCAAGAGAGTTAATTGATTACAAAAGACCAGTTTCCACCCTTGCTGAACTACGCTGGAATTTCGCGGCTTGATCATAGCAACACCAGTGGCTATTGACCAATCACATTCGACCTCTCATATCACTTGCATTTGCTTCAAACAAAATTGCGGCCCCTAGTCAAGACGATCTGATTGATAATCAAGATCTATATTGTAATTAAACGGGTCTTACCCCGCGAAGTGCTTCAAATGATTTGAGCACCTTGATTCAAAATATGACAAGATTTGAAAAATATCTGTCAACGCCCAGTTGACAGTACACATGATTTGCAAATCCTGCAGTCAAACAAAATCTGCACGTTGAAATCTATGTTGTTTACTAACCAGACATCTAGTTCGTTGCACGATTTTGATTGGACTATGCATAGACTCGTTAGTCCAGCCAAAATGTAACTTCAGAATTCCAGGCTTGTTTGGCAAGGGTGGAAACTGGACTCAAAAGATGGTCATGTTTATCCTGCAATCATCAATGACATCTGAACCTATAATACACACAATGATAAATTTCAGACTACAAGATAAGAGAGTTATTTGGAGATTTATATTCTGATAATGTCTTACCTGAATAGCTGTCTTTGGGTCCACAAAACTTGAGCCAGTTAAGTTCCTTAACTAGGAATGTGCAGTCTTCACCCAGCAGTGGTTTGTTCAAGGCAATGTTACTTTCTGATGTTCTCAAAATCATTTCACCAACATCTATGAAAATAGCATCAAAGTTAAACACATAATTTTAAAACTGTTGAAGCCGATGATTGAAAAAATAAATTTGGAATCATAAAGAAACAGTTTTATAATGCTTCCATATCATTATGGTAACAAAGATCAATTATGAGTTGGTGAAGTTGGTGCAAAAGATATGTAAAAAAAGTTCTTTTTTTAACATTACCTACAGCACTGAAGCTGAGTGCCAATCATGATGCCTTAGACAACCTTGAATTTTCTTACAACCAATATCATTCACACGACCGCCTCCACTTCAATAAAAAGGAGTGCAAAGTGCAAAGGTTTTACATTGCATAGGCCAGAGTCAGGGTTACTGGAGTTCACAGGTTTTGAACCCTCACAAGAATGAGACCTCTCTTTGAAGGACCTTTTCTTTGACAGACAAAGCAATGGGTCTTTTGGCTTTGATTTGTTGATAAAAAAATGCAACTGCACTGCAAAGCAGCATATTTATTCATAGAAGGAGAACCTAGTGTATACAAATTTGTGAAATACAGATGATGCAACTTTAGGTTGGTTGGTTGGTTGGTTTGTTGTTTAACGCCGCACCCAGCAATATTCCAGCTATATGGCGGCTGTCTTTAAAATAATCGAATGTGGAGCAGACAATCCAGTGATTGATATCATGAGCATCAATCCATGCAATTGGGATCGATGGCATGCATCAACCAAGTCAGCGAGCCTGACCACCTTTTTACGACAAGCATAATCACCTTTTACGGCAAGCATGGGTTGCTGAAGACCTATTCTACCCAGGAATCTTTGCAACTTTAGGAGAAACTAGATAATGCAACACCAGAAAGATAAACTACCTGTGACCAGTACAGACTCTGCAAACAGTCCTGCCACTATACTTGTCAGACCAACACCTGCCCCAAGATCAACGACCCTGGAGGCCTTGAACTTTGTGTGAAGGTGAAGGACAAAGTCACACAGCAGGAGACAACCCTGCCAAACCTAAATAAATTGAAAATCAAAGTCATGGCAATATGTGTTTCTCAATAAACAGGATCAAGCATTACATCTGCACCTGCCACCTTGTTCTAATTATTTTCAGAAAAAAACATAGCCTTCAATATCCAGTACATCATATCTCCACTCTATATGATATATAGCCTTGAATATCCAGTATATCACAGCTCCATTCTATATGATATATAGCCTTGAATATCCAGTATATCACACCTCCATTCTATAAGATATATAGCCTAGAATATCCAGTATATCACAGCTCCATTCTATTTGGATATATAGCCTTGAATATCCAGTATATCACAGCTCCATTCTATATGATATATAGCCTTGAATATCCAGTATATCACACCTCCATTCTATATGATATATAGCCTAGAATATCCAGTATATCACAGCTCCATTCTATATGATATATAGTTTTGAATATCCAGTACATCATAGCTCCACTCTATATGATATATAGCCTTGAATATCCAGTATATCACAGCTCCATTCTATATGATATATAGCCTTGAATACCCAGTACATCATAGCTCCACTCTATATGATATATAGCCTTGACCCATTTTCCATATCATAATAGAATGGAGATTTCATACAATGGATAATCGTTGATGCTTGCATCTTCCCAAGGCAAGGGAGTTAACTGATTATAAAAGTCCAGTTTCCACCCTAGCTAAACTAGGCTGGAATTATGGAGTTACATTTTGGCTGGACTAATGAGTCTGTGCATAGTCCAATCAAAACCACGTAATGAAATTGACATCCAATTTATAAACTGCAGTGCAGATTGTAGGATTTCCAGCCTAGTTCGGCAAGGGTGGAAACTGGACTTTTAAAGTCAGTTAACTCCCTTGCCTCAGGAAGATGGGATGCTTGGGATGGAAACCACATTTTCAAAACAATTGCAGCGAATTGAACCTTGACCTTTCCTGACAAGAAACACACAAGATCTACCTAATGGCCTTCACCTACTTGAAGTCCAACATCATCCAGCTTGGTCTCCATCATGTGTTCTGAAACAGTAAAAACACATTGGTATGCGATGCAAACCATCAAACCATAGTGTGTAAGTGAATTAGGGCTGGGACGAGTCCAAATTTACTACCCGGGTACCCGACCCCCTATTACCCGACCCTACCCCGGCACCCACTGCAAGTCTCAAGAGATAGGTACAAAATGTCTGATTGGTAATTGTTTTACTGCAGCCCTGGCTCAAACTACTTAGGTACATGTATCAAACAATCAGATCATGCCTTCACTGAAGTTGACTGAAGCTTTATGTTTACTCAAACATACACAAGTCAAAAGGAATGTGTGCATCATCAGAAAGAAATGCGACCATTAGCGACTTATAGAGGAACCAGTGAGCTATAGTGAGTTTTTGTCATTAAACAATATATCACGTGACTAACCACGGGTCTGGGTAGTCCTGTGGGTACCCAGGTCCAACTCAGGACCCACCTGACCGAGTACCCATGTTACCCGTCCCAGCCCTAACATGAATGAATATTTTGAACATTCTTCCTCCAATGATTCTGACGATCTTGTTCCAAATGAATATTTATTTAATGAGAACCTATTCAGATTGGATTGAACATAATTTTCAGAAATGTTGTTCCAAAAATATTAAGCTTTTATTATAACCTCGCACTTTCATAAACAGTAAACGTACATTAAACATAAAATATCTCTATTATTTTGAAACATAAATTTATTTTCATCAATACTCTCTGCAACCTTGACAACTAAATATTGTTTCTGAAACCTGCAGTGCTAAATATCCCCTTGCATCAGATTTAGCCAAAAACAGCAACAAGTGCAAATATGTAAAAATAAAGAGACTTATGCCCCTTCTATATCCGTTCTATTGACCAATCATATTCCACCTCTCATCATGCTCATATCACTTGTATTTGCTTCAAACAAAATGGTGGCGCCCAGTGAAGATGATCTGATTGACAATCAAGATCTATATTGTAATAAAATGGGTTTAACTTCGCGAAGTACATCAAATCACGCGACCACCTTGACGAAAAACATGTAAAGATCTGGAAAATATCTGTTGACACAAAGTTGAAGGTACACATGCTTTGCAAATCCTGCAATCAACCGAAATCTGCACGGCAGTTTACAAACCTGATGTCGATTTCGTTACGAGATATTGATTGGACTATGCATAGACTCGTTCATCCAGCAAAAATAACTCCATAATTCCAGCCCAGTTCAGCAAGGGTGGAAACTGGACTTAAAACTATAAATCATACATGGCAAATCCAAGTAACGAAAGAGACTGGCCTTAATGTGGCATCACACAGAGAATATGAGGCACTTGATTGAAGAAATCTTCCCCGTGGTAAATGTTCTCTTTGGGTGAGTGCAAATTTCCTATCTTTTACAGTAGCCTATATATAAATTACCATTATAGGGGCAAATGCTAAAAAAGGCTATCTCCCTGCATCACAGAATCTCAATAAAACAATTGAAAGTTCTGTTTTTATAGGATAGAAGTACAAAGTATCTGTAAAAGACTGCAGAAAGTATTCTGTTCTTGAATGTTTCCATGCAAACGAAAATAATTACTCTGGGGCACTGAACGCTATTAATCAGTGTAAGTAGTGTTATACCAATAATGAAATATTATATGGAAAAAGAAGTGAACTGCTACTGCTCAACAAGAGCTGTTCATGTTGTATTTAAATTCGAGAGTTCCATTAGTATCATGAAGAAGCATAAACAAATAAGAGGAATATTACAAGATTTATTTTGGAAACCAAGCTTAAAATTGTAAACTGTGCTTCAAGTCATTTACCAATTGTGATAACCAATTTGTTTTCCGTAACTGGTTTTCGAGTAACCACAACATCACCATCTTCATCAAATAAAAGTTCTCCATCATCTGAAGTTTAAACATGTTAAAGGTAAAAGCATTGTTATACACATGCAAATGTGAAAAACGCAATAAGCTCAAATATATAATTAAATTTTTTTCAAGATACCCAAAATAAGAATGAATATTCCAATGCATGGTCTCTCTTAATTCACACTTGAGATGAACAGATGCATCAACCAAGTCAACAAGCCTGACCACCCGATCCCGTTAGTCGCATCTTACGACAACCATAGTTGCCTTTTACAGTAAGCATGGGTTGCTGAAGACTTATTTTAACCCAGATTTTCACGGGTCTATTACCATAGTTAATCTGTTATGATATATATATATATATATATATAAACATATATGACATAATGACATAATATGGAAGAATCAGGTGATCCTTAACCTTTTTTAGTAGTGTGTGTAATATTAATTTCTAGGTTCCTTTAATTTGTCTGAATTCTTTTCATTTTAAAAAGAAATATATTAAACTTCATTCTTTCTTGTCCTACTTTTAGAATCTGGTTTCAGAGAACAATCTGAACAATTTTACATGCCATCTGGATTTGAGGTGTCTTTCTCGGAGGAGATGCCTGGAGACAACTCTCTTTGAACATCTGGCGGAAGGCTGAAGTTAAATCTGGTCACTGAAAGTTAAAACAATTCTGCATAGTAACATGAAGTTCAACAACGTTACTTGACTGCCGGTTTTATTCCAACACAGTTATTCGATTGCACAAACAAGTGATTCTAACCCATGTTTAGCAAATAGTTTCCCATCAAAACAACATAAAAGATAATATTACCCGTGTTCACACTCTCGTCAGTATCGGGGAGTGTTTCGTGAGGTGTGAACACGTGAACATCAGACAGAACCTTGTCTGAAACATCTCTTTCCATTAGTGGAGCTGGAGAAGTAATTGAGAGTAACTTCCCCTTAGAAAAGCTTGCGCAAGCTCCTTCCCAGCGCGTGACACCTTCGTTACACTCTCGGTAACAGAGTACAGAGAGCTCCGCTATCGCTGTGAGGAGCTTGAAGCTGGCGTTTGCGCCAGCCTGGTTCCCTGGGTATGCTGCGCTGGCGCTACACTGAGCGCCAGCGCAGCATACCCATAAGCTGGGCCCCGTCTCCAATATCACACTATAGGAGCCGGTACAGGCCAATGAGACGATGGCTGTGAGCGCCTTCGAAATATTAAACATACACTATGTTATGTAATTTTTCATTGGTCGCTATTTTTAGACGCAGCGCTACCCTTCTACAAAAGCCTCCACTGAGAAACGTCACAAACTACTTTAAGTCATTTTGTTAGAATCTAACTTAGATGTGCCACCATCGGGTGCAGGAAAGACCTTCAAACTTTAAATTGTAATTAATTGTAGGAAATTAAATTTCCAAAATTATTTTCTTCATATATTTTACGTACATGATATCAATATGTAAGAGAAATGATAGTAAACATAGTCCAGCGTATTCTTTGCATGAACATTTCGCAGGTTTTTGAATACACCCCCAAATTGTGCTATGCGAGAAAAATATTTATTATACACTTGTCAGAAAACTTTGAGCGAATAAAATATTCTCAGGTATTTGAACGAGATACGCATGTAGGAAGTTTATATATGTCGACATATGTAGAGCCACCCATACAGTATAAATGTCGCATTGAAAATATTCCTCACTTTGTCTTTCCATTCCATGACGTCGAAAAAGTTTATTTTTAAGAGGGTTGGTGTTCCATTTAAAGAATAAAGAATAACTCGTAATAAATATGATGTGACTCTTCTGACAAAATAGAAATGTGTTGTACGACTCGTATGTGGTTGCAATATATTTATTGGATGATTACGTTTAAAATAATAAAACATCTGTTTAAAATATTGAAATTGGAATAGAATAGCAATTAACCATGGCCGATGTTGATATTTTCTAGCTATATATTTTTAAACAACATTCAAATGCAATAAAATTATTAATACCAACGAAATAAGTCAATGTCCATTACTCAACAAATGGACAGAATCATAATGGGTGGTTTCTATTCATTCACCCAGTCATCACTTCTAACGTTGTACAACGTTGTAGCTGAGTGACAGCAGTATGAAGGTGACATTCCTTTTCAAAGTGTTACAAATAATACTATAATAGTAATGTATTCTAAGATTTCACCTGGGTGCGGCCATGTGTCGATTTTCTTTTAAACATGGATGGTATTTAGTAACTATTTACATAAATCAAACCTGTGTTAAGTGATTATGTTGATAATTTTCAAGATCGTTGGAAAGATGGTATGGGGTCTTATGGTATGCGTTCTCAGAAAACTGCTTTCCATATTACTGAACATGACAGACATGGGCATCATCCTCAAAAGGAGTTATCTCTGTGGCATCGAACCTTTTATTAATGCATTACAACTATACCCAAATAATCAGAGAGAAGAGGTTCTCTTACCTCGTCTCGGGCATTGTTGTCTTGCATATCTCAATATTTAGCTTAATAAAAACATTTCTGCACATTGTACAGTTCATTATTAACTGCATTGTCAAAAATATGTGACTCAACGTAAGGTAATGATGTAACACTGACCAGATTAAAGAAATATCGTATACGACACTATATATATAAACTTATCAATTTCTTGTCCTAAAAAACAGGAGATTATCAAAGGTAGATACATGTTGTGGCCTAGATCTACTTACAGGGAGCCGGGAACCAGCTTAAGCATACCCAGGGAACCAGGATGACAAACCCATCGATGTGAAAGGCACACTCCGGCGCAGTGGTGACTCAGCATAACACCACTGCCACAGGCTAATTTGCATATCACGTGACCGGACTTCTCTTGTTTGTAAACAAACGTGCTTTTTCAGAAATCAGTATAGAACGGACTAATGCAAGTATTTGGGGCGCTTAACATATTGTTTTGCATAATTATATAGATATGCTACTACAACTGCGACAGTGAATTTCATGACAATATATATTTATACATCAAAGTGACCGAATCGCTAGCTCTCCGTTGGGCTTCGATGACAGCACATGGAGCCGTACAACCAATGTAAACAAAGGATAACTACGCAAAAACAAATAGCTTTTCACGTATTAGGATACTTTATTAATGAACCGTAACCGTTCTTTGACATTTGTATGTGAAAATGTGTACAATTGTCAAACATGAAACGGATGAAAAGCATATTCAATATCTTGAATGGACAGTGAAAGATGTGACGAATCGTCACATGGCGCTGGCCTGTGGCAGAGGTACTATATGCTGGCCGGCTGCCGGCCGCATGGAACTCTGGGTAGGAGAGTGTGTGAAAGGCTGCTTCAAAGCTACGGTTGAGTACAAAGACAGTCGTACAAAAGGGACTTTTTACATTGTGCCAAAAGGAAGTTGCACTCTAGGGCTTGACCTGATACATTCTCTTGACCTTTCTATTGTTGGCAGAGATCTGAAATGCAACGAAGTGGATTCTGTTGTCCTGGGCAATAAGCAGGGTACTGACATTATTCAAGAGTACAAGTCACTGTTTGAAGGTAGAGGTCTGGCCAAGGGATTCGTACACAAAGTGAAAATGAAGGCCGACTGAAACCAGTACAACAGAAGTTACGCCGCTTGCCGCTTGCCGCTTGCAGTGAGAGATAAAGTATCCAAAGAATTATCTTGTATGGAAGAAGAAGGAATTATTGAAAAAGTTGATGCTTCGGAATGGGTTTCTCCAATTATTGTTGCATGGAAGAAATCGGGAGAGCCAAGAGTATGTGTTGACTTGAGAAAGCCAAATTAGGCTATTGTTGTGGACAAATTCCCACTCGCTCACACAGAAGAGGTATTTCAAAAGATGCATGGTTCAACAGTATTCTCAAAGTTGGATATCAAATCTGCTTATCATCAAGTGGAACTGGTAGAAGAAAGTAGGGATTTGTCAACATTCATCACCCATGATGGACTTTATCGCTTCAAACGAGCATGCTTTGGCCTTGCATCTGCACCATCAGCATTCCAGAAAATGATGTCGATTATTCTCAAGGAACTGAAAGGTGTTAGTCAGACGGATGATATGATTATTCACGGCAAGTCTGAGAAAGAGCATAATGAACATCTTGTCAAAGTTCTTGAACGTCTCCAGGAGTCCAGTCTGAAACTCAAAGACAAATGTGAATTCCGAAAACCCAGAATCCAAATTCTTTGTCATGTGGTCAGCGCTTCAGGTGTAGAACCAGACCAGTCGCATGTGAAGGCTATCACAGATGCTCCACCACCTACCGATGCTGCAACCCTAAGATCATTCCTTGGCCTGGCCTCGTATTACTCCAAGTTCGTTCCATCCCTTTCCACTCAAGTTGAACCGATGAGGAGATTGATCAGAGGTGATGCTAAGTTTGTGTGGTCTCCAGAAGCTCAAGCTAGTTTTGAGAAAGTGAAGGCATTTATCCAGTCCACTACTGCCTTAGCTCTCTTTGATCTAGACCTGGAACAGATGCCTCAGGATATGGTCTGTGTAAGTTCTTTCTCAGAAAGATAGAACTGGTGAAAGAACAGTTGCATTTGCATCTCGAACCCTGTCAGAAGCTGAGAGGAAATACTCAGTGGGAGAGAAAGAAGCTTTAGCCTGTGAATGGGCATGTGAAAAGTGGCACACTTACCTGTGGGGACGAAAGTTACAGTTGATCACAGATCATCAAGCACTAACTATACTCTTGACTACAGGGACAAGACATCAGCATATGCACATTGCAAGATGGAATGCATGACTTCTGAACTATGACTACACAATCGCCTATCGGCCAGGCAAAGGAAACTATGTTGCAGACGCCCTGTCACGTCTTCCAGTGCATGAAGAAATTACTGAAGATCCGGTTGAGGAGGATATAATCAACATGATTATGTACGATGGAGTTCCTTCAATCACAGCAAGTGAATTAAAGCAAGCAACAATTCCAGATCCAGTTCTGATTCAGATATCCCAATGTCTGCTGTCTGAGTTGCCCAGAAAAGACAAACTTGATGAACAAATGAAACCATTCTTTCAAGTCTGAGATGAACTTTCATGGTGCAACAGCTTAGTTTTCAGAGGAGAACAAGTAGTTATTCCAATCTGCTCTGTACTACCCACAAGCAAATGGGCTTGTTGAGCGTTTTAACAGGAATCTGAAAAGCTGCATACAACTTGCTAAAACCCAGAGTAAACCACTCAAGCTTGTAGTGAAAGAATTTTTCTGCATTTACCGCACAACTCCTCATGCAACTACTGAAGAATCCCCATCATTCCTGCTACATGGTTGGAAGATGAGAACAGGTTTTGACATTGAAGGTGTCACAAAGGCTCCTAACAAAAGTCATGCTGACGTCAGGACACGAGTCACGGAAAAGCAGCTGAAGTACAAGGAGCGAGCAGATAACTTGAGAGGCGCAAAAACTCCAGATTTCTCACTTGGTGATGAAGTAAGGATAAAGAGACCTGGTCATGTTCCAAAAGGGGAAAACAGATATTCAGGTCCTACAGAAATAACTGGGCAGAAAGGACCTGCCACATTCATCACTCAGAGTGATCATGGAAGTCAGGTGTGGAATGCATCACGTCTGGCAAGTGTAAAGTCACGAGCTCAGGCACCAGAGTTACCATCTGGTACAGAGAATCATCAGGGTGAAGCTCCAGACATTGACAGTGATAAAACACCAAATCAGGAACCAAGACGATCGACAAGAGAAAGACATTGTCCGGGATGGACCATAGACTTTGTCAGGAACTGATAGGAACTGTTCCCATGAAAGTTATTGCGTGTTAACTTGTTTATGCTGAATTTAACTTTAAGTGATCAGTTTCAAGTTAATTGCAGTTTTGATATATCTTTCAACATGTGTTACAGTTCAGCTGAAGGTGTCATTCAGGGAGAGTAATTTTAGAGTACAGTAATACTAGAGGAGAATCTATGATGGACTCTAAACACCAGTTGAAGAAACTTCCTAGAAATACACTGCTAGTACAGTTATGTAGTTCAGAATATTTTCATTGATAGTTATACTTGCATGTCTCCAGGGGATTGTAGGCCGTTTAAAAGTTTGTGCTGTTTTAGTTGAATGTGTAAGTAAGCCTTTTATTCCAAAGGGGAAAATATGTTATGTCTTTATGTACACTCAATGTAGTGGTCTATGGGAGATAACTCCGGGCGGCTTTATGTGTTTATGGTATGGTATGGTCTAGGGGAGATAACTCCGGACAGCTTATGTTATTAAATGTACTCTTCAGTTAGGGAGTAAGAGAAGGGGGAGTTCCAATATGTCTGCCTGCATGTTTGCCATGTGCTCTGTGTGAATTAAAACCCTTGTTCTACATTTCCTGAATCCATTATACAGCAGTCCGGGACAGCAAATCTGTGGAAAACTGGGAAAGCAGAAAGCTTGAGCGGCGATCCACACCATCGGGGCACGAAGACAGTCTGCCAGGTCACACACAGTCTGACGATCTGATCAATTGTAGTCAGACGACAGGCATAGGTTAGTGCAGAGACCAAATATTGAAGTACAATTATTACCCACGTGGTAAGATTCTAAATCCGTACGTCACACGTGTGTCGTACAAGGTTGACCTTGTTTTATTCGTTGTGATTGGACAACCAGGACGACTTTTTTCATTCATAAAAAATCATGAGTTCATGAGAACGATAAATATTTACGAACACTTTATTGAACCAAACAAGATAGTCACACGCGTCAAATTCGGTTTGCATTCTATATAAGTTATGCATAGAGCTTCAACAGACATGATATAATCGAGCTATATCCATTTACAATGCACGACTACCGATCAATAGATCGAGAGTCCCTATGAGCGTGATGCACCCGACCACTTTCGCAGCTTTCAATTTGATTTAACGTAAAAGGATAAGCGTGGTGAAATGAGGGCAGTTTAAACTATCTGGACAGATATCGAGACTCACTTGGGATGATCCGGTTGTGCCATCAGTTTCCCCTTCGAAGCGTATTTTGTGAATCTTCAATGAACGTACACGACTCACGACCAGATCACGAATTCCGATACAAATCATTCGAAAACTCCGTAGAAGTGTGCATGACTTCTGATTTTGTGGCTCCAAACATCCCAAATGTGAACAATAACATTCCCTATCCCTAGCGTAAAACGCTGTGAGGTAGATGACGGTTGTCTTTTCTTATTCCGGTGGTGACCTTGCCCTTCGGTCGTTCGAAGGTTTCACTGACATGCAAGCAGACTTGAGTTTGTTGATTTTCACGTCTTCAGTATAGGGTGGTACAGTTAACATGAATGTGTTTGGCGAACACTCTGATTTCCCTCTTCCAAAATGGTACGGACATGGTACTTGTATAAATTCAGCTGATAGATCAAGGAAACCGAACCATTTTGATTGCACGGACGAGATTCCGGCAGTGCGAGTGACCGACTGTTGGTCCAATATTAGCGGCGCTAATGTGACTTTTCAAATTCTCTTATAGGTGTCCTGCGTACTAACAACATGGCGCTTGAATTACCATAAGTTGAAGAATCTCTTCCAAAAGGATCTTGAGCGTCACTGCTGTTTTGTTTGCAAACACAACTGCAGGTGCATGTTGTTAACGCGTATGCATAGTTAATGCAGGGACCAATTCTAGCGCGGTATTTCTGTAACATAGGTTGCTGCAGGGACCAATTCTACCACAGCATGTCTGTAACATAGGCTACTGCGTGAGCCAATTCTACCAAACAATTTCTGTAACATAGGTTACTGCAGGAACAGATTCTACAACGGAATTTCTTTAACATAGGTTAATGCAGGGACCGATTCTAGCACTGTATTTCTGTAACATGGGTTACTGCTGGAACCTATTCTACCACGGAATTTCTGTAACATAGGTTACTGCAGGAACCGATTCTACCACGGCATGTCTTTAACATAGCTTACTGCAGGGACCAATTCTACCACGGAATTTCTGTAACATAGGTTACTGCAGGAACCGATTCTACCACGGAATTTCTGTAACATAGGTTACTGCAGGAACCGATTCTACCACGGAATTTCTGTAACATAGGTTACTGCAGGGACCATTTCTACCACGGAATTTCTGTAACATAGGTTACTGCCGGGACCTATTCTACAACGGAATTTCTGTAACATAGGTTACTGAAGGGACCAGTTCTACCATGGCATGTCTGTAACACAGGTTACTGCAGGGAAGAATTCTTCCACGGAATTTCTGTAACATAGGTTACGCTATTTCAACGTGGGGTTAATAGTCTAGAAAACGACATGCGAGAGATATTAATTGGGGAACAGTTCTGCTTCTTACCATAGGGGCCGATTAATTTGTTTGTTGTTTAACAACGCACTCACCAACAGTCCAGCTATGTGACGGCGGTCTGTAAAATTGTATCGACTCTGAACCAGACAATTTAGTGATTGACATGAGCATTGATCTACTCCATTCGGATACGATGACGTGCATCAACCAAGTCAGAGCTTGACCACCCGATCCCATTAGTCGCCTCTTTCGACAAGCATGAGTTGGTGAAGACCAATTCTAACCCAGACCGTCACGTGTCGGGTCCGATTGGATAGTGTAGTTCACTCATCACCAAGATTCTTCAGATGGGCACAATGTGCAAAGCAAATCTTTGGTGTCCTGGTCGTGTCATGCCTTGGGTATTGCTGAAAGTTGGTTTGTTAACTGTTGTGTTAAGCAGTCCTCAGCAATACTCATGCAAAATGACGTTTACCTGTTAATAACCAAGTCTGGATCAAACAAACCAGTGATTGATATTAATTACTCTAATCACCACAGTCGTGTGGTAGTGCGCCTGCCCGGAGAGAGGAACGGCGGGTTGCGATACATGATCGGAATTTCCCAAGTACACACACGAGTGAGAGAGAGAGAGAGAGAGAGAGTGTGTGTGTGTGTGTGTGTGTGAGTGTGTGTGTGTGTGGCTGCATGTACTAGTCCCGCCTAAAGCCGATTTTAATAGTGCTGAGATACCATGCCTCAGTTTAACATGAATACCGAGACTCCGAGCCGACCAGTCCTTGTATTAGCCCCTGAATACCGAGCGTCAGGCAGGGTAACAACAAGTACCATCTTTCAAAGCCTTTTAATATGACACGGCCAGTCTACTTTCTTATTAGAATAGGAATATTGTACACTGGATAATCGAGTCTGTTAGTCTTCATTGTCCAATCCCCAGTGACATAATCCGGTTTAACGAGGCATTGGACAACAGCATGTCCCAGTCACTAAATACACACATTCCCAACAGTAGGCCACTGAAAGAGTGACAAGGTTTATTCAAGCTTGTAGACATTGTAGTATTTTTACCAACTCCCACATCTATAATATTAGTGTGTGGAGTGTATAGTTTACTTCCCAGTTGTAGCTGACAGTTAGCAAGTGCACTACAACAGTTCCATTATGAAAACAATAGACAGAAAAAAAACATCCACAATGCAATAAGCTTTATTGATAAATAACAATACAAACATCAACAGATGTATAGTAATAATTACAATGTGTAACAACAGTATTACATCGTAGATCACATGCATCATATTGTACAGAATCCATCTGCACACATTATTCATTAAGTATAAGGTGGATATATTCTACTACACAGCATTATACATATATAAACTCACAGGTTATGTAGGATGCTCTTTTTATTCAAATATCAATATAATAATCAATAAATGTAAAGGAATAATAAACATGCATAACAATAGTACTATTTATGGATCACATGTTTGATATTTTTAAGAACATACCAACATAGTTTTTTAAATAAGATTTTTATCAATAAACATATAGTAATAACAACATGGAACAATATAGCACTATAAATAAATCACATAATGTTTATGTGAGAGTATATACACAAAATATGTACATTGCTGTGGTTATGTGGTAAAATTGTATTGCTCAACAGCAAATACATAAAATACTAAATACAAATGGAAACAAGCTACCTTGATAATTGCACTGTTTCACCCACTGTCGTAACCCAGACACATTCCACGTCCCTACCCCATAGTTCCCCCCTTCCTTAAATACTAACTCACTTAGAAACACCACACACTACCACACACTTCTAGTCATCAATTCTCTCGTCCTCTAGTCCTAACCCAGCCCAACATCCTTTACTTCCCCATCCGAACCTGCTCCATGCTGCCTGTCCAAACCGAACCCATCCACTCTCATCTTCTCTCACATCATCCCCAACCTTTAAGAACCAGTCACTCCAACCTCATCACTACATCAAATGGCCAGACACAACTCTCAATAACATGTATACAATTTTAGCCATTCTTTGAAACACAAGTCCATCATTTCCCTCAAAGATGATCAATACAGATACAATGTTATTATACCTATGAAGATCATCTATGCACCCAAGTGTCGCTCCTGTACACAAGGCAAGGTCAAGGTCGGTCCTATACACACGGCAATGTCCGTCTGTGCCGATCCGCCTTGTACTTGAGTTATGAAGGTGAACTTCAGTGCCCTGTCTTCAGGATGTGGCTCAGATTCATGGTACCAAACGTGCCGCTCACATTCTTCCAACTTTGAGGCTGAAGAGAGGAAATACCATCAGGTGTGTACTTCAACATGTCCACTTGTTCAAGGTGGTATATGTTTAGTGGTGTAGAGTATTTGAAAGAAATTACAACTTGAGGTGTTAGAAATGTAAACTAAACTAAAGAAGTGATTTGTTAACACAGTGTTTTGAACAGTTGATTATGTCTTTAAGCTGATCATAAACATTTGGTAAAGCCAGAAATGCATTAAGATTCAGTCCTTATTCACGTTTCAGAAATAAGATTTCTTACCTTGGCAAAGATGCTGAACTGCCCATGTCCCATCGCAGGTGCTGTGTCCATGTCATTGTTCTGACATAAACAAACAAACAAGTAAACATTATGATACGATCCATGGGTCTGCTGTTACAATCACCATATCTCCCATTGCCAGATTGAGTAACAATGAAAACATAAAGTTACATACCGAAAATATACTGAACTGGCTGTGCCCTGTGTAAGGTTGTGTGTCCATTGCCTCTTCCTGAAATTAGTACAAATGTATCACTGGAACAGCCTCCCTCCCATGCTCCGATCTTATGGAAATACAAGACAAAGCAATGGTAGTATATGTGCATGATGATTATTACATGTAATACATGCTTAGTCCTGAACTCGATTATTTACAGGCTGCCGCCATATACCTGGAATACTGTGCGGCGTTAAACAACATGTAAACGTGATAACAAGCTAATGCTAATGGGATGATAATATAAATATTATCATAAATATAGTTCATCCTTCTCGATGGACACCTTAATGTAACCCGAAATGTAATTGACAACAGCGACGGATATTAGGAAATCTTACCCCGAAGATGCTGAACTGACTCGGTCCAAATGCAGGCAGCGTATCCATTGCTTCTAACAACTTTTATAAAGTAGACACAAAGACACACAATGAGTTCTTATAAATATCAAATGTTTAACCGCGTAGGTGAGCTAAATTGTTTCATCACCGCCTTCGTGTTCAATTACTGTCGTCTTATTGAATCTCTGCATGCCTTCTTATTTCTTAAGAAATGTGTTTCCCTTAAATACCACACCTTAAATTCGTATCTGAACTATTATTTTGCGTATTTTATTGTTGATAGATTTACTTACTTTTGTGAAGAAGAACAAGCATGAGTAAAACAGTTACCTACCTGTCGGGCGTTATGTCCGGCGACGGTCGAAGGGAGTCTCCGTACCCCAGTGCCTGATGTCGACAGGTAGGCCGCAAGACCAAGTTTAAGGGCTGCTGATGGTATAGAATAAATACATTAAAATCAGGTCAGACATGAAATGATGAATAATAAATTGCAAGATCTACTTGATATTTCAAACGTTTTTTCACTGAAATGCATGATTTCTTTTCAAAGTAGATCTACTTCAATATATGATGGTCGTATTGACGTTGACGGCGCTGAAGGCCTGAATTTGATTCCAGGTAAATTCCGTCTGGTACTAACTAACTTAAAGATGAAGAATATACAGAACACGTGACAACATCTATTAACACTATATGTGTGCCATATGTCTGAAGGGAAACGTAAACTCATTCATAACAATCAAGAATGTGAAAAGTATTAAAATCATACCATTCACGTTCTCACTGAAGATATTGCTTGATATTTCAAACCTTTTTGTCACTGATGTGCATGATTCCTTTTTCAAGTAGATCTACTCCAATATGATTGACGTTGAAGGCGCTGAAGGACTGTGTTTGATTCCAGGTAAATTACGTCTGGTATTAACTTACTTACAAATGAAGAATATACAGAACACGTGACAACATCTATTAACACTATGTTTGTGCCATATGTCTGGAGGGAAACGTAAACTCATTCATAACAATCAAGAATGTGAGAAAGTATTAAAATCATACCATTCACGTTCTCACTGAAGACAAATTGATAGCAGTTTCAAATTATCACCTACCAGACATAATCTTCTGTTTGGGAAGAGTTTGATAAGTCCGGGAGATGTATAAAACAATCTATTGGCAACAAAAGTAGAGACGGTGTTCTTTGCGCGTGCACATTCGGCGAACGTGGATGACGAATGAAAACGTCGCCATAGTGACGTTGTCTGTTCAAAGGGACGCTACTCTGTAAGTTACGAGTCGTGATTATTCCGCGGCAGCCATGCCGCCATTGTCCAATTGAAATAATTTTCTGAAACATCTATAGGACTTGTGGATAATAGAAATATGGCCTTTTGGGTAATTGAATAGAAAGTACATGTTGTTCAAAATTTCAAACAATTGCTTTCATCAAAATTCTCGCCATTTTGTTCTTTGTTAAGTTTGGTTTTTTTAAACCCTGAAATGCATGACATTTGTTGGAAAGTCTACCCCAATGATAAGAGTGAGACATATTTTTTCTGAGTAAGCTATGGGAGCCGATTGGTAATTTAAACAAGTGTTAATAACATGCCTAGTCATCAACTGCACGGATTATGTAGCGGTTTACTTCAATATACATGCAATGGTATTTTTATACACATGTTCGCATGTTGACATGTTCTATTGATCTAGAAAAGTCAATAAAGACACTGGTGATTGTTAAAGAAACTTTATAAACAAAAGAAAAGGCACGAAAGCAAATATTCAGAGACTTTTAACGAAAATATAAATAAGCCAGAATGTTTCCAGTGACGTTCGAAGCTCCTGTGTGTTGCAAGTCTGGGAAAAACTGGGAAAGCGGAAAGCTTGAGCGGCGATCCACACCATCGGGGCACGAAGACAGTCTGCCAGTTCACAGAGTCTGACGACCCGATCAATTGTAGTCTAACGACAAGCATAGGTTACTGCAGAGACCAAATGTTGAATTACTACTTACGTCACAGAAATGTGGGATTAGCTACATGGGGCGGTAACCCTGTGGTTGAAGCTCTCGCGCCATGCCGGTTCGATTCCTAACATGGATATAATGTGTGAAGTCAAGGTGTGGATTGTTGGTCAAGCCGTGACCAAGACATCACGATGACACGCACCATCAGGAACTGCCATGACAGCCATGAGCACCCGATCAGTTTTAGTCGACTCTTACAACGCGCATAGGTTACTGAAGGGACCAATTCTACCATGGACTTCTGTAACAAAGGTTTCTGAAGGGACCAATTCTACCACGGAATTTCTGTAACATAGGTTACTGCAGGGACCAATTCTGCCACGGAATTTCTGTAACATAGGTTACTGAAGGGGCCAATTCTACCATGGACTTCTGTAACAAAGGTTTCTGAAGGGACCAATTCTACCACGGAATTACTGTAACATAGGTTACTGCAGGGACCAATTTTGCCACGGAATTTCTGTAACATATAGGTTACTGAAGGGGCCAATTCTACCATGGACTTCTGTAACAAAGGTTTCTGAAGGGACCAATTCTACCACGGAATTTCTGTAACATAGGTTACTGAAGGGGCCAATTCTACCACGGCATTTCTGTAACATAGGTTACTAAAGGGACCAATTCTGGCACGGAATTTCTGTAATTTAGGTTACTGCAGTGACCAATTCTACCATAGAATTTCTGTAACACAGGTTACTGCAGGGGCCAATTCTACCATAGAATTTCTGTAACATAGGTTAATGCACAGATCAATTCTACCACGGAATTTCTGTAACCTAGGTTACTGCACAGAACAAGTCTACCACGGAATTTCTGTACCAAAGGTTACTGCACAGATCAAACAGATCAATTCTACCATGGAATTTCTATAACATGGGTTACTGCAGGGACCAATTCTGCCACGGAATTTCTGTAACCTAGGTTACTGCACAGAACAAGTCTACCACGGAATTTCTGTACCAAAGGTTACTGCACAGATCAAACAGATCAATTCTACCATGGAATTTCTATAACATGGGTTACTGTAGGGACCAATTCTGCCACAGAATTTCTGTAACCTAGGCTACTGCACGGATCAATTCTACTGCGGAATTTCTGTAAAATAGGTTACTGCAGGGACCAAATCTACCACGGAATCTCTATACCATAGGTAACTGCAGGGACCAAATCTTCCACGCAATTTTAAAGTGGGGTTAATAGTCTAGAATACGACAAGCGATACCTCAGGGACCGTTGTTTAACGCCGCACTCACCAATATTCCATCTATCTGACGGCAGTCTTTAAATATAATCGACTCGGAACCAGACAATCCAGTGACATGAGCATTGATCTACTCAATTCGGATACGATGACGTGCATCAACCAAGTCAGAGAGCTTGATCACCCGATCCCATTAGTCGCCTCTTACGACAAGCATGGGTTGCTGAAGACCAATTCTAACCCACACCGTCACGTGTCGGGTCCGATTAGTATAGTGTAGTTCACTTATCACCAAGATTCTCCAAATGGGCACAAGGCACAATGTACAAAGCAAATGTTTGTATCCCCGGGATATTGCTGAAAGTTGGTTTGTTAACTGTTGTGTAAAGCAGTCCTCAGCAATACTCATGCGAACTCACCTTTACCTGTAAAAACCAAGTCTGAACCAAACGAACCAGTGATTGATATTATGATCCGCCCGCCTCCGTGGTCTAGTGGTAGAGCGCGATACATGATCAGTACATCTCCAGTGTGTGTGTATGTGCGTGCGTGCGTGCGTGCGTGTGCGCGTGTGTGGCTGATTGTACTAGTCCCGACTAATGACGATTTTAATAGTGCTAACCCACTGAGATACCATGGGTGAGTTTAACATGAATACCGAAACCCCGAGCCGACCAGTCCTTGTATTAGCCCCTTAATACGGAGCGTCGGGCAGGGTAACAACAAGTACCATCTTTCAAAGTCTTTTAATGTGACACGGCCAATCTACTTTTGTATTAGGATAGGAATATTGTACACTGGATAATCGAGGCTGAAACCCTGTTAGTCTTCATTGTCCAATCCCCAGTGACATAATCCGGTTTAACGAGTCATTGGACAACAGTATGTTCCAGTCACTATATACACACATTCCAAACAGCAGGAGACCGAAAGGGTGACAAGGTTTGTTCAAGCTTGTAGACATTGTTGTATTTTTACCAACTCCCACATCTATAATATTAGTGTGTGGAGTGTATAGTTTACTTCCAAGTTGTAGCTGACAGTTAGCAAGTGCACTACAACAGTTCCGTTATGCAAACAATAGACAGACAAAAAACATTAACAATGCAATAAGCTTTATTGAAAAATAACAATACAAATATCAACAGATGTAAGGTAATAATTACAATGTGTAACAATAGTACTACATTGTAGATCACATGCATCATATTGTAAAGAATCCATATGCACACATTATTTATGAATTATGAGTTGGAAATGCTCTACTAAACAGCATTATAGATAGTTATATAAACTCATAAATTATGTAGGAAGCTCCTTTTATTTAATTTCAATAGAATAATCAATAAATGTAAAGGAATAATAAACAAGCATAACAATAGTACTTTTTATGGATCACGTGTTTGATATTTTTAAGAACATACCAACATCTTTTTAAAAATAAGATTTTTGGTATAATTTATGAGGTAAAACTGTTTTGATAAATTGCACATACATATATACGTTCACATGTTACGAGGGAAGTTCTTGATAAATATATATTTATCAATAAATATATTGTAATAACAATGTGTAAGAAAAGCACTATATATAGATCACATAATGCTTATATGAGACTATGTACACAAAATATGTTACTACATTGCTGTGGTTATGCGGTAAACATGTAAGGCTCAACAGCAAATACATAAAATACTAAATACATATGTATTTACAGTTTACGAGGAATGTATTCATGAAAACAAGTGGTATCTACAACTGGTATACTCAATCTAAATGCATAGATATTTATATAAACTATGTAAACCTAATCAACGATAACGACACATCTTGTTTTAATAGTAATGCTCCAATCATCCTTCTATTAATTACTTCCTCCCCCGAAGTATTGCTGATGCTACCTTGATTTTTTCACTGGATCACTCACTATCCTAACCTAGTAAGACACATTTCACATCCCTACCCCATAACCACACTTCTAGTCATCAATTCTCTCTTCCTCTAGTCCTAACCAAGGCCAACATCCTTTACTTCCCCATCCGAACTTGCTCCATGCTGCCTGTCCAAACCGAACCAATCCACTCTCATCTTCTCTCACATCATCCCCAACCTTTCAGAACCAGTCACTCCAACCTCATCACTACATCAAATGACCAGGCATAACTCTCAATAACATGTATACAATCTTAGCCATTCTTTGAAACACAAGTCCATGATTTCCCTCAAAGATGATCAATAGAGATACAATCTTATACCTATGAAGATCATCTATGCACCCAAGTGTCGCTCCTGTACACAAGGCAAGGTCAAGGTCGGTCCTAGACACACGGCAATGTCCGTCTGTGCCGATCCGCCTTGTACTTGAGTTATGAAGGTGAACTTCAGTGCCCTGTCTTCAGGATGTGGCTCAGATTCATGGTACCAAACGTGCCGCTCACATTCTTCCAACTTTGAGACTGGAAAGAGGAAATACCATCAGGTGTGTACTTCAACATGTCCACTTGTTCAAGGTGCTACATGTTTAGTGGTGTAGAGTATTTGAAAGAAATTACAACTTGAGGTGTTAGAAATGTAAGCTAAACTAAAGTGATATGTTAACACATTGTTTTGAATAGTTGATTATGTCTTTAAGATGATTATAAACATTTGGTAAAGCCAGAAGCATGCATTAAGATTCAGTCGTTATCCAGATTTCAGAAATATGTTTTCTTACCTTGGCAAAGATGCTGAACTGCCCATGCACCATTGCAGGTGCTGTGTCCATGTCATTGTTCTGAAATAAATAAACAAACGAACAGGTTAACATTATGATACGATCCATGTGTCTCATGTTACAAATACCACCTTTCCCACTGCCAGATTGTATAGAAAGAGTAACAATGAAACATAATGATACATACCGAAAATATACTAAACTGGCTGTGCCCTGTGTAAGGTTGGGAGTCCATTGCCTCTTCCTGAAATTAGAACACATGTATCACTGGAACAGCCTCCCTCCCATGCGCCGAATTTTATACAAGAGAAAGCAATAAGGTGACCTTTAAGCATGATACGTTTATGTATGTAACGCTCCGTCCAGAATACGATGTGTATTCAACAAAGAATGTTGTCTGGTTGACCTGGATAATGCAAGAGGAATCCCACGTTCTGATTGAAATCACGGAAATCCTAGACCTTCTGTCTATCAAACACCCCCATCTATATTTGCGCATAATAAAAAAAAGGCGACATTGGGATCGGGTGGCCAGGCGGTGATTTGATTGGCATTGCCATTGTGCTCGTGGATCGTTGATCAGATTATCAATCGTTACTTTGTCTAATCCAGATTCAATTATTTACAAGCTGCCGCAATAAAGCTGGACTATTGTGCGGCGTTACACAACATGCAAACAGGCTAACAAGCTAACCCTAATGGTGTGAGAAAATAAATCAACATATCATTATTAATATAGTTCATCCTTCTCGATGGTCACCTTAATATAACCCCCCAAAAGAATATGAAGAATTCTTACCCCAAAGATGCTGAACTGACTCGGTCCAAAAGCAGGCAGCGTATCCATTGCTTCAAACAACTGTTATAAAGTAGACACAAAGACATACAATGAAAACGTTATGATACATAAGAAATATTTAACCACATACGTGAGCCATTTAACTCCTACCGTCTTATTCAATCTCTGACTTCTTATTTCTAAGAAACTTGTTTACTTCAAACATGACCCCTCCGTATGTGTACTATACTTTGCGTGTTTCGTGTGCTGCATTTACTGTCTTTTGTACAAAGACCAACAGACGTAAAACAGTTACAAACCTGTCGGGCGTTATGTCCGGCGATGGTAGAAGGGAGTCTCCGTACCCCAGTGCCTGATGTCGACAGGTAGGCGGCAAGACCAAGTTTAAGGGCTGCCAATGGTATAGAATAAATTCATTAACGGCAGGTGATACAAGAAATGATAAATATTAAATTGCACGATCTGCTTGATATTTCAAGTTTTTTCTTCACGGAAATGCATGATTCAATTTCCAAGTAGATCTACTCCAATATGATAGTCGCACGTATTGACATAAAGGCGCTGAAGGCCTGAGCTCGATTCCCCACATGGATACAACGCGTGAAGCCCACTTCTGGTGTTCCCCGCCGTGGTATTGCTGGAATATTGCTGAAACCCGTGTTAAACCCAACTTACTCCTCTTACTTCTGAAAGAAACCGTGAATTAATCCAAAACAATGAAGAGTATGAGAGACAATATTCTTAACAGTTCATAAGACAAATTTAGGTAACTCTGAAATAACTACCGACCAAGCATTGTTCCGTTAGGTAACTTTCAGGGCATATACAACTTTAGTATACTTGACAACATAATATATTAACACTATGTGTGTGACATGTTTCCAAGAAGAAACGTAAACTCATTCACAACATTCTAGAGTGTGAGAATAGTACCTAAAACCATAGCATACGTTTTCGCTGAAGACAAATTGATAAAGTTTCAAAATTACCACCTACCAGACATAATCTTCTTGATTAACTCTTTGGAAAGAGTTTGAGAAGTTCCGTAGACGTATAAGACAATGTATTAGCAACAAAAGCAGAGACAATGTTCTTTGCGTGTGCACATTCAGCGAACGTCGATGACGAATGAAAACGTCGCGTGACGTTTTCTGTTCAAAGGGACGCTACTCTGCAAGCTACGAGGCGCGACTTTTCAAACCCGTGACAATAATTTTCTGTGGTTTGTAAGTTGTTTTTCTATCGTTTTTGGACGGCCATGTTTATCGCGGTTAGTCGCGCTATGACGGTGTTTAGCATCACTCCGATGATATATCAAGTAATGGATCAAACAGACCAGGGATTGATATTATGAGCAATGATCCACGCTTTAGGGGTACGATGACACACAAACAATCAAGTCACCGAGCCTGACCATCCGATCCATTATGTCGCCTCTTACGGCCAGCATAGGCTGGTAGGGTCCAGGTCTGACCATGAATCACTATGGGAGTCTTTCTTAAAACCGACCCATACACCCACCCACTTCTAACTTCAGGTAAACATTGCTTTCTGTCTCTTCTTTTATAAGTAATTGTTAGCGACTTTGCAAATGTTTTGATCTATCTTTCTATCATATGATCACAATACGAATTATAAATTTTATATATATCGATGTAGTCTGAATGTACACAAATATATACTGATAAGTATCAAGTTCAGCCCATCGCCGGAGGTTTAAGGTATGTCCTTCGGGGCGATATGACAGATGTTATGACACTTCAAAATGTAACAATGTTTTCGTATTAAATTTGATTGTTGGTGTGTCACGCCGCACTAAGCCATATTCCAGCTATTTTCTGTAAATAATCGAGTCTGGGTCAGACAATCCAGTGATTGACATCATGAGCATCGATCTACGCATTTGGGATACGATGACATGCTTCAACCAAGTGGGCGTGCCTGATCACCCGATCCCGTTAGTCGCCTTTTACGACAAGCATGGGTTGCTGAAGACCTTTTTTAACCCGGATCTTCACAGGTAAAAATGTACCTACGTTTACTCGAGGAAAATGGCGACATAGTCCTTCCAAATCTGATCCCACATGTTGTAAGTTTTCCGTTTGGGAACTTTAGTCTCGGCCTGGCGTCTTGGGTTTCTAGCATCCATGACATATCTTGATGATGTTGTTGGTCTATTTACATGTTCATTCCAGTCTAATACGGCCATATTCGTCCGAAAACGATAAACATCGTCAGAAAAGTTAAGTCTTTTGTTATGATATTGCAGCAGCGAATTGTTGAAACTTTCAACGAAAAACGTGTCCATACAATGAATGTAGTCGTCGGTGTGTTTATACACAACAGTAGTTTTCAAAGCTTGACACAGAAGTAGCTCAGCCTTTAGGTCACAAATTAATGTTTTGGATGATTCATTGTGCACGTCGAGTCTACATGTCGACCTTTCTGAACAATTATTATTTTTCATGCGTAGTCTGAAATGGATATCGCCAGGTTGAAACGAGTGCCGTAAAGCTGGAGAAAGCTGCTTTCTAAATGGCTGATGTCGACTTCTTGTTAGTCATTTCAATGGTCGGTCAAAGTTCGCGAAAGGTCGGTCTGACGTGACCCGTAATGGGATGTCCTCAGATCTTTGTTTAGCGGCAGCGAGAACTTAGATCTGATTTTAATGAGATTGAATATACTTTGGATAATCCGAGGCTGAAACCCTGTTAGTCTTCAGGACCCAGTCCCCAGTGATATAATCCGGTGTAACGAATCATTGCACAACAGTATTGTAACTATATATATATACACATTCCCAACAGAAGGAGGCCGAAAGAGAGTGTTTCTGGATAATGGGGTACGGCGTGACAAGGTTTGTTCAAGCTTGTTGACATTGTTGTATTTTTACCAACTCCCACATCTATAATATTAGTGTGTGGAGTGTGTAGGTTACTTCCAAGTTGTAGCTGACAGTTAGCAAGTGCACTACAACACCTATGGAAACAATAGACAGGCAAAAACATCAACAATGCAAAAACCTTTATTCAAAAATAACAATACAGAAAACAACATATATGTATAGTAATAATTACAATGTGTAACAATAGTTCTACATTGTAGATCCCATGCATCATATTGTAGAGAATCCATGCACACATTATTCATGAATTATGAGGTGGAAATGTTCTACTAAACAGCATTATACATATATAAATGCATAGCTTATGTGGGAGGCTCTTTTTTTAAACTATCTTTATATTATCTTATAAATATAAAGCAATAATAAACATACATAACAATAGTTCTATTTATAGATCACATGATTCATATTTTTAAGACAATATGAATATCTTTTTATAATAAGATGTTTTGTATAATTTATGAGGTAAAGCTGTTTTGAAAAGTTGCATATACAAATACATCTATTCACATATTATGTAGGAAGCTCTTTTTAAAAAGTATCAATGTAATAATCAATAACTGCATAATAAGCATGCATAACAATAGTACTATTTATAGATCACATGTATGATATTTTCAAGGACATATAAATATCTATATCATAATAAGATTTCTGGTATAATTCATAAGGTAAAACTGTTTTGATAAATTGCATCATAAACAAATATACATTCACATGTTACGTAGGAAGTTCTTATTGAAAGATATAAAAATATATTTATCAATAAATTTATAGTAATAATAACAATGTGTAACAAAAACACTATATATAGATCACATAATGCTATTTCAGAGACTATCTACACACAATACTTTTGTACATGGCTGTGGTTATGTGGTAAAATTGTTCTGTTTAACAGCAAATATATAAAATACAGAATACAAATGTATTTACAGTTTACGAGGAATGTATTCATGAAAACAAGTGGTATCTATATCTGGTAAACTCAATCAAAATGTATAGCTATTTACATAAAGTATGTAAAACTGATTAATGACAATGAACATATCATTTTGGAATAGTAATGTTCCAAATCATCTTTCTATTAATTACTTCAATTTCTCTACCCAGGTACAATCGTATAACTATGAAGATCATCTATGCACCCAAGTGTCGGTCCTATACACAAGGCAAGGTCAAGGTCGGTCCTATACACACGGCAATGTCCGTCTGTGCCGATCCGCCTTGCACTTGAGTTATGAAGGTGAACTTCAGTGCCCTGTCTTCAGGATGTGGCTCAGATTCATGGTACCAAACGTGCCGCTCACATTCTTCCAACTTTGAGGCTGAAGAGAGGAAATACCATCAGGTGTGTACTTCCAACATGTCCACTTGTTCAAGGTGCTAAATGTTTAGTGGTGTAGCGTGTTTGAAAGAAATTACAACTTATTAGAAATGTAAACTTAACTAAAGGGATATGTTAATACAGTGTTTTGAACAGTTGATTATGTCTTTAAGATGATTATAAACATTTGTTAAAGCCAGAAGCATGCATTTAGATTCAGTCGTTATCCAGATTTCAGAAATAAGGTTTCTTACCTTGGCAAAGATGCTGAACTGCCCATGTCCCATTGCAGGTGCTGTGTCCATGTCATTGTTCTGAAATAAACAAACAAACAAGTAAACATTATGATACGATCCATGTGTCTCCTGTTACAATCACCATATCTCCCACAGCCAGATTGTATAGAAAGAGTAACAATGAAAACATAAAGTTACATAACGAAAATATACTGAACTGGCTGTGCCGTGGAAGGTTGTGTGTCCATTGCATCTTCCTGAAATAAGAACACGTGTATGACAAGAACAGCCTCCCTCTCATGCGCTGATCTTATGGAAATACAAGACAAAGCAATGGTATTATTATACTATATATGTGCATGATTATTACATGTAATACATGCTTAGTCCTGAACTCGATTATTTACAGGCTGCCGCCATATACCTGGAATACTGTGCGGCGTTAAACAACATGTAAACGTGGTAACAAGCTAATGCTAATGGGATGATAATATAAATATTATCATAAATATAGTTAATCCTTCTCGATACAATATCGTGTTAATAGAACCCCAAATGTAATTGACAACAGCGACGGATATCAGGAAATCTTACCCCGAAGATGCTGAACTGACTCGGTCCAAAAGCAGGCAGCGTATCCATTGCTTCAAACAACTGTTATAAAAAACACACAAAGACACATAACGAGAAAGTTCTAATATATATCAAATGTTTAACTGCGTACGTGAGCTAAATTGTTTCATCACCGCCTTCCTGTTCAATTACTGTCGTCTTATTGAATCTCTGCATGCCTTCTTATTTCTTAAGAAATGTGTTTCCCTTAAATACCACACCTTAAATTCGTATCTTAACTATCATTTTGCGTGTTTTATTGGTGATAAATTTACTTACTTTAGTGAAGAAGAACAAGCATAAGTAAAACAGTTACCTACCAGTCAGGCGGCATGTCCGGCGATGGTAGAAGGGAGTCTCCGTACCCCAGTACCTGATGTCGACAGGTAGGCGGCAAGACCAAGTTTAAGGGCTGCCGATGGTATAGAATAAATACATTAACGACAGGTCAGACATGAAATGATGAATAATAAATTGCAAGATCTGCTTGATATTTCAAACGTTTTCTTCACTGATGTGCATGATTCCTTTTCCAAGTAGATCTACTCCAATATGATGGTCGTATTAACTTTGAAGGCGCTGAAGGACTGTGTTCGATTCCAGGTAAATTACGTCTGGTATTAACTTACTTAAAAATGAAGAATATACAGAACACGTGACAACATCTATTAACACTATATGTGTGCCATATGTCTGAAGGGAAACGTAAACTCATTCAAGACAATGAAGAATGTGAGAAAGTATTATATGAAATCATACCATTTACGTTCTCACTGAAGACACATTGATATCAGTTTCAAATTATCACCTACCAGACATAATCTTCTGTTTGGGAAGAGTTTGATAAGTCCGGGAGATGTATAAGACAATGTTCTTTGCGCGTGCACATTTTGCGAACGTCGATGACGAATGAAAACGTCGCCATAGTGACATTGTCTGTTCAAAGGGACGCTACTCTGCAAGTTACGAGGCGCGATTATTCCGCGGCAGCCATGCCGCCATTGTCTAATGAAATAATGTTCTGAAAAATCTATGGGACTTGTGGATAATTGAAATATGGCCTTATGGGTAATTGAATATAAAGTACATGTAGTTCAAAATTTCAAACAATTGCTTACATTAAAATTCTCGCCATTTTGTTCGTTGTTCAGTTTTTTTTGTTTAAACCCTTAAATGCATGACATTTGTTGGAAAGTCTACCGCAATAATTAGAGAGAGTCACATTTTTTCTGAGTAAGCTATGGGTGACGATTGGTAGTTTAAACAAGTGTTAACAACATGCCATATCTGGTCTTCTAGTTCTTAAATGTCTCTATATGTTGATGGTCTTTCAGTTATATTTTTATTTAAACCCTGAAAGGCATGACATTTTTTTACCGCAATAATGAGAGACAGTGCCAACTTGTGTGTTCATCACAAGCAGAATGTGCTTTTCCCTAGTTACGGCCTGCACGCGCTCGTTTACAGTGGAAAGACATTGTTTATCATTTTCAGTATTTATTGTAAATTTAATCTGATGAAAAACAGACTTTGCCGCCGTGTTCATGTAACGCTTCAAAAGTTTTCTTGTCTTCTCTAGTAATATACTCATGGAAAAAACAAATCTCTGGCAATCATTTAATATTATTGGATTTAATATGGATTAATGTCTGAATTACGTTGCAATTGAAGTGGATAATATTTATTCATATACTGCTTATCAAACTTACGAAATATCGGCGTGAACACTGCGTTTTGGGACAGTGTCCGTCTCTCGCGCAACGGAAGAATCCATTTCCATTGAACAGGGGACTGTGGTGCAGTGTGACGCGGTGCACGTGGAGTTCATGCTCAATGTATTCGTCAGTGCGTCACATCGACTCGACACATAACTGTACTGGACTCCCCCAACAAACCTTCCACGCCTCCTGTGGTCATCAACTGCGCGGATTATGTTGCGGTTTACTTCAACATACATGCAATGGTATTTTTATACACATGTTCGCATGTTGACATGTTCTATCGATCTAAGAAATAAAAGTCAATCAAGACCCCGGTAATTGTTAAAGAAACTTTATAAACAAAAGAAAAGGTACGAAAGCAAATATTCAGAGACTTTTAACGAAAATATAAATAAGCCAGAATGCTTCGAGTGACGTTCGAAGCGCCTGTGTGTTGCAAGTCTTCTTTCTATCATAAAACAACAGATTGTTTCTCCCCGTTACGGTATTAATAATTAAAAACGGTCTCCATGGACGTACAAACGCAATGCTTTAATACAATGCTTTCTGTGAAAGTTGTTTTCAGTGTTGTTTTATGTTTAATGAACAATATTCCAGCTATTTCACGTCATCCTATAAATGATGGAAGCTCGGCAATGAAAACCATCGATTGGTATGATGAACGTCGTCGTGGTATACGACAATACAAAACGTTACTCGTGAGCTTGAACACCCCGTACCCATCAATTCGGGTCCTGAAACAAACATTGAATTGAGGACCAATATTATTACCCGAGATCACCATCCAACGTGGAAAATGCAAATAGCGTAATCCCGCTTGAGGGTTCAGGTTAAAATTAGTCCCCAACAAACACTGACTAATTAGATTAGTATTTTTCACTTATAAACACTCGTCAACCTATGGACAGCAAAACTTGACTGGAATGACTGGTTGAGGAGACCCATTTAATTCCAGACCCTGTTAATTCCAGTCTGACAACAAACATTAGGTTGAGGACCAATATTATGACCCGGCATCTCCACAGGGTTAATCTGAGATCATCATCCAACGTGGACGATGCAAATGGTGTAATTCCGTGTGGGGATTCCGGATTAGAAGTAGTCCAAAACAACCTATGCTTGTATACAGGGCGACTACATGGATGGGGTGCTCGGTGATCTGCGTGGGTGATTGTGTGTCATCGTACCCCGGCGGCGTGATCGTTGTTCATAACAAGAAAGAAGTGAGCAAAGCTCACATATCCCCGTTATCCCCGCTGGTCAACAACAAATAGTAAATAAATGTAGTTTGTTAATTAATGAAATATACCTGTTGCTTTAAGTCAGAGGAACTGCCCTTTCCTTTGTAACCCCATGAACTCTACAAAACAAGTCATCAAAATTTCTAAATTCCATCATGTTTCCATGAAAACAGCAAAAGAGAAAACTTTTCAGAATCTAATAAAAGATAAAGCATAATCATAGTGGTTAATGTAGCAAGTTTGCTGAAGCTAGGATACATAATATTGTAAACATGGATCGTACAAAAACTCTACCCAAAATTTATGTTTCACCATGATTCCATGGAAACGGCAAAAATAAAAAAATTCAGAATCTTCAAAGTAGCAAAAGGCACAAGTAGATCTACTCATTGTGGTAAATGTGTGTAGCAAGCTTGATGAAGCTAGGATGCATAGTTAAAAAAATATGGGCCGTACAAAACACCCACCCTAAAAGTTTAAGTTTCTTAATGTGTCCATGGAAACGGCAAAAATTTAAAAAATCACAATCTACAAACTAGCAAAAGGCACAAGTACTCATTGTGGTAAATGTGTGTAGCAGGTTTGGTGAAGCTAGGGTGCATGGTTAAAAAGTTATAGGCCGTACAAAAGCTCGGACGGAAGGACGGACCGACGGAACGCTATATATACCCCCGATTTACTTCGTAAACGGGGGTATAATAAAAGTGAGGCGACACACAAAAGGAAAATACGTGAAGGGAAAACATATAAGACCTAATCGCGTTGATGCCGTAACAGACAACATGGGTCTTTATCACTGGCTCTACAGCCAGCTGGATCGGACAGGACACAAATATTGTTGGAACATTTATCAATATTGACTGTAACGGGTGACCTCGCCTAGGCGAACACTACCAAGCTGACTGTCGTTCATTTCCCGATGAACGTCAGTATGTCACGTGATTACGTTGTCAATCGCGCGGAGACATACAGAACTACTTCAGGGGAATTCCTCAATATCTAAAAACAACATTAAAAATAATTAAAACTGAGACCGACATCGATTTAGGCTATGAATGAAGCAGGCTTTGAAGTCAGACAGATCATGTAAAGGTCGGGTCACCGAAATGAAGCGTCCATTCGAAGCTAGTAACAGAATGGTCGACTTACCAAAAGAAACCCCCGAGCACCACACTATCGTGCCTCAGAAAATCCAACCGCGCCGCCCCAAGCTGTAATCCCCGTCATCAGCAGCCGTACATCGTACAGAACGTAAATATGTATCCATTTTCAGCACTGCGTGCAACTTGTATTTCAAGCGTATGAAAGCCGCCATTTTCTGCCGTTTGTAAAACCAAGGGATGTCACTCCAAATGGAATGTTTGGGACGAATGACGTCACGACTCTCCGCGTTGATATAGTTCGCTTTCAATAATTAAAGTTTGACGTTTAATGAATTGTTTTGTCATGATTTATGTATCTGTCAATATAGGGATTGAAGTTGTATTTGTTGACGTTCATCAGCTGATGAAGACAGTGACTGACGTGAGCAAATTCTGATGCGCGAAGTAACTCAGCTTGGCAATTATATGAGACTGTGCTCCTGCCTGGCTGACGCTAAACTTGCGGCGCGTACCAACAGTGAAACCAATCGTCCAGGCAAATCGTCCTGCTGAATTTCATGCTGGGCTTTAATGGTAGTTGTAGCTGTTAAAGCCAGCATGCGGGCCTGTGGGAGGATTGCACGTAAATCCCCTACTTTGAGAAAGGCCGGTCCAAAGTTAGATTTCCCCCATGATATGACACAATGCGCCTCATCAACAATAATGTGACTGATCTGAAATTTGAATATGGGGTGAGGATAATGGGACACAGTACACCAAGACATGTTTAACATAGAAAACATTTAACAAAATGTGCAATAAAATAACCACTACAACAAGGCGATTTTGGTCTTCCCTTACGACCATATCAAAGTCAAAGAGAATTAAGCCTCCTGACCACGTCAAGGTATCGCCCTTTCAGGAGGTTTAAATAGCACTATTTTCAAAACATGAAACATACATTTATTTTCCACCAATAGCTTGTTTGATGAACAATTATGAAATTATATTTAAAAAAATATTTTCATAGAATTCACGAACACAATATCATGACTATATCGATAGGCTATGCAACACATTTTCTTTATTTCAATGTGATTCTTTGCATAATTGTCACGTTTTGGATCATGTTTCAATAATTCAACAAGTGTTCAAAGCATGTTCAGGTTATATAATGGACCCTAAATCGTATTATGTGTCCATGGTTATATGAATTTAAAAACATACAACATGCAAAAGGAAATCGACCTAGATTTCTGTAGGTGACATTTATCGTAACAATCTCTGCTTTGAGTTTTGAGCTGACTTCTAACTTACCTGTGATGATATGTCTTTTGACATTAGAAATCGTGTAACAGCCACACTACACAGGTGCTCTGGGTGACCCAAAATGAAGTTAACCTGGCCACTCTTTACTCGCTTCATTTTCTTCTCCGACTCTGCAGATCCCGAACACACATTAGATAAATAGTGCACATCTTCATGATTAATTATTACACTGTGGCTACCGAGGCGATTGTGCTGCTCTTCGAGAATCGCATTTAGTGGATTCATTTGTTTGAAAATATGGTGCCGGGCAAGAAAATATACACCAATATGTTTGATGGTAACTAAAATGAAACAAACAAGAAATGGTTATTCGATGGTGATGCATTTGATACGGGTTGTTTTTGGACCTTAAGTTTCCAGTGTAATCCTATTGTCAACTCCAATTTTCAAGAATATACTTTCTTTTGTCCGGCAGTTTACATATAGACTTGTTAAGAGTGTTGCAAAAATCTCCACAGTGACACGTACACGACCTCTGATTTAACTCACTAAATATATGTTTGCCTTTTCACTGTGTCCTGTACATTCACTCATACAGTTGTCACACATCACACGCAAAAGATGTCATAGATTGTTTATGTTTAGCAGCCATGATAGCAGAACGCTTCACCCCGTAAGAAGCCCATGACTCCGTGAAAAGGGATATCTTTCTAAATGACATTTTTGGATGAAATCCTTTGCATATTATCATAGCACACAGTGTGAAAATATTTTAAAACGTTTAGATCAACTTGCAAACAATTCACAATTATAACGATCGGTGACAATGGATCGATTTTAATTGGCAGGATTCGGCAGCGATAATGGAAGATTGGTTTCTTGTTTTCATATTAAAATATTTGTTTAAATATTTGATCCGATAAACACCTAGTTCTAAAAGATCAATTCAATTCAATCTGTAATTGACTCTCTATATATACCGTATTCGACGTAATAAGCGCCCCGCTCTTATAAGCGCCCACTAGTGAATAATCCCCATTGCACCCCTTCTGATTGATCAATGTACACAAGACTTATTTATTCGTGTATAATACGCACTCGTGTGTTATATGCACCCTTAACTATTGGCAATTAAATTCTGGAAAATTATATATGTCGTATATAAACATTTCAGGCTGTCAGCATAAACCACGAAATTTACGATCTTTCAACTCAGTTGTTTTTTTTCACCAAAATAATATTCTAATAAGAGCCCCCTATTTATAATTTTGAGAGCGTCCTGGGCGCTTATTACGTCGAATACGGTATATTCATTACGTTAAATACAAACGATCCGCTTTTGCCAAGAAAGGCACAAAAATTGCCTGGCAAAACGACACCAGTTTCATTATTCCTTCAGCAAAATTTACACTAAAATATATTATTCTTATATTTCCTTTTTGGGGTACCATTATAAATTTTAACAATATATTTTTATATTTACATATTTTCACTCCATTTTTACATTCTCATTTTTATTTATTCCAGTTTCAACCCCTTAATTGATTCAATCAGCGCGTTCACGTACCGCATCGGTATTCTGTCAGGTTATGGTTTTGTTATGTGTTCAATCTTACTATGGTTAAACTATTCCACTGTCGTTATTTAAAAAATGTGTTAAAGTTCAATTTCCTACTTGAGTATTTTAAAGTACAATTTCAGTACCTCAGTGAATCAATTACTGTTTATAACGAAAAATACTAAAAACATGAAATACCCAATATTTTAATTTAATTAAAATAAAACCGCATAAAATGAAAATACAGTGCCGTACAGGTTCCCTTTTCCCAAATGTGGTCATGTTATTGCTTCATGCTGTTTTGACGCTGTGCCGTTTTAGAACTTTGTTTTCGTTGGTCCGCTTTGACTTGTGGAACCCAGGTCATGTGATTAATCATGTGATCACACGTACGGGTTTAAATGGTGTTGTGACAAGAATTGTTGTCTGACATGGCTGCTGCACAGTTCGTGTTGTTGTGCACGTTGTTGTCTGTGACACTAGCGGCAGGTGCCCGATACGACCCCACATGGGAGTCACTGGACCAGAGGCCCCTCCCGGCCTGGTACGACGAGGCCAAGTTTGGCATCTTTCTTCACTGGGGGGTGTTCTCTGTTCCAAGCTTCGCAGGTGCTTGGTTCCAGGAGTTTTTGCTTAATAAAAGACCGGACGTTGTAGAGTTTATGAAGAAAACCCACCGACCGGATTTTACCTATGCTGACTTTGCCGCACAATTTACAGCTGAGTTCTACAACCCCGACGAATGGGCGGAGATATTCAACGCTTCAGGCGCAAGGTTAAAAAATGAAACTAATTTTAAGAAATCATCATATTGAGCAAATTTGGCCTATCTTATTCAAAGTTTGTATTTTCTTAAATTCGGGGGTATTTTAACGTTGCATTCAATTCAGTAAATTATGCCTCTTCCTGTATATTTGTGTCCTTATGAGATATTATTTACAATTGATTTTAGTCACCTCTATAAAGCCATAACATAATATAAGAATTAGGCATCTAACATGAATTAAGAACCTTTGTACTGATTTGTTTGCTGCAGACTAGATACATCCCAGGTATTGCAACAGATTCCTGTGGTTTCAAGAAAGTTGATCTTTGTCAACAAATCATATATATCATGTACATATTATACATGCACATTTCAGATATGTTGTGCTGACAACAAAGCACCATGAAGGATTCTGCAACTGGCCAACCAAATACTCGTTCAACTGGAATGCCATGGACGTTGGCCCTCGCAGGGACTTAGTGGGTATGTTTCTGTATCCATACATGTAGAGTTTGAGAGCATTTCAGAATCAGGGAGAGAAGAAAGTGTCTAACCCTCCTTGTAGGTGTTTGATAATAACAATCCGCTTGATCTTGGGCTAACAATCTGCTTGATCTTGGGCTAACAATCTTCATGTTCTGGGGCTAACAACCTGCTTGGTCACGGGCTAACCGTCTCATGTTTTCGGGCTAACACTCTGCATGTTCTGAGGCTAACAATCTGCATGTTCTGAGGCTAACAATCTGCATGTTCTGGGGCTAGCAATCCGCTTGATCTAGGGCTAACAATCTGCTTGATCTGGGGCTGACAATCTGCATGTTCTGAGGCTAACAATCTGCATGTTCTGAGGCTAACAATCTGCATGATCTGAGGCTAACAATCCGCTTGATCTTGGGCTAAAAATCCGCTTCATCTTGGGCTAAAAATCTGCTTGATCTTGGGCTAACAATCTTTCATGTTCTGGGGCTAACAACCTGCTTGGTCACGGGCTAACCGTCTCATGTTTTGGGGCTAACACTCTGCATGTTCTGAGGCTAACAATCTGCATGTTCTGAGGCTAACAATCTGCATGTTCTGGGGCTAGCAATCCGCTTGATCTAGGGCTAACAATCTGCATGATCTGGGGCTAACAATCTGCATGTTCTGAGGCTAACAATCTGCATGTTCTGGGGCTAGCAATCCGCTTGATCTAGGGCTAACAATCTGCATGATCTGGGGCTAACAATCTGCATGTTCTGAGGCTAACAATCTGCATGCTCTGAGGCTAACAATCTGCATGTTCTGAGGCTAACAATCTGCATGTTATGGGGCTAGCAATCCGCTTGATCTTGGGCTAAGAATCTGCATGTTCTGAGGCTAACAATCTACATGATCTGGAGCTAACAATCTGCATGTTCTGAGGCTTAACATCTGCTTGTTCTGAGGCTAACAATCTCCATGATCTGGGGCTAACAATCTGCATGATCTGAGGCTAACAATCTGCATGATCTAGGGCTAACAATCTGCATGTTCTGAGGCTAACAATTCGCTTGATCTTTAGCTAAAAATCTGCTTGATCTGGGGCTAACAATCTACATGTTCTGGGGCTAACAACCTGCTTGGTCTGGGGCTAACTGTCTCATGTTTTGGGGCTGACAATCTGCATGTTCTTAGGCTAACAATCTGCTTTGTCTGAGGCTAACAATCTGCATGATCTGGGGCTAACAATCTGCTTGATCTAGGGCTAACAATCTGCATGTTCTGAGGCTAATAATCTGCATGATCTGGAGCTAACAATCTGCATGATCTGGAGCTAACAATCTGCTTGATCTAGGGCTAACAATCTGCATGTTCTGAGGCTAATAATCTTCATGATCTGGAGCTAACAATCTGCTTGATCTTGGGCTAACAATCCGCTTGATCTTGGGCTGACAATCTGCATGTTCTGAGGCTAACAATCTGCATGTTTTGAGGTTAACAATCCGCTTGATCTGGGGCTAAAAATCTGCTTGATCTTGGGCTAACAACTTGCTTGATCTGGGGCTAACAATCTGTATGATCTTGGGCTAACAATCTGCATGATCTGGGCCAACAATCTGCTTGATCTTGGGCTAAAAATCTGCTTGATCTGGGGCTAACAATCTGCATGATCTGAGGCTAACAACCTGCATGATCTGAGGCTAACAACCTGCATGATCTGAGGCTAACAATCTGCATGATCTGGGGCTAACAACCTGCATGATCTGAGGCTAACAATCTGCATGATCTGAGGCTAACAACCTGCATGATCTGAGGCTAACAACCTGCATGATCTGAGGCTAACAACCTGCATGATCTGAGGCTAACAATCTGCATGATCTGGGGCTAACAATCTGCATGATCTTGGGCTAACAACCTGCATGATCTGAGGCTAACAATCTGCATGTTCTGAGGCTAACAACCTGCATGATCTGAGGCTAACAATCTGCATGTTCTGAGGCTAACAATCTACATGTTCTGAGGCTAACAATCTACATGTTCTGGGGCTAACAATCTACATGTTCTGGGGCTAACAACCTGCTTGGTCTGGGGCTAACTGTCTCATGTTTTGGGGCTAACAATCTGCATATGCTGAGGCTAACAATCTGCTTTGTCTGAGGCTAACAATCTGCATGATCTGGGGCTAACAATCTGCATGATCTGGAGCTAACAATCTGCATGTATGGGGCCAACAATCTGCATGTTATGGGGCTAACAATCTGCATGATCTAGGGCTAACAACCTGCTTGCCCTGGGTCTAACAATCTGCATGATCTTGGCTAACAATCTACATGATCTGGAGCTAACAATCTGCATGATCTGGGCCTAACAATCTACATGATCTGGAGCTAACAATCTGCATGATCTGGGCCTAACAATCTACATGATCTGGAGCTAACAATCTGCTTGATCTTGGGCTAACAATCCGCTTGATCTTGGGCTAACAATCTACATGTTCTGGGGCTAACAATCTACATGTTCTGGGGCTAACAACCTGCTTGGTCTGGGGCTAACTGTCTCATGTTTTGGGGCTAACAATCTGCATATGCTGAGGCTAACAATCTGCTTTGTCTGAGGCTAACAATCTGCATGATCTGGGGCTAACAATCTGCATGATCTTGGCTAACAATCTACATGATCTGGAGCTAACAATCTGCTTGATCTTGGGCTAACAATCCGCTTGATCTTGGGCTGACAATCTGCATGTTCTGAGGCTAACAATCTGCATTATCTGGGCCTAACAATCTGCATTATCTGGGCCTAACAATCTGCTTCATCTGAGGCTAACAATCTGTCTGATCTGGGGCTAACAATCTGCATGATCTGGAGCTAACAATCTGCATGATCTGGAGCTAACAATCTGCATGTATGGGGCCAACAATCTGCATGTTATGGGGCTAACAATCTGCATGATCTAGGGCTAACAACCTGCTTGCCCTGGGTCTAACAATCTGCATGATCTTGGCTAACAATCTACATGATCTGGAGCTAACAATCTGCATGATCTGGGCCTAACAATCTACATGATCTGGAGCTAACAATCTGCATGATCTGGGCCTAACAATCTGCATGATCTGGAGCTAACAATCTGCATGATCTGGAGCTAACAATCTGCATGATCTGGAGCTAACAATCTGCATTATCTTTAGCTAACAATCTGCATGATCTGGAGCTAACAATCTGCATTATCTTTAGCTAACAATCTACATGATCTGGAGCTAACAATCTGCATGATCTGGGCTAACAATCTACATGATCTGGGCTAACAATCTGCATGATCTGGAGCTAACAATCTGCATTATCTTTAGCTAACAATCTGCATGATCTGGAGCTAACAATCTGCATGATCTGGAGCTAACAATCTGCATGTTTTAGGACTAACAATCTGCTTCATCTGGAGCTAACAATCTGCATGATCTGGGGCTAACAATCTGCTTCATCTGGAGCTAACAATCTGTATGATCTGAAGCTTACAATCCGCATGATCTGGAGCTAGCAATCTGTATAGCATGCTGGCGATTATTTTACACACTGATAAATATGTTACTTTATATAATCGTGATAATATATTTAAATAGTCAGGTTATTGAGGATCAAGGAATCGTTTCTTAGAAACATTGCAGCCGCTTATTGGATAAAGATGCATGATAGGGTACATGGGGCAATTCCAGACACCTGGCAGCAGGGCAACAATTCTTGACATATGTGTTCTAGGTGACCTGGCCAACTCCATACGGAAGAAGTCCATCCTAAAGTTTGGTATTTACCACTCACTGTTCGAGTTTGTCAACCCGTACTTCAAACATGATCAGAGGAACAAGTTCCAGACCCAAGATTTTGTTCGGGTAGGACATTTTGACACATCAGTACCCTCAGTGGTGTGTGACATTAATGGCATTTGTAGATAGTTGTATTGATAACATGCAATATTTCAAACAGTACTGGTTTGTATCATAGTTCAGTTATAGCATGCCAGTATATTGCTTTAATTGTGATTTTTCCTTCTCATAGTCCGACCAACTTCCCTTGTCTTTCCCTATCAAAGACAGACCAACTTCCCTTGTCTTTCCCTGTCATAGTGGGACCAACTTCCCTTGTCTTTCTCTGTCATAGTGGGACCAACTTCCCTTGTCTTTCCCTATCAAAGACAGACCAACTTCCCTTGTCTTTCCCTGTCATAGTCGGACCAACTTCCCTTGTCTTTCCCCGTCAGTCCGACCAACTTCCCTCGTCTTTCCCTATCAAAGACAGACCAACTTCCCTTGTCTTTCCCTGTCATAGTCGGACCATCTTCCCTTGTCTTTCCCCGTCAGTCTGACCAACTTCCCTTGTCTTTCCCCATCATAGACAGACCAACTTCCCTTGTCTTTCCCTGTCATAGTCGGACCAACTTCCCTTGTCTTTCCCCATTATAGACAGACCAACTTCCCTTGTCTTTCCCTGTCATAGTCGGACCAACTTCCCTTGTCTTTCCCTGTCATAGTCGGACCAACTTCCCTTGTCTTTCCCCGTCAGTCGGACCAACTTCCCTTGTCTATCCCTGTCATAGTCGGACCAACTTCCCTTGTCTTTCCCCGTCAGTCCGACCAACTTCCCTCGTCTTTTCCTATCAAAGACAGACCAACTTCCCTTGTCTTTCCCTGTCATAGTCGGACCAACTTCCCTTGTCTTTCCCCGTCAGTCTGACCAACTTCCCTTGTCTTTCCCCATCATAGACAGACCAACTTCCCTTGTCTTTCCCCGTCAGTCTGACCAACTTCCCTTGTCTTTCCCTATCAAAGACAGACCAACTTCCCTTGTCTTTCCCCATCACAGTCTGACCAACTTAACTTGTGTTTCCCTGTCATAGTCGGACCAACTTCCCTTGTCTTTCCCCATCACAGTCTGACCAAGTTAACTTGTGTTTCCCTGTCATAGTCGGACCATGTTCCCTTGTCTTTCCCCCATCACAGTCTGACCAACTTAACTTGTGTTTCCCTGTCATAGTCGGACCAACTTCCCTTGTCTTTCCCCATCACAGTCTGACCAAGTTAACTTGTGTTTCCCTGTCATAGTCGGACCATGTTCCCTTGTCTTTCCCCCATCACAGTCTGACCAACTTAACTTGTGTTTCCCTGTCATAGTCAGACCATCTTCCCTTGTCTTTCCCCCATCTTCCCGAGGCAAGGGCATGAACTGACTATAAAAGTCCATTTTCCACCCTTGCCGAACTAGGCTTGAATTACGGCGTGACATTTTGACTGGACTTACAAGTCTATGCATAGTCCAATCAATATCTCGTAACGAAATTGACATCCCGTTCGTAAACGTGGATCTCAATCTGCAGATTTCAGTCGACTGAAGGATTTGCAAAGTATGTCTACCACCAACTGGGTGTTGACAGATATTTTCCAAATCTCATTTTTTAAAAAAAGGTACTCAAGTTTGAAGCAAATGCAAGTGAAGTAAAAGGTAGATCTGATTGGTCAATATGAGGGACATAGAAGGGGCATAACTTGTAATAGCCACTGGTGGCGCTTTGATTGAGCCAAGAAATTCCAGCCTTGTTCGGCAAGGGTGGAAGCTGGACTTTTATGGTCAGTTGACACCTTGCCTGTGGAAGAAGATTTTTCCCTATCATGAGATATGGATTAATCTTACACTTGTGTTGTTTCCAGTTCAAGACAATGCCCGAGTTGTATGAGCTGGTGAACCTGTACAAGCCTGATGTGGTGTGGTCAGACGGACAGTGGATGGCGCCATCGTCCTACTGGAACTCTACACACTTCCTGGCCTGGCTGTATAATGACAGGTGGTTAAATCTGGTGGGGGCACCGGGGGAGGGGGGTAGGTGGCTACTATTGTTTCTAAGGTTCTGCAATTGGCTACGCAGGTTCAGTCCCATTGTGGCGCCAGGATCCGCTGATCTGCTGGTTGAATCCAGATTCTCTCTTATTATGATTATTATGTCCAGACGTGTAAGGTAAGCCACAGGACTGGTGTATCTTCATGGGATTGTTGGACAAATATGTCAAATATATTCCTCTGCTAGTTACACTTGAGCAAAGAACCATTTAATAACATTTTACCGTGTTATAATCCAGAGTGAAATTTTCATGTGTAACATTGTCCCCCTAGCCCTGTAAAGGACACAGTGGTGACGAATGACCGATGGGGAAGTGACACATTGTGTAAACATGGAGGATACTACACCTGTCATGACAAGTTCAATCCAGGTAACACTTAAGTCCTGTTTCAAATGATATTGTCTTGAACCAACAAGGTGATCCCCACTCTCCTCCTTAGGACCCCCCCAACCTTGACCCAACAAGGTGATCCCTGCCCCAGTGATTCCCTTGACACAAGACCCATGAAGATCCGGGGTAGAACAGGTCTTCAGCAACCCATGCTTGCCTTAAAAGGTGACTATGCTTGTCGTAAGAGGCGACTAACAGGATCGGGTGGTCAGGCTCGCTGACTTAGTTGATGCATGTCATCAATCCCAATTGCATTGATCGATGATCATGATATTAATTACTGGATTGTCTGGTCCAGACTCAATTATTTAAAGATCGCCGTCATATAACTGGGATATTACTGAGTGCGGCGTCAAACAACAAACCAAACCAAACCTTCAAACAAAAAGGTGATTTCCCCCACCCCCAATGACCCAACAAGGTGATCCCCACCCCCTTGACCCAACGAGGTGATCACCACCCCCTTGACCCAACGAGGTGATCCCCACCCCCTTGACCCAACGAGGTGATCCCCAACCCCCTTGATTCAACAAGGTGATCCCCACCCCCTTGACTCAACAAGGTGATCCCCACCCCCTTGACCCAACGAGGTGATCCCCAACCCCCTTGATTCAACAAGGTGATCCCCACCCCCCTTGACTCAACGAGGTGATCTCCACCCCCTTGACTCAACAAGGTGATCCCCACCCCCCTTGACCCAACGAGGTGATCCCCAACCCCCTTGATTCAACAAGGTGATCCCATCCTCCTTGACTCAACAAGGTGATCTCCACCCCCTTGACCCAACAAGGTGATCCCCACCCCCTTGACCCAACGAGGTGATCCCAACCCCCTTGATTCAACAAGGTGATCCCCACCCCCTTGACTCAACAAGGTGATCCCCACCCCCTTGACCCAACGAGGTTATCCCCAACCCCCTTGATTCAACAAGGTGATCCCCACCCCCTCGACCCAACAAGGTGATCCCCACCCCCCTTGACTCAACAAGGTGATCTCCACCCCCTTGACTCAACAAGGTGATCCCCACCCCCTTGACCCAACGAGGTGATCCCCAACCCCCTTGATTCAACAAGGTGATCCCCAACCCCCTTGACCCAACGAGGTGATCCCCAACCCCCTTGATTCAACAAGGTGATCCCCACCCCCTTTACCCAACAAGGTGATCCCCACCCCCCTTGACTCAACAAGGTGATCTCCACCCCCTTGACTCAACACGGTGATCCCCACCCCCTTGACCCAACAAGGTGATCCCCAACCCCCTTGATTCAATAAGGTGATCCCAACCCCCTTGACCCAAAGAGGTGATCCCCAACCCCCTTGATTCAACAAGGTGATCCCCACCCCCTTGACCCAACAAGGTGATCCCCACCCCCCTTGACTCAACAAGGTGATCTCCACCCCCTTGACTCAACAAGGTGATCCCCACCCCTTGACCCAACGAGGTGATCCCCACCCCCTTGATTCAATAAGGTTATCCCCACCCCCTTGACCCAACGAAGTGATCCCCACCCCCTTGACTCAACAAGGTGATCCCCACCCCCTTGACCCAACGAGGTGATCCCCAACCCCCTTGATTCAACAAGGTGATCCCCAACCCCCTTGATTCAACAAGGTGATCACCACCCCCTCTACCCAACAAGGTGATCCCCACCCCCTTGACCCAACGAGGTTATCCCCAACCCCCTTGATTCAACAAGGTGATCCCCACCCCCTCGACCCAACAAGGTGATCCTTACCCCCCTTGACTCAACAAGGTGATCTCCACCCCCTTGACTCAACAAGGTGATCCCCACCCCCTTGACCCAACGAGGTGATCCCCAACCCCCTTGATTCAACAAGGTGATCCCCAACCCCCTTGACCCAACGAGGTGATCCCCAACCCCCTTGATTCAACAAGGTGATCCCCACCCCCTTGACCCAACAAGGTGATCCCCAACCCCCTTGATTCAATAAGGTGATCCCCACCCCCTTGACCCAAAGAGGTGATCCCCAACCCCCTTGATTCAACAAGGTGATCCCCACCCCCTTGACCCAACAAGGTGATCCCCACCCCCCTTGACTCAACAAGGTGATCTCCACCCCCTTGACTCAACAAGGTGATCCCCACCCCCTTGATTCAATAAGGTTATCCCCACCCCCTTGACCCAACGAAGTGATCCCCACCCCCTTGACTCAACAAGGTGATCCCCACCCCCTTGACCCAACGAGGTGATCCCCAACCCCCTTGATTCAACAAGGTGATCCCCAACCCCCTTGATTCAACAAGGTGATCACCACCCCCTCTACCCAACAAGGTGATCCCCACCCCCCTTGACTCAACAAGGTGATCTCCACCCCCTTGACTCAACAAGGTGATCCCCACCCCCTTGACCCAACGAGGTGATCCCCACCCCCTTGATTCAATAAGGTGATCCCCACCCCCTTGACCCAACGAAGTGATCCCCACCCCCTTGACTCAACAAGGTGATCCCCACCCCCTTGACCCAACGAGGTGATCCCCAACCCCCTTGATTCAACAAGGTGATCCCCAACCCCCTTGATTCAACAAGGTGATCACCACCCCCTCTACCCAACAAGGTGATCCCCAACCCCCTTGACTCAACAAGGGGATCGCCACCCCCCTTGACTCAACAAGGTGATCCCCACCCCCTTGACCCAAAAAGGTCCCTAGCAATACATGCTTGTTGTGATAGCTGATTAAAATGAGGATTTCACAATAATTGACCTGATGGTGTGAATGATGGGGGTTGTTCATACTGTCAACCACTGTTTTGTCTTGGCAAGATTCAGTTATTTAAAGCCTCTACTGATATTGCCATCTCCCAGAGGCAAGGGAGTTAACTGACTTTAACTGACTTTGCTGTTGGTACAATGAATATTATTGTGTATCCCTCGGGACAAAATATGTTCTTTTCCTGCGTCCAGTCTCTACATTTGTGCGTTTTGGACACATATTTGTGCAACCCGTAGGAGATAATGTAAGAGAGTTATGATAGTCGTAGCACAAATATTACCCTGTGAACATCTTTCCCAGTCAAGGGTGTTAATTGACTGGAAAAAGTCCAGTTTCCACCGTTGCCGACCTAGGCTGGAATTTCTGGGCTCGATCGTAGCGCCAGTGGCTGTTACAAGTTATGTCCCTTCTATATTCTTCCTATTGACCAATCAGATTCCACCTCTCATATCAAATGCATTGCTTCAAACACAACAGTGGCCCACAGTCAAGACAATCTCACTGATAATTAAGATCTTTATTGTAATAAAACAGGCTTTACCTCGCAAAGTGCAAAAAATCACTTGAGTACCTTGATTAAAAACATGACATTATTTTGAAAATATCTGTCAACGCCAAATTGACAGTACACATGCTCTGCAAATCCTGCAATTGAACAAATTCGGCAAGGCATCTGCCATGTTATCTATGAAGTGGATGTCGATTTCATTATGGGATTTTGATTGGACTATGCATAGACTTATTAGTCCAGCCAAAATATAAGTCCATAATTCCAGGCAAGTTCGGCAAGGGTGGAAACTGGACTGTTACAGTCGGTTAACTGACTTGCCCTGGGAAGATGTGATATTGATGACTTCAGCGATTCACAACATGTAATACTACTTATCAAAAGTATTGGAAGGATGTTCAGTTAATTTTGAATTTTCCTTTCTGTACTGGGATCAGTTGTAAAGAGCTTTTATTTGGCAGTATAAATATTTGAAATAGTTTTAACATCTTAACTATTCTTAGGTGTGGTACAGGAGCACAAATTTGAGGATGCGACTACTATAGACAGGAGTGCATGGTCCTACAGACGTAACGCCCAGCTGAAAGACTTCAACACCATAGAGCAACTGATTAGTCAGTTGGTGGTGGTTGTCAGGTAGGCACAATTTAGCTGAATTCTGAGGCACCTAATACCTGTGAAGATTCAGAGTAATATAGGTCTTCAGCAACCCAAGCTTGCGGTAAACGGCAACTATGCTTGTAGTAAGAGGCAACTAACAGGATCGGGTGGTCAGGCGCGCTGACTTGATTAACGCTTATCATCGTATCCCAATTGTATGGATGGATGCTCATGATGTCAATCACTGGATTGTCTGGTCCAGATTTATCTACAGACCGCCATCATATAGCTGAAATATTGCTGAGTGCAGTGTTAAACAACAAACAAACCAAGGAACATAAACAGAAGGGACACAGAAGGAATATAACTTGAAATAGCCACTGGTGGTGCTATGATCGAACCACGAAATTCCAACCAAGTTTGACAAGGGTGGAAACTGGACTTTTACAGTCAGTTAACTCCCTTGCCTCGGGAAGAGGCGTTATACCCAACTCACTCACTCATAATGTCAATGGATGAACATATTTTTGTTGACAGCTGCGGTGGTAACTTCTTGCTGAATGCCGGCCCCACCTCCAGCGGTATGATTGGTCCGATATTTGAGGAGAGACTACGGCAAGTAGGGAAGTGGTTGAATGTTAATGGTGAGAGTATTTATGGAACTCGACCCTGGAGTACTCAGAATGACACAGCGACACCTGGTGTCTGGTAAGTATGTTATAGGCAATGCCGTAGATGTAATGTCACATCTGAATGTATGTCATGTCCCCCATGAAAATTCTGGGTTAGAAACTGCCACCATTTATTCAAAAGTCGTTTTAAATGGGGCAGTTGGTCAGCTCAGTGACTTGGTTGATTGCACATCAGAGTAGCCAAACAAAGTGGAATCTTGCTCATAATATCAACCTCTCAGTTTACTCAGTTTATATCCAGGGTAGAATAGGTCTTCAGCAACCCATGCTTGCCGTAAAAGGCGACTATGCTTGTCGTAAAAGGCTACTAACGGGATTGGGTGGTCAGGCTCGTTGACTTGGTTGATGCAGGTCATCGATCCCAATTGCGTGGATCGATGCTCATGATATTAATCACTGGATTGTCTGGTCCAGACTCGATTTTTTACAGACCGCCGTCATATAGGTGGAATATTGCTGTGTGCGGTGTAAAACAACAAACAAACAAACCAACTCAATTTTTACAGACTGTTTAATTATCCTGACTGCAGCACCAAAGATGTCAGGTACTCATTCTTTTTCTTCTTACAAAAAAGAGGGATTACAACTATTGTTCAAATGGTTATCATTCAAGCTGATAAGCCTTTGGTGATGTATTGAAGAGCGTTTGGTTTGTCACACACAATCTATTCTATAGTTGGGTTCTGATTCATTGATATAATCGAAGATTGATCGGAGGGTCCAAACGAACCATCAATCAAAAGCAATTGTCCATAATCGAACAAGCGTTTGCCCCCTCTAACGACCCTGAGAGCATTTTTTCACTACTTAATCTCAGTGTCTTATTTTAAAAATGAAGTGCTGAAGTAAGTATTTATGTTTGTTTTTGTTTGGTGTTTTGCTGAATTTACTTAACATTCAAAAACAGCCAAATGACGTTTATCGATTAACATCAATAATTGAACAATCAGGATGATGCCAACACAACTTTTCTCATTTATTCTCACGTAGGTACACATCCAAGACGTCTGCAGCTGGTATTTCCGTGTACGCCATCACTCTCAGCTGGCCTAGGGGAGATATGCTGGAGCTAGCTGCCCCACAGACTGGTCCCGCCACCACAGTGAGGTTGCTAGGATACCGAGGATACTTTGATTTCAAATCTGGCCCCACATCAGGAATGACAGTCATGATTCCACCAATTCCTGTCACTCTGATGCCATGTCAGTGGGCCTGGGTTTTCAGGATTGACAATTTAGAAAACCTGTAACTCTGACTATCATTAGAAGGGGAGGGGTGTGGATATATTCTTTTACAATGCGTAATACTGATAATGTGTACTTACTTGCATTGTGACATTTGTCTTATTTTGTCCATGGAAACCATTAATTTAGAAACCAGAATAATAAATGTGGCATAAAACAAATTTTATGGTATTCGCATCAAATTGGTGACATAATTTTGTACTTGCTAACTTGAATGATGCATGTCATTGATCCCGATTGCGTAGATCAATGCTCATGTCAATCACTGGATTGTCTGATCCAATTATTTACAGATCGCTGTCATGTAGCTGGAATATTGCTGAGTGCGGCGTTCAACAACAAACAAACAACACAATTTTGTTTGTTTTAAAAGCTTGGTTTTCATTAGGTTATTTTAAGTGACTGGTTACAACTCTTTACTTTTCAGACAGTTAAATTCTGGTGGTTTGTAATAAATACTGGTCTATTATTTTCAGATTCAGAGTTTTGTATTGTCAAAGAATTGTATTATTTAATTTTTTATTTATTTACATTTATTACCATTTTGGTTACCATAGTAACAAAAATATTCTTCAACAGATTACAGTCTGTGACTTTCTCCACACTATTACTAGAAGAAAGATTGATATTCTGAATGGAGTTTGTCTTGCTGATTATCTATAAATTAAAAGAATGACAGATTGACCATCAGAAGAGAATAAACATTCAACAGTACTTCACCTGGGAACAGATAATCTGTTATTCTAAGTTTAAGGTTATTCTTTACCCATAGTCATATTTCTGAGGAAATGTAGAAAGATGTAGGTCTCCTGACATCAAGTTAAGACATACGCCCAACTCCTCATTTGATGGAAAGGTGTTCAGTGAAAATAATTTCACAAATATCCATATCCCACCAGGTAGTATACAGAAAGATGTACTGGTTGTTCTTCATATACTACTCACGACAAGTTAAGGATCACCTGATTCTTTCATGTTACTATATGGGTGGCCCAGTCGTCTTAAGGCGCCACAGTTCACTGTGCAGAGTTGCGTCCCTTTGGCATGCCAGAGACATATGATCGTGTGTTCAAATCCCGGTTCATCCAAACCATGTTTCTAGGTTTGTCAGCACCATGCCTGAGCTTGTGATAAATGTCTGAGACCTGCATCACCGTAGGCTTTCCTCCCACATCAAGCTGACACTCAGTGATATATATCTGGAATACTTTTCAAAGCGGTGTTAAACTCACTCACTCAATCTAATCCGTGATGCCTTGACATATAAACTATAGTAATATGAAAGAATTTGGTTGTCCTTAACTTCCTTTAAGCAGTATACATAACCAGGCTTATGACATTGAATCTAACAGAGGCATCAATCTCGGTCTTGTCAATTACAATGTTTTTATATCATTCCAAGTTATTTTTATATTTATTGCTTCTGAACTATATTATTATCCCCTGCTTTCACAAAGTGGGGGGACCAGTGAAGATTCCAGGGTAAAAGGCGACTATACTCGTAAGAGGCGAATAAAGGGATTGGGTGGTCAGGCTCGCTGACTTGGTTGATGCATGTCATCGTATCCCAAACAAACCAAAACGAAGTGGAGGTGGGATATAGGAATGGGTGCTGTCCGTCCGTCACGTTTCATGCTGAACTGGTGCCTTTTGATGGTTTGGTAGTTCTAAGAAAAATAAATTTAGTTCAGCAAGGGTGGAAACTGGACTTTTATAGTCAGTTTACTCCCCTGCCTCAGGAAGATGTACTTATTCATGCTTCTGAAATTACCCTCAGATTGAAGTAAAATGAAAGTTGTATGAGGATTTGTAATTTTTAAGTCAATGTGGCAGTCTCAGCATATCTGGGGTGGTCAGGCAGCCTAGTGGTTAAAACGTTTGCTCGTCATGCGGAAGCCCTGGGTTTGATTCCCAACATTGGTACATTGTGTGAAGCCCATATCTGGCATTAAGCACAGTGATATTGCTGGAATATTGCTAAAAGCGATGTAAACCAATACTCACTCACTCACCCAGCATATTTGGGAAGTTATTCCCCAATAATCATAGTGGCATATTTCGTGGAACCTAAATTTCCTTGTGCTAATTACTTGATTGTGTGCTCCACGTGTGGAGGTTGTTGTATTTGTTTGTTGATTTTTCAACAAATAAATTTGAAAAAGCTTGTATGGCCTTTGTTCCTATTACCATGCATTATTAATTACCATGCAAGAATTAATTACACTTCATTTTATGTGCCTGTAAATAATTGAGTCTGGACCAGACAAACCAGTGATTGTTATTATGATGAACTTCTCACACACCATACATTATTAACTAAATCAGCCCGACTTCATCTATCAACTATCAATGACAGGCATTGGTTGGAGAACTATTCTAACTGTGAATCCCAGAAAGTAAATGAGAAGTGTACAGTAACTTGAGCTGGGACGGGTAACTCGGGTAAACAGGTCGGGTGGGTACTGAGTAGGACCCGGGTACCCACAGGACTACCCAGACCCGTGGTTAGTCACGTGGTATATTGTTTAATGACAAAAATTATCTAGAACTCTATGGTTACACTACAAGTCACTAATGTTCCCATTTCTTTATGACTATGCACCCATTCCTTCTGGCTTTTCATATGGTTGAATAAAGATATAACTTAAGTCAACTTCAGTGTGTGCATGACCAGATTGTTTGATACATGTATCTAAATACGTTTGCCAGGTCTATGGTAAAAAAATTCCTCTTGAGGCCTACAGTGGGTACCCGGGTAGGGTCCGGTAATAGGGGGGTAGGTACCCGGGTAGTAAATTTGGACTCGTCACAGCCCTAATAGTAACGTCCTTTAGCCAAGCCAGATCAGTAGGTCAGGGGTTCGAATCCAATATTCGTCTCGGTTAGGACGTTTTGTCAGCATGGGAGTAGTAAATGTCCCCTACCTGTATTAATGTGGGCTTTCTCTCACATCACACTGAAGCATGGAGACGCGACTGAAGTGTTACTGTTCGATAGAGCGTCTGCTTGGAGAGCTGGACCAACCGCGTCATATCAAAAGGACTTGTTGGGTCGGGCTCCGTTTACTGTGTGGGTAAAGTGGAGTATTCATGCATAGCGTCACAGTGGGCAAGCACTAAAAAACCGGCATTAGTTCGGACTAACGCATGCGCGCGCACGCACACACACTCACACGCATGCGCGTCGCCTCAATCACGCGTAAGAATGCAGGAATTTGACTGGAAGTTGTACATGTTTTGAGATCATCTGTGTAATGTGTCTTTAATCTTATTATTATCCAGTGGTGCGTGAAATAAATGTTGTTCTGTGCCATTTATCGCCGGTCAGTGCTTCAAACCCCAGATCCATTCAGACTACATCCCTTGGTCTGCCTGTACAAACACTTTCCTAAAGCTACATCACACCCAGAATCAGACATGCGCTTACCCGAACTGTGTCCGATGGGCCTGCCTGAAAGTCCGGCCAACGTTCTTATTGCCTAATTCCTTCATTATCGACGATCATACCTACATGTTATTGATGCAATATACAAACGTGACATTAAAGAGCAATCACACACCACAAGTGTGCTCATAATGAAGTTATTGCGAGTAAAACACAAGAAACTATACTGAACCGCAAAAGAAACGTCACCATGGATAGATATATGAGAAACCTTATTTGTCTAAAAATTGTAAACTTACTTTGAGACATTAACAAGATGAAACTTGGCAAAACTGATCATCAAGGTTGAAATTAAAGTGTCAAATGTTCTAAAAGTGAAACACAACACTAGTCTCTGAGAAAAGGCATCACAGGTGAGTAATTGTGTGTCCGCCATGTGCGTTGATGACTGCCGTGCAACGTCGATACATGGAATTGATGAGACGGTTGATGAAGGCCATAGGCACTTGAGTCCACAATTTGAGGAACGCCTGACGCAGTTCAGTTGCAGTTGTCGGCCTTGTTCGAGCGTCATTCAGCCGTCTTTTAATCTCATCCCACAGGTGCTTAATGGGATAAAGATCGGGACTGAGGGTAGGCCACTGCATGGTTCTGATGCCATTCTGCTGGAGGAAGTCTCTTGCTGCTCTCGTAGTGTGGGCACGGGCGTTATCATGCTGAAACTCGTGGGCATGGCGTGTGGTCAATGTACCGAGCTGCTGTTACACCATTGCCTCTGGGAGACCACAGGGCCGACCCTCTGTGCAAGACCAATTCCACCCCACCCCATGATGCTCGGACCACCCCTCGAGTCTCTCTCAACAACACAAACATCCGAATAATGTTCCCCACGGCGTCTCTCTCTCTCTCTACCAAATACCGACTTCATAAGGCAAAGGTAATTGCATTTTGAACGAATCGTCCGTTAAAGTGAAGCCCATTTTCCTCTACACTCTCAAGATAAACTAATAGTATATATTTGGTCTGTCTGGTTCAGGTATGGTATTCTTTATGGTACTATTGTGGCCGAGGGGGGACATCGCTTTGTCGACTCCAATTACTGACGCGATATGGCGATAAAATGAGACGAGAGAGCAATAACATGAGACGAGAAAGCGATAGCACAAGACGAGAAAGGGACAGCACGAGACGAGAAAGCGATATTGTTGAGCGAGAAACTATCGCTTTCTCGTCCCGTGTCATCGCCTTCTCGTCTTTTAATATCGCAGTCTCGCGGCCGTAATTAGAGTCTCTAAAGCGATGTCCTCTCTTAGCCACATATTTGACCCATATGGTCTCTAATACGTACTGGGGCGGCCGGGTAGACTAGTGGTTAAAGTGTTCACTCGTCACGCCGAAGACCCGGGTTCGATTCCCGACATGGGTACAATGTGTGAAGCCCATTTCTGGTGTCCCCCGCCGTGATATTGCTGGAATATGCTAAAAGCGGCGTAAAACCATACTCACTCACTCAATGCGTACTTATGACGTCACGTCCCTATGGGCCTCTTCGCAAACAGTGGAAGAAATCAAATGAACAAACCCTCCAGAATGAAGCAAAGATAAATTCGGTGACAAGCATTGTTAATATTGTCACCTATATCAGCACTCCTATGGGGTAAGTTTGAATAGTTATGATGTAGTACCAAAGATTGGTTGAGCGACATCTTATCATAGATATGTTTTTTGCTCAAAATTAATTCCAGATGTGTAATGCAGTAATATACAACGTAAACTGATATTACATATTATCCCTACTTGTAACATAAGTACTCCCCATTATGGTCAAAAAGCTTAGCCCTCTGTTCTACCTCGGTGTTCGTTGAAGTGTATTAAATCCGATACCACTGTTTATGCGTAGCTAGGTAACCACCGCATGCTCGATATTTGACTTGAAGCTAGTTGACACATTAGTCTTACCACAACGCAAAACATGCCGCCTAAAAAAGTCACCGCTTCGAAAACGTCGTCTAAACCTGTTAAATCTAAAGGAACCACCACCAATACTCCGGCGAAGAAAGCAGAGAGTAAAAAAGGTTAGATTAGTGTCTCCTA